ACACACACGGGCGAGAAACCTTTCCAGTGTGATATACGCTTGAAGCCATTTGCACGATCTTGTGATCTGAAAACGCACAAAAAGACACAGAATGTATTGTTGTCCATGGCAATGTTAATAAACCGTGTTGAATACCTTAATGCTTTGCCGTTCTTTTCATTTGTATCCAATACAAGGCCGTAGGTATATAGACTTTTTGTTATGTCTTTTGCCGAGATCAAGTGTGAAAACTGAAACAAATCTTATTCCTTCGGCCTGTCGTTTTTAATCTCTAAACACTTTTAACTGAAGCGGTACCTTCACTTGATTGAGCACGGTAAGTCTTTTTCGGCGATGTCGCCCTCCAGGTTTAATCAACACCTGTCATGAGGCGAAAATTTCATTCAGCTGGTTCGATAATACTAACAGTTAGTATTATTGTTTTAAACTCTGGGGCATGTACGTACATACTACACACATATTATTATACACGCATATAACATTATACACACCATCTGTTTGCTCGGTGCATTATTGCTGTGCACACAAGTACACGGCCCATAATAAAATGTAATAGGTGTACAATGGCATCATCGTTGGGCGGATCGGTTTTTTTTTTTTTAGGGTTTTATGATTAAAAACAGCTCTGCGGCGCGCGACCCATTGTTAACAGTGCCGGCAATAGGGCTTGGCCAGAAGATTATGAAAACATCATGAACCAAAATATAATATATTCTCTCATTCACTTCATCGCAGTCGCAGTCAGTCAGTCAGTCAGTCAAAAAGACTCTTTGTCTGCCGCAAATCCCATTGTTGATTTCGCCCGTCGCCGTTGTGTTTGTTTATTATCATTACGATTATTATTATTATTATTTACTTCCGTCCATATCTTCCAGGCCGATCCCCTATCCTCCCCTCCTCGATTCCTGTTTTTCCTCTCCTCTCTTTCTCACCACGTAAGGATATAACACACACACACACACAAATTACACAGCTTTCACTCGAGCCGTCATCACAATAATAATAATAATATGCTCACCGGAACAACCCAATGAAAAGTTGATGAAATCCCCTCACAGTCTCATCTCGGTCATCCCCGGGGTCTCCCCACCCCCCGCACCCCCCTGAACACGGTGAATAATAACGAAAAATAATAATTTCTATGAAACGGATTTCTTACCGCAAACTCAAGAGCGCCAGAGTAGTCTATTAGGCTAATGACTGAAGTCGAGTCCCCGTGAAGCTACGGCATAAGAGACAATGGCGTGCATATTATAAATGATAATGTTCCGCCGCACACGAAGAAGAGAGGTGGATAACAGCGAGAATTAATATAGTAAAACACTGCGTTTAATCAAGCCGCAAAATATACATATATATATACCTATTTACCGACAAAGCAAAAAATTGCATAATGAAAACGCCTTCGTCATCCGTTGGGAATTTAACTAATTTTTTTTGTTTTGTTTATTCATAACGTACTATTCCGCTATTGTTCTTTTTCTGTTTCTTCACTTTTTTTTTATCCCTCTCTCTCTAAATATTTATCTCTGTTTGGCGCCCTAATATTAGCACCTACTCTCACTATATAGCCAATAAACTATATTCCACAAAAGGTAGATAATACATTACATATATATTTTGTTTGTTATCTAAAATCGTTATGATCTGAATACTAGCAACATACAAAACAACATCAGAATAGTAGTTTGTAATAGAACGACATATTTTATGGATTCATAACAAAACTAACTAGTCAATGATCAGTTGAATACAATAAGTATATCTAAAATTAATCATTTACCAAATTAAGATAAATTTGATAAATTTTATTTTTTTCAATAAAAAAACAATTATTTGTCTCAGAGAAAAGGAAAATTAATAGTGCCTGTAAAACATGTCTTAAAAGAGTCACTTTCCTGAGAAACTGAGCAATTTTTCTAGAATAAGTCGAAGACGATAGAGATTTTTAGTTAAAGATAAGACACTGAGTTATATGACATTAATGTCACCGTTTTTTCAATGGTCAATATAACTTTGTTCCAAACTATATCATCAAAAATCAATTAAGTTAAAACTTAAAATTTAGATAAAATCATTATCTTTAATTTTGTGTAAATTATTTTTACGATAAAATTACTCAATTTCTCAGAAAAATGATCATCTCCTTCGAAACTCTTATCCAGAATAATAACTCATAATTGCATTAGTTAAATAAAAAACAAAGTTACCTAAATTACCGAAAGACTAATTGATTTTTAATTTATACATCTCTTCAGACAGTGTTCCGTATAGCCTGAATGTACTTAACGAAATTAATTTAAATCATTGATCGAGTCAGACTTACAAAAAAACTTCTCTTCCGCGACTAAGGTGAGAATTTATTTGATTTTTGTCTACTTGTATTTGAGCGCAGTTTGAGAGTAAAAAATTAGACAAATTATAATTGTAATATGTATAAATTAAAGCATATTCATAATACACACATAACACAATATTTATTAATAATGAATAATTGCAACAACAAAAAACAAAACGATTAATTACCAAACGAACTCTTCTGTATTAACTTATCGATACTAATCTTGTTTTGATAAACATAATATAATATTATGGATAATGTTTTTTTTTTATTTTGCTTTAATATTCTCATTGAAATGTAATAAGCTATTCACTTCGGACGATGTTAAAATTATTTATGTAAAAAAAAATAATAATAATAATAAACTCATTTCATTAAATAACCTCGAAAACTCTGAAAAAATGTAATTAAGCATTTTGCAATTTAAAAAATTATTTTATACCGTTATTCGAAAAAAAACATCATTACATAATAACATTAACCGACAAAAAGAACCTTTTTTAGGACGGATGATATGAACCGACAAAGGGGGAGGGGAGTAGTCTATAGTTTATAAGAGCCCTTATGACTCTCATTGAAATATAGCTAATCAAGTTAACTCAGATCCTTTTTGTTGATAATTTCCCCTTTCTGTTCGCCAATAATGTACTCCTACTATATATTTATATAATAATGGCATGTTTTGCAAAAAAATGATACAATTAAAAGACAATTACTGTTGGAACGAACTTTTAACTGCGACTAACTTTTTTTCTTCAAATAACTCTTAACTGAACTAAGTTAATATTTGTAATTACTTTAAAAATTAACTTTAATTTTAACAAAGTTCCTTTTTTTAATTAACTTTTTTAACTAGTTTGAAAAAGGCTCAATACCTGGATTTGTAACCACAAGTGCGGTTAATGTGTTATTGATTTAATTATTGTAAAAGATACTAAGCAGTGGTGTTACAAAATAAGTGGTCATTCTTTAAACATTTATTTATATTTTTGTTTGTATGCAGTTGTGTTGATAGGCATGTCAGTATACAATGGTTAGCTCGGGTGCAGCAGCAGATGGCAATGCACAATGATTTTTTTTTTCTTTTGCATTTGAAAACTCCACGGGATATCTTGCTAGCCCCAACAGGACAACACATCAACGATAATAGTGATAATGTGTATTGAAAACATTGCGGCCAGTTTCGGATTAAACGACTGCAAAGTGAATAATATCCGAAAATGAGATTGATTAAAAAATGCTATATGTAGGTACACTTGTTGAACAATCTGATCTCGTTGCCGTTTGTCATCCCGTTTGAATTTCATTAATATTCTACTACCGAATCGACCCTCACCCCATTATTATATTGTCAACCAGGCGGACACGCCTCCGTTCTGTTTTTTTTGCCTACCTTCTATTTTCGGTACACACCCATTGCAAAATCAAACAAAATAAAAAACGACTAACATAATAAAACATCATTCGAACACTTGAGCCAAGTGCATTCGAATAAGTACAATAGCCGTAGTGTCACACATGTTAATCTATTGATATGTGATTATAATACCGGATTAATATTTGAACTTTTATACCCTTTGTATGTTGGCTACGCCCAGAAAATATTATATTATACGTTGTCTACACGCCAAAAGATAATATCTAAAAACTTAATTTTACTATACACTTATAGATTTTTTAGAGATGGATAAAGACAACAGTGAGTAAAATTTAAAAAAACAGATAAAGTACCTACTATAATGGAAACATGAACAACAATAGAAAGTATTTTACATGTAACTAAAGCCCATAACTATGTTTTCAATATTAAATTACTAATAAGTAATACCCAAATTTCATTCCCCACTCCCATTTATTATCAACCCTTTTTTTCTCCCTTCTCACTACTGGATTATGTTAAATAAAAATCATACTCAATAAGATTCAACCAGAATTAGGCATTATTCGAATTTTGTTTTATAAAAATAACTGTACAACACTATTTTGAAACAAAATCAAACATATACATGCCTATATCATATAGGTTTCATTGACATTTATTTCCTGAATCCAAATCTGGCCTCAATTTGTTTATTTTAAATCGTCTCCAATTTTTTTTTATTGATTACCACACAAGTCAGAACTTTTCAATTTTCTTTTGTTTATAAAAATAAACTAAAAATTATACATTATTATTTAGAAGTGATTTAAAAAATAACTAGACGTATAAATAATAATTTTAAAGACCAGTTCGGCCTCAATAAAAAAAGTAGATAGATTTTTTGTTCTTTTCTGAAAAAATGTCTAATTTTGTTTTATAGTGCAATTAATAATTATTTAAACACAAAATTATTCATAATATGTAATTAGGTAACAATTTTTAAAATATTTTTGTTTAAATAAAAATTAAAAAAAATTAATAATGTCTTATTACTTAAATATATTATTATCAATAAGTATATGGATCAAATCTATGACCTAACTTAAAATAAGCTAAAATCTTAATCATGTTTTATTTGAAGTCTCTATGTTCAATAATATCTGCATAATTATTTTAATTGCTTTAAATTACATTATAATTATTATTTAAAACATTGTCTTATTTGAGATACAGCCCTATGACATCTATTAAACGTTATTATTTATAGAAAGTTCAAAAAAAAAAAAACAAGTGGTACAATTATCTGTTTACTTTTGGGTTCGTCCATTATAATATGATTACAAAAAATAAATAAATCATTAACCCCTTAGAGCATTTCTTATCTTTATCATTGCTGGGTGATTAAATATGGTATTTTTTGCTACTGGCTCACTTGAAATGGGCATACATTTTGGTTTTTGTACTTCTCGTGAATCGTTGGTTTCTTGTAGTTTAAGTGATAATTTGCCTAGCATGTGGTGAACCGTATGATTCCTAACTGAAATCAAAAACAACGTTCAATGAGGTATGAAAAGAGCATTGTTTGCATAGATATATATAACTAGATAGTCGACTTCAATTTTTTCATAGAAGCTCGGAGTGCAATTATTTGAAAAAACAAAAAGCTATTTGCAGTGTTATCAATGTTTATATCAATACTTCATTGTGACATAATAATAGTAATACACCTTATAATAAGTAAACCGCATATGGCTGCCAAAATAATGTTACCAGTTTATAAAATAAACAAAATTACTTACCTATTCCGTTCAATATTTTTCCAGGAAAAGATTGTTGCTCCATACATTTATCACAGATACTTACAGGAACACCAGATGTGTTTACCATAAATAAACCTAGTGTCATCTGAAACAATTCATAAACAACAACTTTAATGTGTTTTTATGTCTCAAGTAACGTCGATTAAAATAAATTACAACAAAACAGAAATATGAACAATTTCTACTCTTATATTTCTAGTTTTTCTTTAAAGAAAAATGATTTTTCCTGTATTTAAATAGAAAATATACTTACCAAACAAATTAACAATATGTGCTTCATTTTTTGGGTTTTATGGGATCTGGAAAATATTCTTATGAAAACTTAACGGGTTTAGCTTAAAAGACAATGAAATTTCAGTACTTAAGTTCCAATAAGAATAAACCCACGTCATCTATTCGGTTTTAATGTAGACTACAATATATTAAAGACGTTCCAGCTGTATTCTTTATGTATATAAATATCAATATTTTATTAAGTAGAACACATTGCCCATATTAAAGTAGTAACACATAGTGTTATACTGCATTTTTTACTGTCATTTACAAATACTGGGGTTAAAGTGTTTGAATAAAATAATAACAATACAATATTATTTGTGCATACGATGTAGCATCTGTGTTTCTAAACAGTACTTACTGATTATATTCAGACAAATGTAGTTACTGTGATAATTGCACACTTTTAACAATAATATAATTTTATTGATAAACTTTACATAAATTGCAAGAAAATCTGACACTATTTCTTTTAATAGTTTAGTTATATTCTTTTATACATTTTTGAAAAATGTTCAAACGTTTTAAAAAAAGCGATGTACAAAATAATTAAACATATAAATAATAATTTTAATACCAAATTCGGACTCAGTATAAAAGTAGATAGATTTTTCTATTAAGTATTATTTGTCCAGTGGCATACTTACGGTGTTTTATAATTTTAATGACTAGTAAGTCAGTAACAAAAATGTCAATTTTGAAATTCTACCCTTATGAAATGACTTATTATTAAGGGCTCTCTCCCAGAGCAAGATTGAATGTACTCCATTGTATTATTGTTTAAACAAATAATTAATTGTTGTAATAAAACAATTAGAATAACATTTTTGTTTAAATAAAAATTAAAAAAAAACTAATAATATCTTATTATTTAAATATATTATTATCTATAAGTATAAATCAAATCTATGGGCTAACTTAAAATAATTAAAAATCTTATTCAAGTTTTATTTGATTACTAATATGTATTTTATACTTTCTGACGGAAGTCTTTCTGTTCAATAATACCTGCCTTATTATTTTAATTACTTTAACTGGCATTATAATATTATAAACATTGTCTTATTTGAGGTACATAGGGCTTTATGACATATTTCTATTAAACGTGATTCTTTTATAGGAAGTTTAAAAGAAAAACAAGCTGAAAAATTGTTTGTTTTAATATACTGTACTTTTGGGTTAGTCCATTATATTATGATGACAAAAACAAATAAATTAATCATTTACAATTAAGAGCACTTTTTATGCCTGCCATTGCTGGATGATGATATATAGTTTGGTTTGCAACTGACTCACTCGGAATGGGCTTAAAGATTGATTTTTTTACTTCTGGTGTATCGTTGGTCTCTTCTAGTTTATGAAATGTTTTGTTTAGCATATCGTGAACCTTATTACTTCTAGCTGTAATCAAAACAAATGTATATCGTGAGATGTAAAAATAGTGTTATTGACAATATAAGGTGTAACCTGCCTATTTAGATTTCAGAATTTCAAAATACTAGTAATAGACCAGAAATGGTGTATGGAAGTAGGACAGAAGATAAAGGAGGCGGTTTGAGAGTTTGTAATATCAAATAAACAAAATTACTTACATAGTCCGGTCAACACTTTTCCATGTTGTGACTTCAAGAATTTATCAATGACACTTACAGGACTACCAGATGTGTTTACCGTAAACAAACCTAGTGTCATCTGAAACAGTTCAGAAACAACAACTTTCATGTTTTTTTTATGTCTTAACTCTTAAGTAATGTCGATTAAAACAAATTACAACAAAAACGCAAACATGAACAATGTCTAGTCTTACTTTTCTTACATTTTATTCCTAGTTTTTCTCGAAAGAAAAAATTGTTTTCCTATATTTAAATAGAAAATATACTTACTAAGCAAATTAACAATATGTACTTCATGTTTGGTTTTTTTCGGAGTCTGGAAAATATTCTTATGTGAACTTAACTGTTTTAACGTTAAGACGATGGCATTTTAGTATGCAATATGAATAAACCCACGTCATCTATTCGGTTTTAATGTAGACTGCAAAATATTTGAAACTTTCCAGCTGTATTATATAAATATCAACATAATATTAAGTAGGACACAGATATTAAAGTAGTAACACATAGTGTTATACTATACTTTTTTACTGTGGTATATTATTATTGATAAACTACATATAAATGGAAATTAAGCAATCGGACATTTCTATTCAACTAAACATATATATATATATATATATATATATATACATTTTCTCTTAGTGACTTATCTTTTAATTTGTTAGATTTTAGAATAATATTGTGTTAAGTTTAATTTGTTGTAAGCTATTTTGACAAAAATAAAATTTTCGAATTGAAAAAAGATACTACTCAATGAAACGTTAATGGTGTATATTAGCATTTAAAATCATAATTGGCTGTTATTGATCGGTGGTTGACATAATTATTTTTATGGTTATAAATAATAATTCCAAATAGTTCAATTAATTTCCAGACAGTTAATTAACTGTTGTAAAAATAATAAATTATTCATAATTAATGGGTATTTCATAGTTTAAAAAAATCCGTTTGTTTAATATGTTCTTTATTGCTCTAAGGGTGCCAATAAATAATTATAAAAATAAGTGTACGCATGTAAGTGTCCGTTTTTCAATGAAATGTTATTAAAACAATTTTAAATTATATTATTGCTGTTCGGGATGATGTATAACGATTTCTGTACCAAAATATTTACTCTACCCGTGCGACGTTTTGCCGTCAAGTAGGTAGGCGTACATAATTTTGATACCTTTAACCACCCCCTTTATTTTTCAATTATTAATGTAATCCAAAGGGTGTTCGTTGTCCTACGCCAAAGTACCCAGCGCCAAACGAACGGCCGCCATTGGTCGACGGGCTCCTCCAATGGAGACGGTCCACCGCGGGGTTGCACTTTTCCGGAGGGATGTAAGTACTGTCAGTTAAATTTCGAATTCATATTCATTCCTAACACCACAATGGCCGGAGGACCTTACTTATCACCGTTGCCCGGCGATCTCCTATCGGAGTACATGTTCGGCAGACGTCGCCAGGCAAGTTTACCAAGTCCTAGCTATTACTTGGACAATTACCTATGTAACATAGTACGGTCACAATATAATTCAATTGTATTTAAATTGCGTCAACAGAGAAGGAACCGGACGACTTTCACACCTCAACAGCTCCAAGAACTCGAAGGACTCTTCCAGAAAACCCATTATCCCGACGTGTTCCTCAGGGAAGAAGTAGCGCTCCGGATCAATCTCTCCGAAGCCCGTGTACAGGTGAGTGTTTTTTTTTACAAAAAAAAAATATTATAACATGATTTGATTAATCGCTGATTCGAAGAGACGTTGTCTTCTGTGGTTCTATTCGGAACGATTGAACAGTATTCCCTTCCCCCCTCCCAACACACATGTCCAGCGAGGCCCGTTATATTGTCGAAGACACCCCTTTAATAGCACCTGCAATCATTGTGTTACTCTTGAGAATTAGGGATATTTAATGTTTAAGGGTGTAAATACAAATTTAAAATATACAAATACAATACAGTAACAACATACCCTATACAGGGCGATTTATAAGAATGCACTCTTTTTTTCTGGGATAATTACAATTTTATAATCTTTGAATATTTTTGGAACTAAAAAACTCACCAACGGACAATTTTAAAGTCACGCCTTTGGATTGAAGTCATAGCGTTAATTAATGCCACGGATATCCGTTATATTTCTTAGTAGGGGTCGGTGGTAACCCATAACCGTGTATTGAACAAATGCATTAAGTAATGGGAGGGTCCTTTACAAAATAGTATTGGTCCGATTAAATATAATATACTCCACCGGTGTGATGTGCTGGCATTTCATTTGAAGACAAAACCAAGTTTTTCATAATAACTATATTAACTATATTATGTAGAACGCTGTGCGCTTAATGACAACCGAAGTGGTATTGGTTTAATATTAATTAGTAACACTCAAAGGGTTTGGCTATTTAAAAAGACAAATAAATTTACAGCAAAAAATGGATATTTTTTAAGAAAGAGGACTTCGCAAGAAAACCCCATTTGTATGGGGTAAGTTGTAAAAATGATAGGAAAAGGTCTATTTAGTAAATAATTAACAAGCTTCTTAAGAAAGTTATACTTTTTTAAATTAAAATTTATAAAGAATATAAAAAAAATTACAAGTTCACTTTTAGCCATAAAATAAGTAAAACTATTTTATAATGATTTTTTGCTGACTAATTTATAGAAAATAGAGAATTTACGTAGATCAAACCTCTTAAATGGAAGTCACATACGTGTATTTGTAGTAAAAATAATGCGTCCATATTACAAATGTTACAAAGTCTTCAATGAACATAAAAACATAAGTAATATGCCGTTGAAAATGTGTAATGTTTCGTTGAAATTAGATTTTCATAAATGTAATTCTTTTCTACCTCATATGCAAATAAATATCACTATATTATGATTTGTTTGCTAAGCCATAACCGCTTTTTATTTTTTTGTAATCGCTTTTTGGCACTATTTCCAAAATCGGATTCTAACAAAACATCATTGAACTGTTCGTCTTTTAAATGGTAAAAGAACTTAGTCTTTTTGTTCACTCGAAACTTCACAGTATTTGATCTACGAAAAATGGTATACTCGTATGTAATAAAAATAACAACTAATAAAGAAACCTCTTTACTGTAGTAACAAGTATACACTGAAGCTTAAAAATAAAGATTTTTCGAAAGATTGCCTATACTTTATAGACGGTATGGCGCCCTCTTGAATAAAAATTGTTTCAGTAGTTTGCGCCTGACTATTGAATCTGATACCATTATAAAAATTCAATTAACCGGTGTTGGCCAGACAAAGGCTATTGTAAAATCATTGTTATAACCTGGATTGCTATTTTATCGTGTCCGTGTCAGGTTTGGTTCCAAAACCGCCGAGCAAAGTGGCGCAAGCACGCCAGACTTCAGATCATTCAAGACGCGTGGCGGATCCGTTGCATGGGCCTGAATACACAATCTCTTTTGTTGGGTAATACTTGTTGAAATTTGTCGCTATACTGAACCAGACACGGAGGTTTTGTTTTACTGAAATTTTCACTTTCTCGCAGGACGACAAGCTCCAGAAGGAACCAATCACTTAACAGACGACTCGGGATCTCCACCGCCGCCGCCTCCTGGTCAATCATCCGTACCGTCGCCCACTCGTTTTCCGGGCTCTTACAGAATGCTGCAAAAGTAAGTGACGTCACGAATGTTAATTAGAATAATTATTAGACTATTATTTAGACTAATCACGTTTAAATCGTACAGTTATCAGGTATCAGACAGACCGCAAGTAATCGGACCGGCCGCTTCCGGTAATGTTCCTCCAAAATTGTTTTGTCCTTATTCGCCTGTCGGTGAGTCACAGATTCGCTTAACCCATACGAAAATACATTGTTTATTTTTTTAAGTGTTATTCAGCATCAGTTATTGATCTCCCAAGTACCGAGGAATTACTTGAAAGATTTATGTGGAACGCAATTAAAAATCGTTCATTAAAACGTTAATCACTTTTATTTAATTGTTTTAATGTACATATATAGTGTTCAAGGAATGTTCCTTGACTACTTGGGATTGTACCCGGATTAATCTTGTCAATATTTGTTTACAAATCAATTGAATTAAAATATAATGTAATCCTTTTTAGAAAACGACACGAATAAATGTCCGGTTCACCCTCGAGACTCAGCATCGGACTTAAACGGGAATTTATCCACAACAACAGGAACCATGGACTTGAGATGCCCAAAGTCTCGCTCCACCACTCCGGATGAAGAGAACGAAATCAACGTTAACGATTAATGTCTTAACACAACAACGAACAAGTATCCAAAAGCAATTTTAGTTTTAAAAGTATTACATATTATTATTGATTGTGTTAACCATTTTTAACGATATGGCCATTCCAGTGATTGTTGCAATAACACCACACCACTTAGTTGTTGCATTTAAAACATGTCTTGAAGTAGCACTTTTTAGAGCATCTCGACAGTTTTATGGGAATAATGCAGTTGTACAAAACTTAAGGTTTAGATATTATAACTTAAACCAAAGAGTGACGCGAGCGGATTTCATAGGAATAGTTTTATTAATTGATGAATTTGTCAAAGATATACTGAAGAAAATAGACGAACGTTACCTAAAAGAATATATTGAAAATATAATTTTACTTTTTGATAAAAATCACTTGAATATCCATTTAATTTATCGAAAAATTGCCTATAATTTACTGTTTAACAATTAGGTGGTGTGCTGTCTTCACAAAAGCGCATCTAGCGGTGCTCGCGAGAATCTATTTAAATACCAAAAATATTATTTAATTAGTGATTCATATTGTATATTTATAATATAACAAACCCAGCAGAAATTGTGCTTGTTTATGTGTACTTTACTACAATAATATATATAAGAATTTTATGTAATAGAAAAAAAATATATTATTGGATGATTTGAGATTTCCCAACATTTGTATGTTTACTAATAATTATATAAAGTTTCCGAGAATGTTTTTGTAATAATTCTCAAGTTGTCTCTACAGTTCATTAAACACAGTCAGGTGAGATTAAATTGTAAACAAACGAGGAAAAAAATTAGAGTCACTCTGGCTAACGCGTATTTTATAAAAATAACCAAAAATCTAAACAATCCACTTACCTAATATATACAAATAATATTTTTACAACAAAAACTCTTCCACATCCAGGCTCATGCTCATACTATGAACCAGTATGATGTCTGACACGAGAAAAAAAAACAAAAACTTATGAAATTTTACATACTATTGCCAATAAAAAACATATTCTTCTTTTCTTGGTGTAGGCCAATCCGAAATCTCTTCATTCACAAATATTTTTATCTGTCACCATTTATTTACTTCACTCCTTACATCTCCATATCTTTTATGATACGGTTAAATTGATTAAAAGATCAAATGTATAGATTAAATTCTATATTACTAAATGTTTATGTTCCTTAGAAAAAGAAGACTTCAAAGAATCAACAACTAAACTAAATAATCTTTAAAATAATCAAGTAAAAGTTAATTCACAAAACTAGATTCCTACAAAATGTACCAACTACTTATTATTAAGGTTTACAAAAATAATACTATACATTCTCTATCGGATTTTTATTGTCTACCCTAATGCTATCAACACAAATATGATATGTATTTTTAGAACAAAAAAAAATACAAACTTATAAAATCCTAATAACTTTAATATAATTTACACGTCTGTATACTTGCATATTAATGGTCACATATTATATAATGGCCTAAAGAATAGCTAACACTCGAAGGATATTCCAAGGTTGTCTGATTTGAATGCTTAATGACAACAAGATACGCTTTGTTGACCGGTAATTTTAAGAAGGAGGCGTGAACAGGTCGTTTTTAAATGTAAATAAAACGTTATATAAAATAAGAGAGCGCAGTAGTTCCAGTACGTCAGAGAAATATGATATAGTGCTAACAGAATAACCACGACCGCTGTAAGTACACAAGGTATGTATATATATACAATTATTTTCAAAATGGACCACTCAAATTGAGGTAGGTAACTTTTGTTCACTCGAATTCTCATCTAGGTTCAGGTTAAAATAATAATAGTTGAAAAATCATCAAGTAATAGTTGAGTATTTTTATAGTTAATACTAATAGGAGAATAGTACGTAGAACACAAAATGCTTAGTTTCAAAATACTATTACTTCAGCTATACAATAAATTTCGCTTAATGAACCCTAATTATTTTTTTCTTTGCTTTACTATATCTGACATATACATTGTACAGTTACAATTCGTAAAACTTTTGACGAATTTAATGATCTCTTTTACTTTTGTAACTAATAAAAAACATTACTTAGTATAGACAACTCACGCAGACCAAATAAATCTTAGCCAAATACAGCTACTTTCTAAATTTTGTTATTTTGTACTTACTTCGAGGGAAAATTCATGAACCAGATGATAATAATTAGCTTAAACTAATCGATAAGATCTAAAGTTTAATTTAAAATTCAGTTATTTGTGTTTTTTTCTAAAATTGTAAACTAATTTGACACCTAAATCATTTTTGTTGGCTTTATGATACATTTATTGTATGTAGGTTCCTCCGGAATTCACTAAAGACTAAGAGTTTGGAAATGTATTATTTAAGTTATTGTTTGTTATAAGTTGTATGATTACAGAATACATAAAAGTTAACTGTTAAAAAAAAAAGAACCTCATTACGGTTTCTGTTTCGCCAGTTGAACAATGATAAGAATACCAAAAACCAAAATTAAATGTACATTAATGCTGTTTAACGAATTTGAGTTCCCATTTGAAGTTTGTACACAATTCTGACTATTGTTAGATTTTTATTTTATTCTGTAAACATACATTTAAAATCATTGTTTAAAGACAAATTGTTTTATTGTGATATTGTACGCAGTACGGTTATTAATAATTATGTACTATTAACTATACTATGATATATAATATTATATTATATTAATAATTGTATACTAATTATTAATGGTTTTTTAATTGACGCCCTTGAAATAAAACAATTTAAAATACAAATAATTCTAAGGGAAAAATACCGACAATCGTTTATAATTTCAGTAGCTTAATCGGTTTTCCATAAAAAGAAACCAAGGGTCATTACAAGTTACATCATCTGAGTATCATATTAACGACTGGTCAATTTTTTTTTAAAGATCGATTATTCTAAACAACGCCATGATTAAGTTTTCTATTAACTACTGTCGTATACGGTATTAACGCGATACGCTCAATTCACACTACGTAATACTCTTTAAAAATGTTATACTAGGATCCTTTAAAGTGAATCAAAGCCAATGCCCAGAGCGCTTAAACCTTTCGAAACTACACTTCAGCCAGACGACTAACCCACACTAAGTAATAATTAACCAGCACGCCTAATACGGTTTTTAATCGTGATTAGGGACTATTTCCAAATATACCTAGTGCCAGATTAATGAATATTTCTGTAAGTATAGAACTTAAAGAATAAGGACTATTTGCAATTTTGATCACTAAAACGGTTGTCCTAGTACACGGTATTTAGAAGTAAACTTTAAACTTAAAAGTGAAACGTAAAAAGGTGACGCTACTAAAATAAAGACACAAGATAAGATTATACTTTGAAAATAAGTATAATAGCACAAAAACACAGGTAAATACTAAACGTTCTCCAGCTAGTTGCTAAGCGGAGAGTTCTTCCCCGGGCCAAGCCCAAGAGAGTGCCTCCTGGCATCACAATTTGTGCGGCTTTAAATAATATAAATAAATATAATTTTCGATGTATAAACATTTTAACCGTTTACCATTTGGCCTAGATACATTGCTTAGTTTCATAATTGTATTATAATAATAATAATACTATTTTCCCTCGCTCCTACTACACTACACACGATTAACAACACTATAATATTTTACTGTACAATTAATATGCATTTATAAATTTATTTGATTTACATTGTTTGTGTTTTAACTTGTTTCGTACAGAATGCTAATAACCGATGGCACGTTCGACTATCGTTTTTTTAACAATGAAAAAGATTATCGCTTCGATCGTCGTCAGTGTCCTACTCTTTAAATTGGTAAACTGCAATGATTACGATAACGATAATCAATGGCCAAACATTGGGTACGTTTCTTGTACAATTCTTCTCGTTCAATTATTCATGCTAGTACAGCCACCGACAAGTCTTAATGATCGATTTCCTGACGATTTTCCAGCAAGGCGTATGCATGTGTGAACGGCACGTGTGTCTTGGCGAAATTCCAAACGACCGAAAACGAAAACGGCCAATTAAACGGATCTCTTGAAGTATGCCGAATGGTTTGCGGTCAAAGCGGATCTCTATGGCCAATACCGACAGTCAAGACTTCAATCGGGTAAAACCATACAGTAATAATACACACACACACAGGAACGATAACCTATGCAATATGCTTTACGTTCACCGTTGTTAACTTCGGCGCTAAGGTATTTGTTTCACAATGTATTTTCCATTTTGTTTTAATCGAATAGAAAATCAGTCGTCGTTTTCGGGTTGGACAAATTGAAATTTGATTTTACCCGCGTGGCCGGCGTACTCGGTGTGGAATACTTGAAGGAAGCGTCGCAAGTGTTCGTAGACTGTTTGAAGAAACTCTGCAACCCCAAGTGCGTTACTACCGTGCAACAACCCATCGTTTACGTTAACACATCGGCGCCTTTCGATAACATAAGATGGAACACCGACGAAAGTTACCAACTGGATATCATCACACGTGGTATGTAAAACATTTGAGTTGAGTGGGTTTTCCATGAGCGGTAATGGATCACAGCATTGCCGGCGGCAAACGTTGTTTCATTTTATTAAATCTCTAGTTCTTTTGTACTAATGTATTTGTCCAAACCCTGAGGTTCCATTTTGAACCTGGTTTTTAATTCCACTTCGTCAGTCGCGCCCGACTACTTGGTAAAGATTCCTTAGCTCTCCTAGCTTAATCTCTTCTTTGATCATTGTCTCTGTGGCTTATAATCCATCTTAGGCTCACCGCTAGACCTCAGTGTTAGGATGGCTTTCATGTGTCGGGCTGAGGGGTGTAGGATCTCGCATCCACCTTCATGGTGTATTTCTTTTAAACGCTAACAGTAGAGTGTGACTTTGACCATAGGCGATCAAACGGCGATTAACATATCAGCGCCGACCGTTTATGGAGCGAGACACGGTATAGAAACCCTTCGCCAATTGATAGCGACTTATGGGTCACGATCTTCGGGTAAGAAATTAGCGATGGCCGCCAATGTTCACATAGTCGATCGTCCGAAATATCCGCACCGAGGATTCATGTTGGACACGTCAAGACGGTTTTTCTCGATTTCGTCAATAAAAAGAATCATTGACGGTATGGGCCATTCCAAACTCAACGTGTTCCATTGGCACGCAACCGACACGCATAGTTTCCCATTGGATTTACCCAGTGTCCCCCAAATGTCCAAGTGAGTCGCACACCTTTGGTCGTTGAATCTCTGATTTCACATTTCAAAGCTATACACGTTATAGGTCTATCATCGTTTGTTATTTTACTTTTTAGGTATGGAGCGTACAGTCCCGAAAAGACATATTCATACGGTGAAATTAAAAACCTTCTCCGGTACGCTCTGATCAGAGGAGTGAGAATTATTATGGAAATCGATTCGCCATCACACGTTGGCAACGGATGGCAATGGGGCGAGTCTGCCGGTTTGGGAAACATGGTAGTTTGTCTTGGAAAACATCCGTGGTGGAAATATTGTGTGCAACCGCCTTGTGGTCAACTCAATCCGCTAAACATTAACACGTACAAGTATTTAGGAAAAATATACAAGGATTTAATCGACCTGTTTCCAAAAGGAGAAGCGTTCCATATGGGAGCCGATGAAGTACTGCTCGAAACCCGTTTTTTATGTCTACTTGCTATAGTTTAAAAATCAAATATTTCTATTTTTTAGGTAGCTATTCAATGTTGGAATACAACTACCGAAATCGTTGACTGGATGAAAACTAATAAAAACAATCTGAGCTTAGAATCGTACTTTGAATTGTGGTCAGAATTTCAAGATAAAGCGTTGACAGCTTACGACCAAGAAGTCGGTAATTCCGATTCCGACATAATCGTCTGGACTAGCGGTATAACAGATTCTGGTATCATAGAAAAATATCTTGATAAAAACAGATACATTGTGCAAGTTTGGCAAGGTTCACTAGTTCCCGTGGAGTTGGCCAATTTAGGGTACAAGGTGATATTGTCCGACGAAAACATCTACTATCTTGACCACGGGTTGAGGCCATCTACACATTATCATTCTTGGAAAGAGATCTACAATACGCCCATACCCATAGTCAATAATCCTGATCTTATTCTAGGAGCAGAGGTATAGTCTGGTATTGAATGTCGTTATTATTTTGTCTTCGACTATTCAACATCGCTGAGTACTTTTTAATCGTTCAATTTAATAGACATGTTTGTGGACGGAATACGTTGATGAATTTGGCTTGGACTTGAAAGTGTGGCCGAGAGCTGCAGCTGTGGCTGAGAGGTTTTGGTCAAATCCGTTAATTTCAGACACATCATCGGTCGATGCAGCTGAATACAGGTACAGATTTTATATCGTTAGGTATTTTATGAAAGATTATAGGATGAGGATTATTGAATAATTTACTATACTTAACTTCCCAACAATGGATGCTATTGGTGGTAAAGTGTATTTGCAGATCACTCGCATCATACTTTGACACGTTTATAATACATTTTTTCCATTTTGTCAATTAAGGCTGTTAGAACACCGCAAACGACTCATATCCCTTGGAATTCAACCGGAGAGTATTCTCCCAGAATGGTGTGAGGATCAAGAAGGCAAGTGCATCGTCGGTTACTAGACTGAATGACAAAAAAAAGAAGCATCAATGCCACATCAATTTTATTTTCATATAATATCATCCTGCCAAATGCCATACTACGATTTTCTAACGTTTTCTAATATAAAATATATTGTTTTAACTATTATACGAATTATATGCTTAAATATTATATTTTAAGTCATTGTCGAGTGACAGTTGTTCAAAACATAATTGGTTAGTTCATTTCTAGCCTCATTAACTTATCCCAGAGTAGACAATGGCCAGGTTCAATTACACATATAAATGTATTCAATTACAAATTACTAATTGCAATAAGTCGATGTACTTAAACACAAGATACCAACTAAGCCGACAACTTTTTGAAGTAGACAACGCTATATTGTGTTATCCACGAAATTGCATCTACCATGAATTTAATGTGTGCTTGTTGATTATATTATAAGTATTTTGTGATATTTGGAGCGATTAGACATTTCATTCGAGACATGAGTGAAAGTTGTTTTACGCTATATTAGTAGTAGTTTGTTGTATTATAATATTATATTGAACAAATAATGTTATAATGTGCTATGAACAACAAACGCTATCTACTAGAAGACCGTATACAAGTCACATACTATAATATTATAGTATTCAATAATCCCCTCTTTCTTTTATGAATGCAAATGTTAAGAGAACGTTGACCAAAACCGGTAGGATGCTTGTATACAGCAACGTGTGTATGACCAGAGTCGAAGAACGGTGGAAGTGTCCAAGAAAAAAATAGCGTTAGTCGTAAGTAAACATTATTGTTATAAAATTATTGTAATAGCTTTACTGTGAAAATAATATTCTCTCGATTTAAATAAAATATAGTTTATAATTTTCAAATGCTATATGTATATTTTTCAATGTTAAAAACATAATTTTTTTACTAAATACAAACCATAACTACATAAAAAAAAGTTATTAAAAAGATTAACTACATAAAATCCATTTTTATATTATAATATATAATATACATGAACTCAAAATTGTTTGAAGTAATTAAGAAATATCTATTTGATTATATTATTATTTAAAAATGTGTTAAAATAATTTGATAACCAAATTCGATCAAGTAAAAATATTTTTAAAATTATTCTTTGAATCATTGGTTAAACAAAATTAAAACTGTATTTATTATTCGAGTTTTTATTTAAATAATTTCCTGGATTGATTTAGTCGCCTTTTACATAATTTTTCTTAAAAATAGTTCTTTGTGACTGTCGATTTTAATTTTAAAAAATATTTGATTAACTAGTTGAATTCGATCTTTGCTTGATCATATTATTTGATACTTGCATGTAAAAAAAAAAATTAATTTACTACTAAGACTTATTTTATGCAATAGCTTATGCCTATAAATTGTAATTTCACTTAATGATAAAAAAAAGTACAAGGTACATAAGTTGATACAACAATTAATAACTACTGTACAACAATATAAGTTCATACGGTCATCTGGAATCTGAACCACGAGTTGGCAGGAAGCTTATAAATTCTTATAAATACTTAGGCATAAAAAGCTAATGTAATACGACTAGTATATAGTATAATTTTGTAAGTTTTAAAATGTTCATAACAAACTAGTTTTAATTAACCAGAAAAAATAAAAATATTCTACATAATTCTTAGACCAGTTCGATTAACAGTACCAATTGCAAACTAAAAGATATTTCAAAGTGAATTACAAATTAAACATTTTTTTAAAAAAATATGTAATTAATAAATACTAATCATTTTCATGAAATACTTAGAAATTAATCAAATTTTGCTACATTAAGAAAAATGATTAATATATTGAATTAAAAAATTCACTCTTTACTCCTCAAATCGAGAAGAGCATTCAATTAATATTTACCTTTTAAACCGTACGTAGGGATGAAATAATATATTAATTATTTCAAGTTATCAATGATAAATATTAACCTTAAAATTCTTGTTGTAGTTTTATATATACTTTCTAGTTTCTACACAATTAACCATAGATCTAATTTGAATTAAAAAAATTACAAAAAAAAAAATGTTAATTAAAATATAACTTTTTAACATGTCTATAATAGTATAATATAATATCAGTATTATATTATAACATAGTTATTGACTCCACCTTTTCATCATTTATAAGTATTAAATTTTCAAAAACATTAAACCTTTTTACCTTTAGACCTACAGGCGCTACAGCAGCAGCAATGTAGTAGAACTGTACACCGCCAGAGCGTACAATAACAGTTGTACAACCGGTGGTAATGGTTTGTAGCCACCGATTTCGGTGCACTCTGTCGACAAAATTAATAATAATATACATTACAATATTAATATACGTCCAGTTCGGCGTGTAGCCTCACAGTTTTTTATTTTGTTAGCTATCGGATTGAATAATAAATGACTAACCAAAAAATGTCGACGAATGGCTATTTTCCGCCATGGTGTTAGGATGAGAAATAAAAATTTTTTTTTATGCTGCGGGTGTGTGCTGTAAAGACAGCTGTTAAAACACACCGGTCGTAGCAAATAGCATATTGTGGCAATACTCGAACAACAACACCAACAACTGCAGTTGCTGTGCACACACACACGGGCTCGCACACACGTGTACTATAGCAACTGCGCCAGAGAAACAAAATATGTTATAATCATTATTATTTTATTTTATTTTCACGTTCAGTTTATATTAGTTTAGGCTTGTGCCGATCGTTTACATAATATGACAGTTGACAAACGTTATCCGTCGTATACCACCGTCCTCCGGTCATAGTGTCATTATGTATTATGATATTAATATAATATTGGAATAAACACCAAAAAAAAAAACCATTATCGTTTCCAACACGTCCGGTTTGACCGTGGTCATGATGAGCCGCACTTGGCGTCGTCTGTCATATTACTATTATTGTTGTTATTATATTTTAAATTAGTCGAAATATCTTTTAAACCGGCGCTTATGATAGTGTAATGTACCGAATTATATATTTAAAGAGGCGCAAAACCTTAACGATGGCGGCTTGTATGATCGTCACCGTCGTTTTTCTGCTGTTTGTAATGAGAAGCTTGAACAACGCCACGGCCGACGACCAGACAACCGACAAGGTACCGCACACGGGGTGAGTACAAAAATACCTATATTATTATAATTACAACAATATTATCACATAAATCATAATTGAACTGAACATTATAATAATATTGTAAACGTTATCACAGTGCCCTAAGCCGCAGCTGATAACCTTGATTAAACGATAACACGGGTTGACCGCCTGATTTGTAATAGAATCTCTGTATTATACTACAATTATTATTAACTGACAGTAGACCTAAACAATTACACAGCGCTGTGTATTGTATGCATATAATTAACATTAAGTATAAACTTAAAAAATTGTATTAGTATTTCTTAAACTTTTAACAACTCAAGTCCCCGTGTTTTAGTATTTATGTATTAATTTAAATTATCTTTTAGATTGATATAAATATAAAAAATAATTTAATGAATTCAGTGTCCAACCAAACGGCAAAAAACAATAGAAAAAAATTAATTGCTAAAAAAAATTGTCGAAACACCTATTTCTGGTCAATTGACATAACTTCAATGTCAATGTGTTTTTTAGTATACTGGCTGCATTCTGACAGACCAATTTATAGCCTGAAACTCTAATTAATACTAGGGTTTGAGGGTTAATATGTTTTAACGAAGATTCTTTAATGATCCAATGCTGAGGAGATATTGGTAGATTTACAACAAATTACTTTGTAGTAAGCTGAAACATTTATTATAATATTTTAATTTTCTTGCCTGTTTCTACTCGAATAATAAATAAACTGCTAAAAATAATAAAAAATAAACCCCTAACCGGTTTTAAACGATCATTATACAAGTTATACTAATCAATTTCAAACTAGAAGCGAGCTATGTAACACAGATGAGTGGATATGAATAATATTCAGCTAAACCACTTACCGTTTTCCCCCTCTTATATCTCAGCGTTAAAGTAATGATCACTCGTTAAGTATTGTCGTATACGAACTTGGTTCAATACACGCAGTACACACACTCGAATAACGCTTATATTTTAGGTCTAACCTGAGTAGTATTTATTTACTGACTTCAAAGTATAAATGGCCAGTATTTCTAAACTCGTAAGGATGGTATACCATCGGCACACCTTGACCTAGAGCTAAGTATGAAAACTTAGGTGAGCCAGTGACTGATCCGTACGTTCAGTATTGAGTTTAGAGACCAATTTATAGTTAAGACACCTATCATAAATTAACTCAGTGACTATTGTTTTAAATTACACCTTTGTAATAATTAAACTAAAAGGAAAAAGGTAATTATTTTTAAAAGTAAAATAATAATAACTTCAAGTGATTTACACACAAATAAAATATAGTTTGCATTCAAACAAAGTTAAAAGTACACAAACGATAATAAACGCAAAACAAACACCCCTCGTATAAGCGATCATATACGAGAGAGTGACCATTCCCCGGGCTAAGCCCTAGAGAGTGCCTCTCGACATCCCAATTTGTGCGGCTTTAAATAATAGAAATAAATATAATTTTCGCTGTATAAACATATTAACCGTTTGTTATTTGGCCTAGATATATTGCTTAGTTTCATAATAATATTATTTTTCCTCGCTCTCACTACAATATACATTAAAATCTGGTTGTCGATCAGTTTTTTTTCAAGTACAATATTTATAAACAGATAGATGATGCTCGACATTTATTTGAACCAATTGATTTATTAAAATGTAATCATTAGATACCTCAAAATACAAAACATTACAAACAATTTAAAAAATAGTATAATAATTACAACGTTAAGGAGCACAGCTTATCTACGTTTCAACCTAATGTCAAGAAAAAATCGAATTTTATAATAATATGTTTTAATCATCATTTGAATGTTTTAATTTTTTTTTTTAATTTCTAAAACTTTAAATGAACATTAAAAAAATTATATTTATGTATTAGTTGCTAGTACCTATCTATTCACTAATCAGTTATTGTAGTTCAATATTTTCATTATGTTATAGTCACTTTATTGCGATGAATAATTATATATCTTACCAGAATCGACATCAAAAGATATTAAGACTTGACGTCTTTCTCTATCCTAAAACAAATGTTATGACAAATTGACTTATGCGAGTAACATCATACTATTACAATAATCAAATAATTCCAATTAAAAACGCAAATTAGTGATGTGAGTATTGTGAAAACGTTTAACTCGCAAATGCCATCGTAGTAAGTAATAAAACGAGTTGGGCCAATAATATTGTTGGGCAGTATAATATTTTTCTGCTGGTGCCTTTTCTTGTCCAATGGCGATCATTGAAGATTTACATTTGAATGGTAGATAAATACCATCATTAGTCGTAACCAACATAATAATAAGTATGCAAATTTAAAAGAAAAACGTTGCACAAAGCTAAAGATTCCAAATAATTGGATATCATCTATTTGAACTTTTTGTGCTTACTCTTTTTGTGTCGTTCATAATTCCAAAGCAGATGCTTTACGTGTTATATGTCTCGAAAAAAAACCGTTTACAATAATATACTTGTAGTGTGTTTAAATACATAAACATTCGGTTAATGTACTGTGAAAAACACTAGGACGGATGTCAAACTCACAAAACACTAGTACATTAGTATCATTGTACAAGCCATTATTAAAACAACACAACAAACCTCATTTAGAGGTTATTTAGAGGTGACACAATGGTGTATTCATATTATTCTCAAACTAAATACAGACTTCTGTTCAAAATGTCTTCCCTCTATTTAACCCAAAAGAGTGATAACCACGTAGACAACAAAGACAACAAATAAAACGAAATTGTAAAATATTTTCCTATAACATTCTAACATTTTTTCAATATCAATTGAGTCTAAACTCTCCAAATTGTTCACATGCTCAACCCGGTGCAACAAATCTACTTTTTTTTCACGCATAATATATTTCTTACCTTTCAAAGTTTGTTAATTTTGGTATTTTATATTTGTCGTAGTATTGCTCTTCTGAAATATCAAATAACGACAACTGTTCACGTTATGTATTGTCACGCGATTGACATTTATGGCAGTATAACAATATTATCTATAACCCATATAAATTAAACGGTCAATTAATACAAGTACTTAAATCATATTGTTTTGTTTTTCTCTTATAAAAACCCACTTTTGTTCGATACTATAAGTTAACACTAGGTACTTGAAAATACTAAATATTTTTTTTAAAACTTCTATTACTACTAACCATTTTAAGTACTCCGAAGAGACTATATTCAACCCTTCTACATCATTATTATAAAACAGTTACAGCACCCTTTCGATTTATTCCGTCTTGGCTGCCATATGGTACTCACCCCATTTGCCTACCCTCCTAATATTGTTTTAGTTATAGAGGACTTTGTGCTGAACACTATAAAAAAAACCCAGGTAGAGTTGACAAAATTAAAACGTATCGGGTTTAACTTGACAGAGTTTTATTGGGCTTACGCACACCCCCAAAAAATGAATTAAATAGCTATTCTGTACATTTATTGGTCCAATCATGTGTAAAAAGTACCAATACTGTTGTACAAAGACCTTCTATGGCATGGGGAATATAATAAATTCATCAGTCGACATATCCTCGTGGGTAGAATCACATTACTAATGCCTGGGAGGGTTGGGATAGGTTAGGTTAGGTCCTTATGCTGTTAAGAAAATTGGCTTTTAACTGGTCCAATTCGCTTGTCATTCGACGCTGACTAATCTGTAAAATGTATCGTTTCTAGAAAATATTATACTTGCGTGAACGACACGTGTGTATTGACCAAATTTCCGTTGTCCGAACAAATAAACGGCGAACCAAACGGATCGATAGACGTTTGCCGCATGACATGTGGACCCTATGGAGCACTATGGCCCCGGCCGACAATTAAGACGGCCATCAAGTAATTGTTTGAACGCGCAAAACAAAAGCTAGAACTTGATTTAATTTAACTACCTATGGTGTTTGTTCAAATAGAAAATCTATTATCGAATTCGGATTGGAGAATGTACAATTTAACTTGTCCTCCGTGGCCGACGATCTCGGCAAACAGTACTTGACCGAAGCTTCCGAGGTGTTTTTAAATTCGCTAAAAGCCCTCTGCAAGCCTCGGTGCGCTCCTTACGCCAACAACCCTACCGTTTACATAAGCACCACCACCCCTTTCGATTACCTCAAGTGGACAACCAACGAACGGTACGCGTTGAGCATCGTCACAGAAGGTTTGTTGTTTTAGCCATTTGTGACAAACGGACGCAGACTTGTAATATTTATGTTGACACTTTCAGGCAATAAGATTACGGTCAAAATTACCGCACAAACGGTGTACGGTGCCCGACATGGATTGGAAACACTGCGGCAACTGATAGCCACATACGGCACGCTGGAGTACGGCAAGAACTTGGTGATGGCCTCGGACGTTTCCATAAGTGACCAACCGGCGTACGCTCACCGAGGTTTTATGCTGGACACTGCCAGACATTACTTCCCTATTTCGGCTATAAAAAGGACCATTGACGGTATGGGTCATTCCAAACTCAACGTATTCCATTGGCATGCCACCGACACCCACAGTTTCCCACTGGACTTGCCCAGCGTGCCGTTAATGTTCAAGTAAGTCACACCGATAGTTTTCGCACAAATTTCCCCTTAAATACCGTTGCCTAGTTGCTGTAGTTTGGTAAAAGGTCCCAAAGTAAATTTCTCCCAGCGTTTTCGTTGCTTACATAACTTACAGGGTATGAATCCGTAAGATTGGCACAAGATTCTCCTAAGGATTCACCGGGGAATCCAATAAATGCCAGGGGACTCCCCGAAGTATTTTAGACTCTAAGAGGTCCCTAGGAAGATACTCCGTTGCCTTTAACCTTGCTGGCTTAATGATAATGACTAATAATACTCATCGTTGATCATTCGCAGGTACGGCGCTTACAGTGCAGAACAGAAATATTCCTACGACGACATCAAAGACCTACTCAGGTACGCCCTGGTGAGAGGCGTACGGGTAATAATGGAAATCGATTCGCCGGCACATGCGGGAAACGGGTGGCAATGGGGTAAATCCGAGGGTTACGGAGACTTAGCCGTTTGTGTCGACAAAGACCCTTGGAGACAATACTGCGTACAACCGCCTTGTGGTCAGCTCAATCCGATCAACAGCAACACGTACAAATGGCTCGGAAAACTCTACAAAGACTTGGTCAGCCTGTTTCCCAAAGGCGAGGCGTTCCACATGGGTGGCGACGAAGTGAGTCATGAGCACAACAGCTGTAAAGCACTGTTTTTTTTTTTAATTAAATTACTCGTCATTCATTTGCGTAGGTCGCCATCAATTGTTGGAACACCACTCTGGAAATCGTCCAGTGGATGAAAAAGAACAAAAACAATTTGAGCGAAGAAGCGTTTGCCGAACTATGGGCCGAATTCCACGCTAAAGCGTTAAACGCTTACGACAGCGAAGTCGGAGACGCCAATTCTGACATTATAGTCTGGTCAAGCGGATTGACCGAGCCGGAAATCATACAAAAACATCTGGACAAAAACCGGTTTGTCGTGGAAATCTGGGAAGACCCGACGAGTCCAGCCAAGTTGACCGAACTGGGGTACAAAGTTATAGTAGCGATGAAAGACGTGTACTACTTAGACCACGGATTTTGGTCGCCGACAAACTACCACACGTGGAAATTGATTTACAACACGAAAATGCCGGTGGCGAACAAAACGAATTTGATTTTGGGGGCAGAGGTAATGGGGCTGTTACTAAATCCCACACGTCTATAATGAGACATTATTTGTTTGTTTTTTTTTATTCATAGACCTGCATGTGGTCCGAGTACGTGGACGAACTGGGTCTGGACTTAAAAGTCTGGCCCAGAACCGCAGCCCTGGCAGAAAGACTGTGGGCGAATCCGTCAACGAGATCTCAAGCTGCTGAATACAGGTACGAGCCGGACGCGTCCGTGAAAATGTAAACTAAAACTAAAAAACCAATTACTATTGCAGAATGCAACAACACAGAGAGCGACTCATTACTCTCGGGATCAAGCCAGATGCCATCATGCCAGAATGGTGTTACGACCGCGAAGGCGAATGCAAACTGGAATAAGTAAACGTTCCTTTTGTATTAAAATTATTATTATTTTCACACTTTGCTTTGTTCTTTTTTTATACTTCAATAAAACGTATACATATTATTATTTTATTAAAAATATTTTCAACTTATTTTATATATTATAACAATAATAAAAAAAAAAATACTCAGAGGTTATTGCGAAATTTCGCTTCGTAATAGTTTTGCAAGGCACGCCTCAGCACTGCTATGGTGAAATCTACATCGTCCTTTGTCACGCACATGGGTGGCATAAACCGCAATACCTGTCAATCAAAACCAGGTCCATCATTACATAGTAAAACAAAATTGACAATTACACGCATAAGCAAAATTATAAAACGTAGAATGTTTTGGATTATGATTAGGATTTTGTTAATTATGATAAAAATAACTTTTTATTTTCACCATTATTATCACTACCGTACGTTTCATCAGACGATTTCTCCCAATTTCCTCCCTTTATTAGTTTCGTTACGGTTTTTTTGTAAAACATAATATTATATGTTAATAATAGCAATAGTGTCAACGATGTCCACTAACGTTGGATCGAGCTCCGCCGATGCCGATGAGGAGTCCCATCTTGGAACAGTCGTTTTTGATGCGAGAAATAGCTCTGGAGCTCAAAGGACTGGTGGGAATTCCCGTGTCGCTCTCGTCGTGTTTTTTGTCCACCAACTCCACCCCGATCATCAGCCCTTTGCCCCGCACGTCGCCGATCACCGACCATTCGCGCCTCATGCCGCACAGTTTCTCTATAAAGTACGTGCCCACTTCCAGACTGTTCTGTTGCATCTTCTCGTCTTCGATCACCTACGAGCACACACAAAAACTTCATACGTATAAAAAAAAAAAAAAAAACCGGGAAACGGCCATTACCTCCAACACTTCGATTCCCACCGCGCACGCCACCGGATTTCCGCCAAACGTGTTGAAGTGAAATCCCGGGTTCAACGATTTGGCTATTTCCGACGTGGTCACCACCGCCGCCATGGGGAACCCGTTACCTATTCCTTTGGCCATGGTCACTATGTCGGGCGTGACGCCGTGCGATTGAAAGTTCCAAAAATGCTCTCCGGTCCGGCCGAATCCGGTTTGCACCTCGTCGGCCACGCACAGACCGCCGTTGCTTTTGATCAGCTCGTACGCTTTTTTCAGATAACCCTTCGGGAACTGGACGACGCCGCCGACGCCCTGAATGGATTCGGCGAAAAACCCGGCCACTTGGGCTCGGGGCAGCGAATATGTGAACAGCTGTTCCAGTTGGTCGTAATACTTGTCGGCAGCCCAGCAGTTGTTTTTGCTGCATTTGCAAGCCCTCAAGGTTTGCGACGGCGAGTCCCTACAGTTCTTGCCGCCCCAAATGCCTTTGAACACGTCCGGGCACATCGTGTGGTGCAGCGAATGGCCTACCGGCTGGTTGTACCTGGTGGCCGACAGGGCGGTAAGCCCGTGTAGACTTCCCGCCACGCCGTGGTAACAGTTTTGGATAGACACCACGTCTTGGTTGCCCGTGTACAACCTAGCCAACTGCAACGCCAGTTGGTTGGCCTCCGACCCACTGTTGACCAGGTATACGGTCTGCAATGTTAACCAAAAGTGTTTTAAAGTAACCGGCGACATTGAGTATGGCCGAAGAAATAGCAGACTAGGCACTTGAAAATGATTACTATTTTTTATCAGATGTATATCAGTCCTGACGTTGTGTACTACTCACGTTGAGATCTTCGGGCATTTTCGACACTAACTTCTCCACGTACTCGTACAGCTTAGGGTGTTCGTACACTGCGGATACGTGATTCAAGTTGGCCGCCTGACGGGCTATGGCGTTGGTGATCCGTCTGAAAACAAATACCGACAATTTTGGTTTTGTGCGCCAAGTGTACCGCCAACTAATCGGTCATACTGACGGATGACAGTGTCCCACGCTGACCGTAGCTATGCCGCCGAACATGTCCAAATACCGTTTGCCGTTGTGGTCAAACAGCCACTGCATTTTGCCCGTGTACAGCAACAACGGTTCCTCGTACATCTGTCTTTGAGGGAACACATTTTGCGCCTGCATCGACTGCGCCTTCTCGTACGACGGGCCCTACGTTGAACATTTTCAAAATATTACTGTAAACCGATTTAAAAATAATTCTTAATAGTGCTATCGTTTGTGTTAGCCAAGACGCGACTCGTTTCCAGTTAATTTATTTTTATTATTTCCGTCAACCCCTATCTGACCCAGTATATTATTTGGGTTTTTCTCATTTCTTCCAAAACGTTATAACCAAACAATCTCAATATTATTATTCTGGTTCGTTTCTCTTGCGCTTTGACGCACCTCTCAAAATATCTTTTGTATTCCCATTCTAATTGTCAACATTCTCACTTCAGCTACTTACATATTCCTTTCAACTGTCCTGATTAAACCTCAACGCGTTTATCCATACATAACTGATTTATCTACACACATACAGCAAAAATATAGTATTTTAAAATTACATTATATTATAGTTAATGTTATAAATGTTAATGTTATGATACATAAAACTATTATTTTGGTAGGAAATCAAATATAAAAAACCACAATTTTTTTAAAAAAATATTTCTCTAATATTAAAAAACAATTATAATATCGAGGAATTATTATTTAAAATTCTAACCGTGTACCGTTAATGTATTAAAATAAAAATTAAATAATATGTTGATTAATTCTACATAAAAAACAAACTCGATTTTTGTACACATAATGTTGTTTGACTTTCTAAAACATTTTATTTATTGATAGTATTAGTTGATTAAAAACATGTACATTAGTATAGTATTTACTTTGTAGGGTGGAGGAGTGAAATCAATTGGCGGTAGTACCGGAAAAGGATTTATTGTCCCGTAGCACTTGTTGAATGGTTTATGAAAGCCTGGTAAAAAAAAATATCTCTTAAAATTTGTTCACTATCAAAATTCAAATATCGTCGAATGGGTTTTTTTTAACAACGCATCAGAACACAATGGATTAACATACATTTTCGAAAAGGGGGTCACGCTTAAACTATATTAGTTTAAATTATGATAATTTGTTTGCCGGCGACGTACTTTCTATACTTACTAATTTCATAATACTCACACAAAGCATATTTTGTTCTATAGTAAAAAACAGTAGGTAGGTACATCAACCCGACAGTGTACCAATTTGAATTTTGTTTTTAAAAGTATATATTGTAATATTATATAAATTATGATGCAGTGCCGCAAAATAATATTCTATTAAATTAGTAAATTATACAGATAAACGGAATGTACGAGTATTGTTGTGCACTCGTGTCTATGACGTTTGTTTCTTTGTGCTGATAAACTTGATCTTCGATAGTAAAAAAAATTGTTTTTATCTAACTACAATTACTATTTATAACTTATAAACTGAACAAAACAAAATAAAAAGTTTTTATTACAATCGTTTATAAATATCGCTATTCATTGTAAAATTATTTAAACTAATCATTTCATTAAATTTGCTTCAGCACAAAATATAATGAAATTCGCTAAAATTCGAATACATAATATTTAATAAAAATACAATATTTTATAATAATTGTTACAACATTCTAAAATCATATTTTAGCAGAAAGTAATAATATATTGATGACACAAATATTTTAAAAATATTTTCTTTAAAATTATAAAATAATTTAAATATTTAGAAATTATCATTGAGAGATTTGTGTTATTTGTATTTTATTTCCTGATAAAGTATGATTATGAAATGTGTTTACAATTTACGTTTGCCTGATTTATTGTAAGTATGATTTAAAAAAGAGAAAAAGCTAGTTAGTTTAAGAAATAATTATTTTTACAGTACTCTGCTTAGTCAGACCACAACAATATTAAGCTATAGTAAGTGAAGATACTATTTCTAAATTCTAATAAGCTGATTTTTCAGTGAATCAATAACTATAATATAATAATCTTTATTTATTAGTAAATATCAACACACGCTTATCAGATCAAAATATCTAAATTTTTGTTTAATTATAATTTTATATAGTATCTTGATCGTTGCATCGTTTTGTTTTTAAACTGATAAAAATTAAGCTTTAACTGGACAGCCGTTAGCACATTTCTTGAATGAACGAAAACAATATAGTTTAGAAAAATCGAATTGCATAATTAATCAACAAGAGCTGCACAAACAATAATTGATACAGTTAATTAAAATTAAATGAACCATTTACATGTACAAGAATACAATAGCAATTTTCAGTGATTTCTTACAGTGTTCCGTAATATATTTTAGAAGCCACTGAAAATGTCTATTGTATTCATTACATATTTTAAAACGTCCATGCAAACCTTTATTAGTATTCACAATGACCAACTCATTATTAGCTAGTTTAAAGTCTGAGGCGCATTGTGAAATAATTGTAAAAATAACAGAATCCAAATGATCACAAACTAAACTGAATTATTAATTAAACATTTTAAGATTTTCCTTTATCAGTTTTTAAACCTATAATTAAGTTAATGGCTTTAGGTTAAAATTCATAGTTAAGAGTTATAATTCAAAACACTAACCTTTTATAATGAATTAAATTAAATTTTATCAGTTTTTTAATAACTGCACGAAAAATAAATAATATTTACAAATGAAATAATAAGAGCCAAAAGTGGACAAGTGACATTTTTTATTCGAAAACAAGTTTCTATTTATTAAAATAATATTTATGTATCTTTACCTAATAATTTATTTAATAATGTTTTGGAAAAATAATAAAAATAGTTATTCCACAACTTAGACCTTAACTTTTTAACAGCTGGTCTAAATGCTTTGTATTATATTATGGAATTTGAGGATCTAAAAAAAGTCTTACATCTTATAAACGACATTAATTATATTTTTACTCAGTTTTCACAGTTTATATGATATTGTGTCATTGATTTTATAATAATAAAATTATAGACATAACATTAATTGGGGTTAATTTTAACTAAAAAAAAAAATGTCAACTCTAAAATGGTGAAGTATTCTATTTTCCGACATTAGTAAGTTAATGAGATATGGCAATTTTTTAAGATTTTCTCAGAACTCATTTATAGTCCAAATGAGTTGATATTTTTACGGGCTCAATCCAATACAATAAGAATTATTTATGGTAAAAAATGGGCTTTCCACTTGTAATTTTAAGTGAAATACAAACAATTCAGTATATTTTTTGTCGTTTGTATTATACAAACATGATAACGCTAATATAATAATTATATTATATTCTTTTAAACCAGACGGCCGAGAATCGCGGGAAAATATAGTGTTGAACGGTGTTTTTTTTTATACAATATTAAACAACATTTAATAACATAACATAATTTATATACATTTTTTTATATTACCTTTGAATTTACTGCGGACGTGCTTCATGGTGAAAAAAAAAGCTGCTGCTGCTGCTGGTGCTGCCGTTTAGGGTACCGCAACGACAGTAACAAACGGCCGAATCAAAACAATATTACAATAATGATTATACAGCGAACGGAAACAATTATTATAGTAACCGCACACGCCCAGCCTTTTTTTCCCTCCGATTGACTTTTGCTGGGCCAAAGTTCAAATGATAATGTACGGCTTGTGTGTGTGTGTTGTTGTTAGAATAAATTTTAGTTTTGTCAAAAAGGAACGGTTGAAATGGGGAAAAAAAATAAGAAAGCCGCCTTTTCGCTCGAACGCACTACTCTATTGCATTTTAATAGGCCCTTCAAGTATGCGCGTACCTGTGGTATGTGCACACCTAAACCGTTCATTAACGCCGTGTGTAATTGGATACAATAAACTATTTTATTACCGTAATAGTAGTATTATAGTAGGTGCCAAAGGTTGTGATGATAATAAAAATAATAATTAAAAAAAACAATGAAACGCACTCGACGGTCTCTAGCGGTCAACGAGTCACGGTGGACGGCATTATGATGATCTATATCCATAAAACAGCTCATAAGCATAGTGCATTAATCGCACATTATCGCATCGATAATGTACAAAATATACAATATACACGAGTACAGGGTGTCTAACGCGATGTTTAAACAAAAGTTTAAAGTCTTATAAAAACATTTGGAAAAGTCCTTTTTTTTCACAGGAAAGTGTTTAGTTTAAAAAAATACAAACTTTTCCAGTTCTTCGTTTGTTTAAAAAAAAAATCCAGTGTTTAAATAGGAGCCTAAAACTAATGAAGATGACATTATATTATATGGAATAACTTTACTTTTACACAACTATCGACCGAATGGATTTTATGTTAAATAAAATAAGTACATCGAATCGTATTACTATTATAGAAGCACAAACAAATACAATTCAACATAAATTATTGTAAAAAAAAAAATTGAGGTGCCTAGAACATGAGGCTTTACTTTCCTTTTAAAACTCATTTTTTCTCGACACCGCAAAACATGCAATAGACACCACCCTGTACCTGAACAACAAAACGGCAGATGGGTCCGTTTAGTTGACACCATAATATTTATGTTTGATATTATAATTAAGTAACTAGTGTACCATCTAGTCTTGTAAAAATCAATATTGTCGGAGATTAACTAATATATATATATATATATATATATATATATATTATATTATATTATTATGCTAACAATCCATAAAATATTATATTGACACTATAGCAGATAAAACGTGTAGACGTCGTTGAAATAATTGAAATATCATATGTTTCAATATGTTATTGAAATTCGGATAAATTAATTAGTTATTGTTTTTCAAAATCGTCAAGTGTTTTGAAATTTAGTCACATAAAAATATGTCAACCGTGTGATTTATGGTGCTCTTGTATTATAATATGCTTAATATGTCAATGGATTAGCTGATAAGGCAGGAGATATCGGTGTTCTTCAGTTTTCTTGTTGTTGTTAATTAAGACATTACATAACCACTTAACTACCGACCGTAGATGCTAAATTCCAAGAAAAAGGATCACACGCGAAGCCTTTTCGAAAATTCGAATACTTGAATATCAAAGTAATATTAATTATTATGGTGAATTCACATGTTTGCGGTTAGGAGATTTCAGTGCCCGGCCGTTAGTATAAAAGCAATTATTTAATGTAAGGTTTCACTATTTAATTATACAATTATTCTTTAGGACACCAATCACCACCCATATTAATTATTAATACAAATGATGGCTATTTATTCTGTGATTGAAAAAAATATATATATTGTTTTCTAATTTTTCTGGTCATACGAAGTTTTTATTTAAATCATTAATTTAATATAAATTAACATATTATACGTTATTTAAACAAATAACTTGGGTCAACTAAAACTGAAATGTCCAAAAACTCATAGTATGTTTTTTGAAAATAAACCTATATTAGTTTTTTTAAACCAATTGCTTAATAAATAGGTTTTTCAAATACATTTTTGTTAAACTAAAACGCGCTTGGATTATTATTTCGACTTCAAGGAACCTAATTTTAATTAATAGTTAGGAGAAAATAATTTCGTAGCAAAATCTTAGATTTATTGACTTAAAACACGTAACTGCTTAAAAATTTGAGCCCAACCAACAATGTACTTTAATAAAAATAATTGCTTTAGGTATGACACAGTACACATACAAAGATATATGATATTACCTGCTATATTCTACGATTTTGCGATAACACTAGTCACCAAGTCGATCTATTTTTAAATTAATATGACGTACTACAATGGCTTTACCGCTCCTCGCTGCTTGCCGCATTAGTTTTGTTTTGACAGTAGTTTAATTTATTTTATAAAACAAATAATATAAAGTTATTATATTACGGTTTAACTTTGACAAGAATTAAAAAAAAAAAAAGTATTGTAGACCAAGTTATCGCTATATTTGTTGGACTCCGTCTCACAAGTCGTGTTTGCGGTGACCAACATAAAATTTTACTGAATCATCTAAAATCAATCAAATCTAAAAAAAATCATTAGTTTAATAAATAATCTAGAGCCTGATCAAAGCTTTTTTTTTTTAAGTAAGCAAAATGGTGACCTCTGATTATTTACTCGCCGATTTTCAAGGAAAAAAGCACTAGTTTATTGTTTATAAAAAATATAATTTTTAGTAAAAAAAAAACCTTTGATCAGGCACTAGTTTTTTATGCTTTTAATAAGCTGTATAAATTTCATTCAAATCTGTGAAGTGGTTTTTGAATTACAGTGGTCACCGTCTTTGAAGAAATAGTTTCGAGAAAAACTTATTTGAAAAGTTTTATACTCGATTCATGTATAAAAAAATAAATTATTTAATTACTTACATCGAGTTATCTATTCCTTTGATTAACTTAAAATTTTCAGATAATATTTTCAAGACATAATACTTTAAGAAAATACAAATTAAAAAAATCGAATATTTTAAAATCCTGACTACCCCTAACACCTAAGTTTTTCATTCAAAATTAAAAGTAGGTGTCTTCTAAAACAATAAAACCCATCACATTCATCAGTATGGCTGATTTCTGTACATATCTAATTTTCATGACGACATATAATAAGACAATTCCTATCAATTTATTTTATTCATATATATACATTTCCCCCCCCCCTGTTTAGGACCTCTGTATCCGCCCTTGGATCAATGATCTCTACAATTGTGGATCAATAGTTGAGCAAAAATTGTAGTATATAGTATTTGTTAGTAGGTCCTTACTAACTTAGTAAGAAATTTTACATGTTTTTTTTTTTGTTTGGAATAACGTTTAATGCCATAGAGTTAAGAAAATGATGTTACCAACGCTTGTTGCTGACACTGTTTTCGCTCAACTGATAACGGCCGTTATCATCTTTTCGCCGATGACCCTCGTGTTTACATTTTGTATATTTCAGAAATTATTAAGTCAAAATTTGGAACAATCATTATTAATAATCAATCAAATCTCGCGTGTGATTGGATTTTTTTCTTATTACACAATATTAACGTGCAAATGCTTTTGTACGGGTTTCCGCCAAAGTCTACCATCAACGCGTCGACGTTTCGGTAAAATCAAAGTGCTCGTTTGGTCCGTTGTCGCCGAAAAAAAAAATGGGAGATTCCGAATTAGAAGCTTTGCGGGCTCAGCGAATGGCCCAAATGCAGTCGGAGCGCGGGGTAAGTATTAGAAAAAAAAAAAATGATCTATAATTGCGTTTTAATTTTATTTTTCAACTAGCCGCAAGACGGTAATACGGCCGAAAAACAAAAACAGGCCGAACAACAGCGTCAGGCGGTCGAAGACATGAAACACTCAATACTGACCCAGGTGCTCAATCAAGCGGCTCGAGCGAGACGTAAGGATTTTTAACTGGTCAACTGTCTAGGTAATATATGTTATATGGTGAACGTCCCAATGTTACAGTAAACACCCTGATGATCGGCAAACCAGAAAAAGGACGTATGGTGGAAAATATGTTACTGAGAATGGCCCAGTCCGGACAGATTGTCAACAAACTGGGAGAGGACGAACTCATAGGACTGTTAGAACAAGTCAACAGCCAAATGCAGTCTCAAGAACGAAAAACTACCGTTAAAGTGAGTCGTCTGAATTAAAAGTTTAATTTTCTTATTTACAGACTATTAATTAATTTTTATATTTTAGTTTGACAGAAGAAGAGCCGCTCTCGATGATTCCGACGAGGATTACTAACTGCAGCACTGTTGATAAATTTAATTACATTTTGTACTAACAAGAAGTAGCCACTATTATTATTATTATTATTATTTAAAAGAGCTCGTGGAATTTAACAAAAATTATTATTCATATTCCATGTATAATATAATAATTAATATGTTATAAATATACCTATATTTATATATATATATACAATACTTAACAAAAAAAATATGAGCTTCTTGTTGCTTTTTTTTTAATAATATTTTTATACAATTTAAAAGTTAATAATATAATAATGAACCTTTTCCAACTAATATTATCATCCAAGTTATTTTTATGAATAAAACGGAAATCCCTGCTCTATTTCTTATCAATAAAGTATGTTATTTTCATTCAGTCTATATTTTGACATAATTATTATTGGTTACAGGTTATCATAATTTAAGTTTTATTCTTAGTTTAAAAGGTCAGAAAAAAATCTTTACCGATTCGCTAAATGCCACATTTGCAAAGTATGAGTGAAACTTGTAATATAAAATGCATAGGAAGCTTAAGTCCAAGTCATGTAAAAGAATATCATATTACAGCAAATATTAATGAGGGTGTACAAATATAAGCTCGCAGCATTTAACCTTCACAACCTTTGATATAATTGAAAAAACAAAAAATAAAAAACTTGCTACTATAGATCCGAAACTGAAAATTGTAATCGTTTTGATTCGTTTTAATCGCTGATTTAAAAGTGCTAATAAACATTTTAAAGTAACAATAATGATAATTTCACTCTTAAACTGATGATATAGTCTTTATATCCTAATCAAACCAAGGCATTATTTAAAAAAATATTCAAATAAAATAAATACAATTTCATTTTTATTTTAACAAATGTCCAAATAATGATAAAAATAAGATTTCAAATAAAAGTTAAAAAAATAAATTGAAATAAATTAGTATTTAAAGTAACATGTTGATTGTAAGAGTAAAAAAAAAAATATTTAAATAAAGTATTTGGAACAATTCATAAAAATGTATTTCAAGCAAAAGTTAGTTAATATGCTAAATTAAAGTTTATTCCAAATAGCACATTATTTTTTATTTAAATAACTAATGCTAAGGTTTGATTTTAATCAGGTCAGGCGATTAATTTAAATACATGTTTACTAAAATACAAATAGTAATAATTCCTTTAATTAAAAAAAATTATTAAAATAACTCTTCTAACAAATAAAATTGTATTTTTATCTGTAGGAATTCAAATAACAAATAAATAAGGAATTTAAATACAATTTAAAAAATTATCTCAATTATTTATTACTTATTTTATTTATTTTTTTACCATAAATTATTTAAAATAACGAGTTACTTGAAAATAATCAAATAAACATGGTTTGAATAAAATATTTTTTGAAATTTTATGTCATCAATTATTTATTATTTTAAGTGGCATCTCCCAATTTTCTGTGTTCATGACGTGTATTCAAATTGTATAACTGCCAATTTAGAACAGGAGTACATCGAGTTTTGAGTAAATGCACAATTAGACTAGTGGAGTACATTCAGCAAGCACCCTTGTGTTACTTACACCACTGCTGTTGTCGTCGTCAAAGCAAACAATTATTTAAATGCAACAACAATTATGAATAGGTAATTTTTTTTTTTTTTAACCAAAAAATCAAATATTTAACAATCACTCCATTTTTTTTTTCAATACTCACAGCAATATAATATAATGTAATTCATGATTATGTAAATTACTATTTACATACACAACTATCAATCTATTTGGATTTGACAACAAAAAATAAAATTTTTAGCATTGAATAGCAATACAAATAATAGTATTAATAAAAACTAAAATAATCATAATCATACAGAAAACAAAAACGAGGTCCAGTCTTGGCAAATACCTTTGCACAAATTGTGTACAGAGTTTTTTAGACTCGTGTAAATATATGATAGGATATTGTTAATTTTATCCTACCGATATTATGCTTGTACGGCTAAAACTCATAATGGGAATGTTATGTGATATTGTCGTCAGCCGAATCACTGGGGTCGGCCGATAGCTGGCTGTTTGAAGCTGAACCGTTCTCTTGCTGCTCAAGTCGTGTCGCGATATTGTTTAATTCCAGATAGTTATCCCTCAACAAGCTGGTTAAATACGTAAATATAAAAGTATTATTAATCAACTTAATTTAAAAAATAAAAATACATGTACAAATGTGAATCAGGCAGTAAAAGATCCTCAACTCACCTTAGTAACACTTCAGCGTTTTGCGTACCATGGCGTATCGCTTCAGCTGCTGGAACGTTTGTCGGAATAGAGAGCAAATTAGCCGGGTTTGATAAGCCTTGCTCCCTAATCCGTAGCAAAACTCTTAGACTCCTCACTTCGTCCTCAGCTCTTTGAGCTCTTATCTACAAATGTACCGTTATAACAACCATTAACCATTTTATCTGATTTATATACATGCAATAAAACTTACTAATGCTTGTTGGAGCATGTTATTTAAATTTAACACTGTCGTCCTGAGGTCTTGTTCTGTCGCTTCTAACCTGGCCACCCTGGCTTCTACTACTTGACTGTGCCTAAATAAAATTAACGAGTTTTCATAATTTATTTATCAAAATATATTTATTTTATTTGTAACAGGATTATCAAGTGCCCATTATATCCAAAGACTGCACGACTGGTTACAAATAAAATTAATCTATACAAATTCATTTAACGTTTTGATTTATAAAAAACCTTTGAAACCTAGTAAAATTCTGATTTGTAGGTTGAGCAGCAGCACGTTGACGGTTGATTGTGATGCTTATGCGATTTCGGTCGGTTTGGGGTTCACTTCTGGTGACTGGATGAACAACAGGATGAACAACGGGATGAACTGTGACGCCAATAGGACCGTCAGCTAAGAAATCTGGCAAACTGTTAGTGGCTGTTGGTGTGGTGGCACGTGGCTGTTGCGTTGTAGTGTTGGTAAACGGCAGATCCAGCGGCATGACAACGCATTGCTGGGGAGTGCGGTTGCTGCGATTTCCAAACATTGATGGACGATTGGTTCCACGAGTCAGATCGATGCTGTTTGCACGTGATTCGGGATCTCCATTGTCATATGGCGGCTGATCGGTAGCTAGATGGTCTTGCACAAAGTCTGGTAGAGTAGACGTCTCCGTCACGGGTCGTACTGGTTGTGAAATACTGGGCACTACTTCCACTTTGGGTTTGGACGTTTGATTGGAGCCGTTGTTGCACAAGAAATGTCTGAAAGACAGAGGATTGTCTTCACGCTTAGAGCTGCAAGCTGCACCTTCACCGGGATCTACTACAAAATAAAAACATAATTTAATATGTTGTAGTTAGAAAAAAAAAATGTATACATTAAGAATCCTGTAAAAATTGTTGGCCCAATTTACAATTTTCAAAAAGTGTCTAATGTTTGTGACCTGCACTCTGAAAAATATTGAACAGTTGATTTTTTGGATAAATAATTTTCCAATTAAAAATTTGTGGGTTTAAACAGTTCATTTATTTATTATCTTCCTATAAAAAATAATGTAGAAACTCAAAACCACAATTTTGGAATTTGGACGATTGCAAATTAGGCCAACGATAAATAAAACACAATTACATCAAGAGATATGTTCAAGACAATAATCTCTCACAGACCGGCAAGGCACGATCGCGAGGGTTCAGTTTTTAAATAATATAGAACATTTTTACTTTGTTCAAAATGGTCTCCCATGATTGTAAAAAAATGTTTTAAATCTGATAGGGTTATCTAAAAAATGTAGTTTTTTTAATTAACATTAGCACTAAGCCAAAGTTTTAAATAAGATGCGGATTAATTGGTTTTTCTCAAGTTCAAAACGTCCAAGGAACAAAGGTCATAATCACAGATTAATGTTTATTTTTTAGCTTATCCATATTATCCTCTGTTATTGTACTTTAAATAGGTACAGTGTGGTGGAAAATAAAAGACACATTTGTAATGGGCGCCATAATTTTAATTTTTGAGGAAGAGGGGTGAAAAAAAACAAGTTGTTGCAAAATTAGGGAAGTTTTATTGGATATGAAAAAATATTATTTGTGAAACAGATTATTCGATAGATGGCGTCCTTGAACATAGATGCATTTTTGGAGGCGCTTGCCAAGGTTTTTCATTGCTTTCTCCAACATTTCCACTCAAATTGATGCAATTTCACTTCTAACTGTATCCTTTAAATCGGAAAGGGTTTTAAATAATTTAAAACATTTTAAGGTGTTTTAACTGACTCAAAGAAAGTTTTTATTAATTGCTTCATAGTTGTAAGTATAAAAAAATATCGCTGATATTTGAAAATACATAAACATACAATTTTAACCAAACAAAACCAATAAATGAACAACAATATGTTAACCTAAGAAATTTTAGGTTGATTTTAGTGAAAGGTGAAAGGACAATAGAAATGTTATATGTTGCTATCACACTGTCACATTCCAGTAACTGTACATTAGATTTTTTTTTTACAAATAAATAATAAGTAGGTAGGTAGGTCTAGTGAGACACATCAAGTACTATATTATACAATTGATCGACTAAAACAAAAGACGTCGTTAGCTAGCCATTAAAATCACATTAGATTTTGCAATCAAATAAAATATCAAATTTTATCTATGATTTTAATCAATCGTTTTAGGGAATTTTTAAAGGAATGTAGAATGTTCTAAATACAATTAATCTTGTGTTAACAACAAACTAGTTTTCTACTGTTGAACAAGACTTTACACCGCAAGACGGTGAACTTGAATTGATTGATGAAATATGTATTTTGTGGTAATTAAAAAGCATTAATACTCACAGTTCAAATCGTTATCGTCACTCCTGCTGTCGGTGTGGGTGCCCAGACCGATGTCCAACTGACAAGGAGGAGAGTTTTCGTTTCCGTTGGCCAACAAACTATCGTTTCTTACGTCATTATCGTTACCGTTGTCCGTACTGTTGGCGACCGCATTATCAGTGTCGTTCAACGGGCCATTGTCTTCCTCTTCGTTGGACATAGTGTGGCGATTTCATAAAAATTACCGAACGGAGGAAGTCAAAGTCAGGAGAAAAAAAACTGGTTAAATGCCCAACTGTATAGCGATTATTATTTACAAATACCTAATATTATGTCAAAATAAACATTTGCAATTCCTAACGAAATGGCCGGACGACAATATCCGAATCAAAAGGCGAAACGTAAACTATACCGAGTTGAATAATTCGTACGCACGACAGTACACAGCAAAAGAATGTAACACATAAATTTGATTTGAAAAAAAAAATTGCGATTTGCGAAGCATTAGCGATAAAATAATTGTATGTGTGACAATCAGAAAAATCAAAGAGTAGGGACTGCGCTCAAGTGATAATGGTATCAGTGCGTCCAGGTAAAGAACAGGAAAATGGCTATTTAATAACCACAGCACTCAGCTGCTGCAATGCTTATCCTACGGGCAATAGTTACCATAATATTATTCCTGATAACAACATGTTGATTGTTGATTTCGGAAAGTCGTTCCATATAAGATATCAATATTCCATGAAGGAACTCTAAGGAATAACATTAAATATATATTGACATTAATACCTATACGAATATACGAATATACCCCATTATCGCCTATAGGTTGAAAATAAAATGTAAAATGTTTTCTACTTTGTGTCCTTAGAATTCAACACAATGTGGTAAAAAATAACTTTAATTTCCTTAAGTGCAAACCTGTTAGCAAGAGCGTACATTTGCTGCTGCTGTTGTTGTTTTGTGGTCATTCTAGGTTGAGCAATTAGAGTAGAATTTATTCCAATTCCTAATAAATTTCGAATTTGTTTGGGTGGTAAATCTTTGGTACTTCTTAAGTCTAAATACAAATGATTGTGAAACATAAAATCCACTTAGTTCGTGAACCTCGAACACAACGAATGTAAATATAAGTAAGTTGAATAAAAGCCATGGTTTTTCATTTTTTACCTGAACGACATTTCCAAAAGTTATCAAGCCAACATTTGGAAATAATAAACCAAGTGACATCTGCAAGCAAAATTTAAGTAGGCCTAATTCTTCGTCATCCGCACACGTGTCAACGACGCATAATAATATTGGTGGCATACATTTAATTCTCTAAAAAACCAATCAATTATTTGAAATAAAATTATAATTGATACAAATTTGAATTATAGCTTTAATCTGCTCGACAACACAGTAGCAACAATTCAAAGACATGGAAATATATTCGAAGATTATTAAATTAATAATAAAGTGCTACTGTCCACCTTATTTTGGGTTTTCTTTAAAAGAAATAAGGTTTGATTACAGTTTTTTTAAGAAACTTGTACATGTTATAGCCCCACTCAAGATCTACCTCCAGTCTAATTTTTAGACTTTAAGTCCTAAAACTACACCTAAAAAAGCTAAGAAAAGAAAAAGTTGCCATCCCTTCTCGGTGAAAGGTTTTATAATATGTTTTTGCTTTCTCAACTTTTGGAAATCTTCTCAATGAAACGCGTTAAACTTTTTACATTTTTGGCCTAATAAAGTATAATTATCAGGTACGATTCTGATCTATAGACTAGATATACGAAAAATTCAGCTGAGCAATTAAAAATATATCGTGAGTCCAGACACATAAAAAAAACCATCATTGTAAAAAAATACCATCTCAGCTACGCATCGAAACTAAAAAAAAACCATGTTGATGAAAACAGAAACACATGTTTTATTGTCTTGTTTGCTATGCCGTCGCATCAATAAGATATTTAATTGGCGTTAATAGACAATATTTAATAAATAACAGTCCAAAAGTATAGCATATGTTTTTATACATTTTTCAATTCCTGTTTGACGTTTCCAAATTGTTTTTTACTATATTGTATACTATTCGTTTTTACATATTTATGATGATGTGTCATGTATATTAAATGTAGCTTATTGTAAAATACAAATGTTAAGTATATTTGCTCCTTAAACTCAAATAACTTATTATAACACTACTTAATTCTTTAATTAACTTTTAAAGTTGTATTTAACTAAGTGCTAAGGCATGTCTTAAGATTTTGTCAAATACATTTAAATTATTGTAAATATAATAAAACAACAATACATATTTCATATTATTTAATTAAGTAACAAATAACTGTTTATTAGTTTTTAAAATTATAAATTGTTCCAAATGTTCGTTAGTTTTCTTTTCTTTTAGTACTAATAGCGTCTCATTAAACATAACCACCTCGTGGCAAGTCTACACTATAAACTTGCGTTGCTGATTTCAGATTTATACATTTTATTTGTAAAATGTAATTTTAAGTAAATGTTATTTCCTCAGTCTTATCATTTATAAATAAATAACTAGGTAATAATATTGATTTTTAATAATACAATTTATTATTAAGCAACGGCAATAACAATGGTTAAGTGGTGTGACACATTCACAAACAAAAATATAATTTGTGAATTATTCATAATGTGTATATTATATTTCTGATTACTGTCCATATAATAACATTATCTATATCAAATATTTTCTACTTATTGTGCTCCCAATTTCCTAGCCAGCAAATAAGGTTAAGCAAATTTACACAACATTGTTATGGTCGTAATAACGAGTATTGTTTATACGTACATATATTACAATGTCAATCAAATATTATTGTATATTATATTATTAAAAACAAAATATAAATACTGTGAATACATAATAATTGTTTAGAATAAGTTGCATCATAAAATGATAATATACTTCATCTTGAGTCACCCCAGTATATTATTTTATTAATATAGATATAGTAAAAAAAACATAATTAAAACTTATTAGCACGTGCATTAACTTTGTCCATATTCATTTGGGTATTAAATCACAAACAAAAAAAAAATGTAAGAAATATAAGATTATTATTTATTAAAATCTTCATAAGTACAAAAAAAATAACAGAATACATTCTAAAATAAGTATAATTGTACCAACTCCGTACTACTATTACCATTTTACGATTTTCATTTCAAAATCAAAATACAAATTTTCTCTCATCTATAGATCTAAAATGTTGGATACTTATTTTTAAAAACCATCCAAAATATATTTGCACAATTAATTGCATTTCATATGTGTATTACAGTGCCTATAAGTTTTAAGAAATATCTTAAATTTTATATGTACAATTGTATGGACAATGATAAATTACAAAGAAAAAAATATAATATATATATATATATATATATATATATATATATATTTTTCAATATTATATTTTATCGACGAATGTGTATTGGGTATATTATGCGATTTCAACAATAATTGTACTTCGCGTTATCTAGTAATAATAATAGCTCCTTGAATTATTTAGCGGAATAGAACGTGATTTATTTTATTATTAGAGGGCTTTATAATTAATCAACACACATAATATATCATTCTGCATTATATACAGTGGCTCTGAATTGAACATGTTTATAATGGATTATTTTATACTTAGATTAAAATATTGTGTATGATAGTTTTTCTAAATTCTATTAACAACTTTAATTTTACTACATGATACTGATAATCCTTTAATTCAAAAAAGGATTAACTGCCAAGCACCAAAAGTCAAACTTTCGTAAAAAAAAACCTAAAATATACCTACCATTATTTTCCAATCATAAATCACAATTTTTATTTTGTAAAAATAATCATTAGCAATAATATGGGCTTGACAAAAATGTCCAGATGGGTAATGATAATTGATTGTTCAAACTTGCCTAAAAAACTGCTTAAATATTATGGAAAGCCAACATAAAAAATAAAAGCAAATATTGATATATTAATTTAGGGACGGTAAAATAGTTTATCAAACTAGGTAATGTTTGTCAAACATATATAGACATTTGTAATTAGTCTTATTGTTTTAAAAATGTACACATTTATTGAACGTTTACAAAAACTATACAAGTACAATTTTAATTCTGAATCTTAATCAATACATAACATATTAATAAATGAAGTACTGATAATCAAATAGTTTGAATACCTCTGTTTGGGCAAAAAATTATTGCTTTAAAAAATATTTCTATAAATCTAGTTTTTTCTTATAATTTTAAAACTAATTACGGTAAGACACACTTTCCATTATAATAGTTTTTTTGAAAATAAAAAGCGAATTCTTATGAAATTGTTTCTGAAAATTAAATAAATTAAAGTTTCTTAAAAACTATAATAGTAAGTTGGACGACTCAATCTGACTTCACCACGTTTTTAACTCCAAAAAATTACATTATAGAAAAAAAATTGAAATTGTCGTTTGGGGTCATAATTACATTTGAGCAAAATTTCTTGTTTAAACAGGGAGACAAAGTGATTAAAATAAAAATTTTAATTAGACAATTTTTTTAAATTTAATTCTAAACGATTTGCAGGGCTATAATCCAACATCGTACATAAATATATACAAAGTAATACATTATAAATGTTAATAAAATAAAATATTCAAAAGCACAAGCCAAAACACTACCCGTAGAAGAATAACGATAAATCTGTTTAAACAAAACTATAAGTAAAGCGGTGTGCTAAGTTAAAAATGTGTGGGGTTTTTTTTTACAACAACTAACACTATTAGACACCCTATAAAAATATAGTATAAAATAAATATAAAAACTAACTAAATTACCACGTGGATGATTTTCGATAAAAAAAAAAAGTTTATGTCAAAATTATATAAATCTACTGAAAAATTTAAAAATCCAATACCTTATAATGTAGTTTTTTTATTAACTTTTATTATAATTTGTTGAGGTCAAAATTTTACTCAGACTTAAGTTTCTTTTTACCGCATGAGCAATATAACAATGACAATGAAAATAGTATGTGATCTGTAACACATTTTGGAAATCCACGTTCAGTTATTACCCATAAGTGTTTTATTGCGAAACAGCAAGTGGATGGCTTAAACTTTAAATAAATCCTGTTTGATTCATTATTAATTCAAAGGACCCGTTTGAAATTCAAAACTACTCAAAAGGTCTTCTTAGTATTTGTATTTGAATATATTTTTTCCTAAAGACTTTTAAAATACAATGCAGTATTCAAGTACTGTATTATAAAAGTGCACTTTGTATTTATTATTTAAATAGTTTCTTAATGTTAAATAATAATAATAATAATGTTAAATAATATGTCATAATAATTCTAAATGCGCAATCAGTGTGGTAAACAGCGGGTTTCACACGCTTAATATTGTAGTGTGTTTTTTTTCAGTATTAAAATACATTACATATTATTGTGATCACACTATAAAAGTCTGTTTATATTTTACTGTTTACGAATCGTAACGGTTGTAAAAAAAATCCAAAAGGCATGAAAAAACACGGCTCTTTAATAGTCATTTGACGACAATGTCATTCAAAAACCAATGCAAAAATTGCAACACCTAACATATTATCATTCTCAACTGAAGACGCAATGCAAAAAAGCGAATCTCCGTAATATAACTTTACACATATTTTTAAAGGGGAGTTCAGGACACAAATATATAGATAGCGAGTAGATAAAACATGCCCATTTTTTTTTAGAATTCGTACTTCAAGTTCTAATTCAATAGTTTACTTCTGTGATTAATGTAGTAATATTATATTTTGTAGATATTTTATATTTCGGCTCGGTTAGTTTATACAACTTTGCTGCACACATGTGTTGACGTCTTATGAAGTTCAATAATATTTTAACACGTGTGCGCTTGCCGCTTAACCATGTACCATGGCCATAAAAAAAAAATCGAGAACCGACTTGTGTGTGTCTATAATAATTAATACATAAAATATAATAAATAGAGTAAGCGTAAAACGTTAATGCTATCATACCCGAGGGACTGTAAATACAATTATTGTTAATTAGCGGGTTTACGGAACTCTAGGCACTTAAACCATATTAATATGAGTTTATATTTCATGCAGCTGAAATTTAAAATATATGTTACGAACCCCAAATTTACAGTCAAATAGGATATACATAATTTTTTTTTTTACCTTAAATTAACAAATATAAACGACATTATAGTGGCTATTGAGCAATAGTTTTCCATTAGTGAAAATATTCAACGAATTTGGATTAATTAAGTTTTGAATGGATGAGGGTGGTAGCTTTAGGACTTCAATTCTGTATACTATTGTACAAACGATGGATGTGTATGTAAAAATTGTAGGTAAAGCATTTTCAACTCAGTAGTGAAACTTTTTAGCTATTGAGAGGAAAAAAAACCCAATTACACGATTTTAGTTTAGAATAAAACATTTGCTTGTTTTTTCAACATTACATAAAATTTAGTTAAATGCATGGACATGTATCCATTATATGTCAATTTCTTTTTAAGTGTTTATTTTTTTTTTATTATTTAACGTAATTAAAAAAAATAATTTATGCATTTTTTTGTATATTTTCTATTTTTCGGCTTAAAATTGTTTTCTTTGGCGTTGTAATTGGTATATTCGAAAAAACTAAAAACTGCTTTATTAAAAGTAATTTTCCTTTTTTATGTAGGTACATTTTAATGTATTTATATGCTTGTAACTGGGATTTTAAGCGCTTATCAATGATATTTTAGAAATGTTGTTGAGGCGACAAACTCGTTCCGGATAGCGATGTTATCAAGAAACTTTCTCCTCTGGAGAGGGCAACGATAGCGGATAGTCCTACATAGGCTGGTGTTTTCTATGTACGTTAAGTTCTAAATATTACAACAATCATTTTTAATGTTAAATACGTTTTTGTTGAAAATTGAGTACCAAAGCAACGCGTTTTTCCCTTTTTGTCGAGGCCATTTGCATGTAGGATAGTCTTTTGAGTCATTAAATAGTTATTTAATCATTATTAATATAAAATAGTAATAATAATTTTGATGGCATTGTTTTAGAAAATAATTACTCCTAAAAATTATCTACAAATTAAATCTAAAACGCTTCTTAAGTATAAATTCTAAAAAAATTACCAAGAAATTTGGTTTAATGATGTAATGTGTAATAGACCTTTGCCCGTTACGAAATATGTATGAATTTGTTTTGAATAAAGTGATGAAACGAAATAAAATCAAATCAAATAAATCAACACTATCCAGTTATGTGCGATTAGGATTCTTTTTAATAAATATCTGATTCATCAATATTAAAGATAATTTTGATTTAAATTTCGGCGTTTGTATTATAAACAATACAATTGTAAAGTGAATACAATAACATCGGCGAGATAAAGAATTTAATGACAAGAAGTGATTATTGTATTTTGCAAAGATGGTTTTTTATGAATGATTTATATACTATATTATTTATCTTCTAATAAATCCTATAAATAATCACAAAGTCAAGTTAAACATTATGCTTATTCGCCGGTTGAATTTAAGTGTCAACGTTAAAAGATTTAGATTATTTTCATCATATTTTTATAGAATTGAAATAATATATTATAAGCTTATGTACGTTTATAAATTATTATTTTTATTAAGTTCTCTAATCCCGCACTGGGTTTTAATAGACAATATAATTTATACACATAATATTATTATTACTATTGTTTTGTATTTATGACAAATCGTTTGTTTTGTTGTTCGGTATACAGTAACTTACACCTGAACTAATCCGAAGGACATGCGCTATAGTGTTCATTGCTTCCACTTTTGTTTAGTAACGCTTGAAAATGTCATTGCTTTTTTTGTTTTGTCATAGAATTTCCGCCGCACAAAATAATGCGGTATTTTTGAAAAAAAAACGTTTTTATCAATACAAATATAATATGTAGGTACACCACGGTTACGCAATAAGAATTGTTCAAAAGGAACAAGATAACCCAACCGTGTGTACGCAGTAAATATTACCTATAGTTAATTGACAACGACCAACAAGTAGGGCTTACATTGACAGAATACAATAAACATGTTGTTATGTTTTCGTGTATATAGTGTATTCCTCGACTGGGCATCTGAAATCAAAGTCCAGGCAAGTACCACTCTGACCTAGTTTCTTAAACAGAAAGACAATGTATTTGGGCAATATTAATAATACAATATAAACACATAACGGAAACGAAAGAATAGCTTTTTAAACGCCTCAACAAATACAATTTTCTCGTTCTATTTTTTTATACCGATAAAACCATTTTAATTTCAGTAAAAACTAAATTTTGTAAAAATAAAAACCCCGTACTATACTATACCCCCCCAGTGATAGTATTCAGTTCTTGAAATAATGCAATTTTAATAACGAAAAAGTTTTTAAAAAATACATAGTTTAAATAGCACGATTATTTTTTTAAACAATTTTGCTAGATACAGGATTTTTTTATTTTACACTAATATAATCTTTTTATAACATGCACATCAAAGACTTAGTGACCACAGACATAATGAAAAACCAAACCTTTTCAGTATTGAAAACCACTATGAGATACCGATTAGGCAAGAAATCGGTGTACGCATTATAATATACCTACTCAGATATAGTAGATATTTTGAATAACTTACTTAACTTTATACAAATATATATAATATGTACATATATAGTAAGTATACAGTATACAGTAATACAGTAGCAATATTTATAAACCGAGATTTCAATTAAAATATTCTAAATTTGTATTTTCTCCAATCGTGTGTAGAATATAATAGGATAATCACTTATCACTTATATTATATTATGATATATGTACTGAAACAATAAACCACTAAAATAATAACATATAATAACTATTTTTCGAATTACACTGTACAATTTTCTTTAATTAATTTCATTGATTTCGAAAAATCATAAATTTAACCTAAAATACGTCAACATTTTGGGACGACCAAACTTTATTGACAAATAAAATACAAGTTAGATATCTGATGAAAAATAAGGTATCTGATAATTATCTTAAACATAGGTGTAATTCAACGATAATAATTATACTATTAATTAATCATAATTTCATTCTTATCTATTGTATGATTTGTTTCATAGTATTATTTATCTAAATGTCCATAATATAACAGCTTATCGTCCATTAACTATCGCAAAGGTTAATGTGTACTTAATTCGATGTCAACAAATAATAATTTTATTATACATTTTACTTGTATTAACATTTTCATTTTAACATTTTACTGGTCAATAAAATAAAATTGCCTATACTTACTCCTTGATAAATAAATGGAATCCTTTTAAAAAGAAATACTTTAAAACGTAAACGATTTCAGTAGTTGCAAAAGGGTGGAATTTGTTTTTAATATGACTTTGAACAACCGGTTTTTTATTTGACGCCTGACAAAATGTCATATTGTTGGTCTAACTGCATAACTAGGTACTAAATCCATTATGATTGATTTAAATACATAATTGGTGCAAAAATGAACAACAATACTAGAAACGATTATATAATATTCTATAATGAACAGCTCGTAGTAATTGTCCATTGGTTTTTATAAATTGTTTCTCTCATTACTTCCTCTTCAATAATGTACACCTACTGGATAGTATTTATACATTAAAATAAGTATGTAATACAGCTGATAGTCTACAATGTATTGTTCTTACTATTTACTTAACAAGATATTTTTGTCTACAACTGTAAAATACTGACATTAGCGGCAACAGGTGGCCGTTTATTTTTTCGGCCATTGCAAAATTATGACAGGTTAAACCATTAAGATATTCGTTAAACCCGAGTTTACCTGGACTTTTAACCCTTAGAAGTCACCTGTCCACCTGTATCACATTAAATAGGGTATCCTTAACACTGAAAACTTTACAGTTAAAGGAAAACAGACTGAACAAATTCCAATACGTTTAAACGTATTTGAACTTTTTGAACTCCCAACCGGCCCCTCCCCTAAGAATTGCAGAAGAGATATTATCTTAATCGTTGTGGCGGTTATTATCAAACCGGTTAATAAGTTATATTTAAATTCACATACGGTACACGTGTGTGTGTGTGTGTGTGTGTATACCAACGTTGATGATATCGTGTTGTTATAGTGATAAAAGTTTTTTTTGTTGTGTACAACAATATTTGTAATACCGTTGTACGCAGCTTGTGCACAGTGGTGGGGTATGGACGAGACGAGCCTAATATGAAACAAATAATAATAATAATAATAATAAATAAAAGTCTAATCTCCCGCCGCCCGCACGCGGCTCTCGAATAGTATCAGCCGAACAGCCGCGCTTCGTCGACCATACCCGCCAGCCGCCCGGCTCAGTTGTCCCGCCGCACAACAGCAACCGCAACGTTCCGCTCGCGTACCTGTCCCGCCGCACAGTCGATCCGGCAGACGTCACCTCGTGGTCTCGCGCGCACGCTACGGTACGCATTATCGCGCTCGCGGTCCCGCCGACGGGTAGTGCCGAGCGTTTTTACACTTATGAAGTTTTCCAAACTGGTTGGCAACAGCTGGCACAATGACGTGCTCGTCCAACTCAAGCAGAGAGTGCCTGGTCGTGCCCACCAAGAACGGCATGAACGAGAGGAGCTACATATTGCAGGCAAACACTCAGGTGCCGCATATCAATGTTATTACTAAACCGTACGATTACTGACGGAAATTTTGTTGTTTTTCTTTGGGGAGGGGGTGGCCTGGGGTAACAAAACAAAATAGAAACTTAACCACTTCGCTTAAGTATGGCGCGTTCAAAAAATAATTGTAATTTTCTCACCATTAATGTCAGCAATTTTGATATGGTACTCCTTACGGTAAAAAACAAGAAAATATAATATAATATTAACCCTTTTGAGATCCGTTTAAGAGATACGCTAGAAAGTGAATTGTACAAAAGTAATTTTTTATCAGACTTTCGCTAAAACTCGGATTTACAAATAGTCATAAAAATAGTTATGTAACTAGAAAAACTTAATACTCATTTACCCTTGAATGAATTGGCATAATTGAGAAATTGTTTTGAAATAAATTTACATAAAGTATTTTCTATATTTCCCCGTCTTACTTCTAAATACTCTTCCCGTTTCCTTTAAGTCAGGTTTGTTGGTCAACTCTACTAAAATACGGTCTATCTAAACTGTTTTATAGATTTCTAAAATTGAAGTGGCAAGAATCAAAAGAGTTTGTATTATAATTGGTAAAAAAAAAATTACAGGATAACGAAATCAAAATTATATTTTGTGTCCTTATATGGTATGGGTTATTTACATTTGATTGATTATTTCTATTTTATAATAATTCCATAATAATTAAATTGTATGATAATTTATATCAAAGACATAGACAATAATCCAATAGTCCAAGCAAAATAAATTTTCAAAAAAATTCGCTGTAGAGTACTTTGACCTAATTAAAAATGATAAGATGTGACATTGAACTAAAAAAAATTGAATGATCAAAACCATTTTTTTTTTTTAATCAATTCAAACTATTAACAAAAAAGTTTAAGCAAGTTCGGATTCATAACAAGTAACGAAATAAAAAAATCTGAATTCTCAAACTTCGAATTTTTTTCATCACAAATTTTTTAAACTTTTTTTATTAATGATGAATGATAATTTGGTGTTAAATTTTGTGTTTTAAGTAAAATTATCACTACTAAAAAAAACGAGCGTTTGCTATTTTCAGTTGCTAAACTAAGTTGATAAATTTGTTTTAGTAAATTATATGGTCTTTAAAAAATGTCACACTAAAGCACTAGAATCTAGATGATAACAGTCAACAGGTATTGCCAGTAAGGCTCCACTTCCGCCACATAGTTAACTGTCAAGATGTATGAGATGTTAAGCGAATTTTTATATCTGTATTTTTGTAATGAAAATGAGTTTTGCTCACATTTACAGTTTATTTGAAACATTTAAATTTTATTAAATTATTATTATCATAAGCGAATATTATAAATTGATGGCAATCACTATAATAACATATTCGGCGCCGCCATAGTTGGGCAAGAGAGAAAGTTGTAAAATGTGTGCACTAAGAAAGACTTGCCAACAATTATTTATCTATCGCATATTGCATTAGCATTACATTTTCAATGCATTTTAAGCTTATTATGTCCCATCCATCTATTATTCTATTGTTTTTTAACTACAACCGCGTTTCGCTACACGGAGACACTACAAAGGACTAAAAACTCAATAGACAATAAACGCTTAGATTAAATGGAATGTACAAAATAATATACAAGTAGTAGATTTTATTAGCGTTATATAAGTTGCTTAATAGCCAGTGTATAGACTACAGTATTACTTACCTGCCAGTGTGACTCATTAATGGTAAAGTTACACGGGTTTATCGGTGGACGCTAATTTAATCTAAGGCGTGTGATTCAATCAAACGGTTCTAGACAGAGTTAATTAAAATGTGTATTTTTTAATGAGACCAGAAACCCCCACTTTTATGTTTATCAAGCAAAATAGGTATAGAACATTTTTTTGATAAAGCTCGGCGTAAATCTTAAATTTTTACATTCAAAATATAATACTTAGAAGAGAGATATTGACGTACTGTATCTTTTATGCGCTCGAACCAGGGGGAAAACCCGATTAGTCGAGAGTAACGACCGCCGGAAGTTTAGGCATACAGACAAAATGTATTACGTTTTGAAATTAAAAACATGATTTTCTCAGAATGAACAATAATTGACATTGATATTTTTTCCCCGCAGCCCTTCACATATTAATGTTAAAATTATTTAAATAACCATTTCGAATACTCTGAACAATTATAATCAAATGCAAACACTTTTCAAACATAGATTTTTTATTTTTTTTCAATTGTCCTTTGATTATTTTATCCAAGCGCGTTCTTAATGTCAGCACGTTATTGCATCATGCAATTAAATATTCAATTTCACCTAACTTTTGACCTATATTTAAGAAAATATACATCAAATATTTAAATCAACATTTTATATTCATTTTTCACCACAAATGAAAAATCATGACAGTCTTCGTAGTTAAAATATGTAAACTCTTAACAAATACCTAATAAACTTATTACTTAACGTATTTTGTTGTTATAACGATTTGTGTTAAGCAACCGTTATTACAATCTTAATCATAATAATTTTAATTTGAAGGAAAATAATTTTAAAATGTCCGAAAAAGTCAAATACCGAAAGAAATGTGTTTAAAAAACAATTCCACACGTCCGTTAGTTTAAGACTAGACACTCCTACATACCTACTATCCTATTTTGTTTGTCTTTAAGTGTTATCAAAATGATAAGACTCTATGACCGCAACAGACAAAATAGGACATTAATAGCTGACCTATAACAATATAAACAAAAATGGCAAAAAACATTAGAAACAGACAAATAACGTATTTGAAAACTGTATTTATATTTTATGAAATGTTTAACATGAATTTTTGTGTTGCATCTTTAAAATTAAGTATAATTATTTTTTTTTTTATAAGTGAACTGTATTTTCGCATGTTTTAAAGTGAGACAAAACATTTAATCTCAACGACCATTTGAAAATCGTTTTAAATAATAGATAAAAATCAATATTTTTTTAATTTTATTAAAAGTTAATAAGGCTGTCAACTATCTGAAATATCTGTTATCTCCGTGTCACCTCCTTGAAACGATATCCGTCGAAAACTGTCTCGTTAAGTTTCTTTAGAGTTCGTTTTATTCGCTTATAACGAGACAACCTTTTTTCAAAAGATAAAAAGCAATAACGATCTTGAAACCAAACTAAGTAAAACTAAAAAAGAGAGAAAACAATTTTCACTCGGTTACCTTTAAGTGTGCAAAAAGTCCTTTTCGAAAGACTTTTTTTTTCCTAATAAAACCTTATTCTAAAAATTGTATTGTCAAAAATCGAATTCCAATACTGTCAGGTTTTCTTAAATACAATTTCCCCGATTACAATTTAGTGGATTCCATTTCAATTTGATAATTAATTCAGCTCACTTATCTAAAAATGTTCATCAACCCTCTTTTAATTATTACAAAACACTTAAACTGAATTAACGTATCTCTAAAAGTACCTAACAAAACGATGAGACTAGTTTATCCAAATATTGAATTTTTCATGTACATAATGCACTGTGTACATAATAATTCATCAAACAAAAGGCTATAGATTAATTCTTAATCTTATTTTGTGTATAATATAACATTGTACACGTTTGTATTTTATCAATACTACTTTCTAATGACTTTGAATGAATTGAGCATATCACTTATGTACATACAAACGCAACAAAATATGTATACAGTAGCAATAACCAACGTTCTTAATAAATATTATGAACAACAGTGGTAATGCAGAAAAAACAATTTAAAACTATCAACGGATTCCGCTTTTACAATATTAAATATTATTATTTATTAGAAAAATTAAGTATAATAAACATTATATAAAACTTAATCTAGAAATAATATAGACTCCTTAATGAAATTACACTTTTTTTTTAGTATAGCTCCTTAATTAATTGAAAAACATGGTCATTGTTCTCTTATACGATAATAGCAGAATCAATATCTTAATCGATACATTTTATGATTTGGCACCTATTTAAAATAAAACACCATGTAAAACGACTCAACTCCTTATAAAATTTGTTCAGATTAGTTAAACTTTATTTGTTTATTCGGTCGAATTATAAGATCTATTCAATTAAATTAGTCAACGTTGAAAAACACTTCAGCAACAAAAAAAAATGTATATTATACTCAATGACGACATTGGGAGTTGTATAATTATTAAAACTTTACAATTATTAATTGATTATACCTAACTCGAGGTCCTAGGATACTTCTTAATCATTAAACTTGTAGGTAAGTGTCTTGAGTACCTACAAATTAAATATTTGTTGTTATCGATAAAAAGTTGCTAATTGTATTGCATATAAATCTTGCTTTATAGCTGTTGTATAATACATACTTAATTCAGAGACAATTTAAGTAGTTTAATACGTTAATATTTTTTCGTGTACCTGATTTACTTTCTAGAAAAACACAAATCTATTTTGCGAAAAATTAAAACTAGCACAAAGCTATTTTTAAAGGGTAATTAATAGGCAATATTTGGCAACAAACATCATCAGAGATGGGGAAAAACTCAATTTTAGTCATGTAAACTAAATAAAAATTACAAAATGGTAACAACATAACAAATACCAACTTCAAAATACACAAGACGTATTTAAATACAAACTATTATGTACATATTTAACAACATTTAAAAAAACAAAAGTTTTTTGTGCATAACTTGATCATTAGAAATAATTTTTAAAAAAAATGAGAAAATTATTCATAAAATTACCAAAAAAAAGATATATTCATTTGAAAATGAATTACATTTTGGTGTAGATGTCGAATATATATATGTGTGTTTATAGTAAATTTCAACGACGTTTTATAAAATAATTTACTTTTTTATGATAGCTTCCAAATAAAACACATTTTTACTGTGTAGGCATGTAATTAAATGCTTACCCACTGATTACAGTCAACCAAATATTAATTCAATTTAGCAGGAAACCAAAACAAAATTATCATTATGTAAATATTACATTACCGATTTACATAGTAATTAAAAAAAAAAAACCAAAATCGTAAACTAATATAGTTAACCTTTAGAGATAAGCAATTTGACTGGCGTTTAGTCACTGTATGTTATGAATTATGATTATCGTTAAAATAAAACAAATTAAATTAAAAAAGAATCTATTAACAAACCGTTACTTAATCTGGAAGAATATTTATTTGGTATTATCTATATTTGTTCTGCCGCACGTGACTTGACAAAAATAACATTTCCTACTATGACGTTTAATGTTTTTTTGAAAATACAGTAATTTTTATTCGGAAATAAACATATACACTTTTAAGAACATAATTATACGCTAATTATTGCAATTACATTAATTAACTAAAAACAATACTTAAGTCTGAGTTGGTGGGGTCCGATCAGCTATCGATTGGTTTGTTTTCCTAATAGAACTCGATTACGGCTTCACTGGAATACGTCTGAACGTCCAATCACTGTAATAATAACATTAATAATAAAACGCGTGTACAGTCAAATATTATTTTATTAGTGCCGATTGTCAAACACCGTTAAATTAATATAGATAATATTCGGTTAGATGAAAACATTGATAAGTGCACGACACAATATTTATATGCGCTACATTTTCGTCAGTTTACAGTCTGGTCAGCGGTTGGGACGCGCGTTATGTGTATTTTATTATAATTTATAATAATTATATGATCCGTACTCGTTTTGGTTGTGCTTAACGAATCAATTTTCGTTTTCATTTATTCCAAACGTTTTTTGTTTTATTATATATATATGTATATATAATATTTTTTTTTTTACATTTATTTATTACCGCTGTATAAAAAAAAAACAAACAACATGTAAACGGTAAACTTTAATATTCCGTCTTACACGCGCGAGTCGATTGCTTGGTGAGTTTCCGTTAAATGACGCTTACATTATTATGGCTACCAAGTTCTCTGGGGATTCAGCGCCATCTTTCTTTTTGAAAAAATGGTTCAAAAAAAGTAAATATAAACCCTAAAAAACGATTATCTATTGATGTTTTGTTTTATTTTGACATGTTCATCAAAAATATTTTACATAGGTACACAGTTTTATACTGTATAATTACCGAACACTTATATGCGTTTTAATTAGCTTAAATGGTGTTGTTTTGTGAAAATCCAGCTTTTCAGATTCCCATCACTAATTTACAATAATGTTTTATTTTTTTTTATTTTTGTGTCTGTACCCACGATATCTTCTAATCCGCCGAACCGATTTCTTCTTGTAACAACTCTATAGATCAGATGTGGGGTTTCTCTAGTGACTTTATCGTAGCTATTGATAACATTTGTATTATTGTCTCCTAACCTATTGTCATATTTAACATACAAATAAAAAAAAAAAAAATGAATAAAAATAATTAAAAATAATTAGAAAAATAGTTTGTTATGTAAACAATTATAGAGCACTAACCGTTAAAAGTAACGTTTAAGATTAAAAACTGACTAAACGTAATAAGTACTATTTTTCTAAAAAGTTTTATCATCATATTATATTGTGAATTCAGAACAATTGGTTTTAGCAAAGTAATGGTGCTTATTGAAGGTTACAATAGTCAATAGTGGTAACCTTCATAAACTCGGTAATCGGTGTACCGTGTAAGCACTATTGTTTTTGTGCTAAAATCAATAAAGTATATATTTTAATCAAGCGAAAAATATTTACACAACATTTTTTAACATTTTTTTGAAGATCCCATTGTCCTTTTTATAAATAATTTCTAAAAATGTTTATCATACTCAGGTTATAAACTACTTAAAAAAAAAAAATATGCATTGTAGGGGAAGGATACCTTATTAGTATTTTAAATTTCAATTTACAGTTCTCTTTACTATGAATTTTTTTATTGTACACAAGTGTACACATTTTGTCTTTGTGTCAAATTGTCTATACTTCACTCCTCAATAAAAAGACGACTGGGGCGTGCTCTTAAGTAAATTAATTTATGATTAGGCTAAAGTGTACTCGTGCACAAACTTGTTTTCAGTCTGGTTAATTGTATTACTGTGTCCAGTAAAGTCTCCACACAGCCGGGATTCCATAACAACATTACGTGAAAATCCTAAAAAGGCCAATACACCGATTTAATTATACTTATTAATATAGTTTGAGTTAAATACAATGTTTTTACTTAGTTTTAATTAAAAAAAACACCGAAACTTTTGACATTTTTATTGGAAAATAATATTTTAGTTTTCAAAAACAGTAACTTAAATAAACAAAAGTTACATAATAATAGTTTTATTAAGCATATCAAACATAGCATGTACAATTTTGTATTAAATTAAAAAAATAATTTTTTAAAGTAAAACATTAAATATTTTATAATATCCCTAAATTTGTAATACACTATTATAAAGTTAAAATGATTTGACAAAAATGAATAATTTTCAAAAAGATTTTTCAAACTAGTCAGACAGCTACATACTTGTAGATTTTTTAAAATCCGTTTGTAAGATTTAAAATACTTAAATTTAATCTAATTCTCAACTTTGTCAAACTACCTTAAACTCCACTCTAATGGGAAACCGATAGAGATAATTATTTAGAGTCAGAGTATAAGCAATATTACAAAACTTTTATGAAAATCCTACCTTTGTGGGCTAAAAGTCCAATTTTTTTAATTAGTTATTGGAAAATTAACGTTTTGCAGTCCTCGTTTGTATAAAATTTGACTCTTTCGTTCTCCTCGTAATTTGATTTTACCCAATAATAAATGTTTGTGTCATAAACTCACACGACCGATTGGGATTAAGTACGAGTGTCGAGTGGTGTCGAAAAGCAAAAAAAAAATAAATAAAGGCATTTATTCACCGCAGGCAATTAATTGCTAATGATCACCAGACATGGCTGTAGGGCTCAAAACGACAGTGTGGTATTCAGATTTCTAATTATACACCTATAATTAATACCAACGTTTCACCCGAAAAACCATTACCGGCGGTTGTGGATTTATTGTCCGGCAATTCAACGACCACCACATACAGTATCTACCTATATTATACAAGTTGTATTTAGCCGTTCAATGCAATATACGTTGCACGTTGCACTGTATCGCAGTGTTACTATATTATTATTGTATTAATATTTTCATACACGTGCATACTTAGGCGTCCGTAAGGTCTTATCGCTGTGTTATAGCAGCACTTCTAGTTTTCCAGCTAGTATAATATTGTGCTGAACAAATAATGTGTCGGCAGGAGGCATTCCTCGACGGAATTTCAAACGTGTCCGCCACAAAATATGCGTTTGATAATAATAATAAAAATTGTAATTATTTTAAATCCTACAACTAGCCGAAGTTTTTTTTTTTAATTTTAATTTTACAATTTTATTATGCCAATAACTATCCGGTTTTTAACGCGGCCACAATCGGATTAACCGAAACCGAACGGGAAAAAACACGTAACGATTTTCGATTAATTCAATATTAATCAAACAGGTAACAATAATATAATTATAATGACTTGGTGTGATTAACACACCCGGACGACGAATAGATGAAATATCTCACGGTAGTATACACACTGACATAACACGCATTCTATGTTGGAGCTGGTTAAATATTATATTAAACATATTTTGTTTTTTTAATTCTTTGTAGTAATATAAGTGTGTATTTTTTTGTTGACAATCGCCAGGCGATGGACGAAGGCGACACCCTCAAGAACTGTCCGAAGTTTGCGAGTTTCAACTACATCAACTCTATCATCGGCAGCGGAGTAATTGGTGAGTTATTTCAAAATATCCATCAATTATTATCATTATTACTGCAAAATTGTAATTGTACCAAAATGCATTTATTTTTAATTTATACGTACACAGCGAGGGCGAAAGTCACAATCGATAGGCATTGCGAATATTATTTTTCCCACATTGGCTATTAAAGCGTTACAATTAATTACAACGAAAATAATGACTAGTCGAAACTACAATTTTGAGTATTGAGTAACCAATCCTTATCACATTTTGTACAATTAAACATAATTGGAATCAAGAACCAAAGTGATCAATTTTCTTCGCCTAGTCTCACAATCCTGCCTCGACATATTTTCTTTTGCACGTCTAGTTATTCTTTAAATTACTCTTTAAAGTTGTAAATAACAAACGTTTAATGGTATTTTTTAGTGTGTTTGGTATGTTTAAAACGTTTTCTAACTATGGACTCAAATTGAGTTTTTCGAATATACTTTCTTTGCTAAACTCAGAACTGGTTTCAGAATAAATGTAGAATTTTTTCGATTTTATTATATATTTATAATACATTTGAAAGCCTGATCAAAATTTCTATTGTTAACAAAATTGCTTAACTTACTTAGCATTTTCGTAAACAATATCTTACTTATAACTCAATTAGTAATAATTGTGATAACTAACAAATAGTAATGTTAAGGAAAACAATAATGTCAAGTGTATAATTTAATTTTTTGTGTGAAAACATGTCTTGGGAGATACACTTATCTAAGACATAAAATTTCAATAAATTAAAAACTTACAAATTTAACCAAACAATATTCTAATCGGAAATTTCCAAATAAAACTGAATCTAGTGTTCTGCCTACTCAATCATGTTGTTAGCTATTATGAACTTGCAAAATTCACTCAAATTGATTTGTAATAAGAAATAATTTTGTTCCGTCCTACACATTAAAAATGTATCTTTGATTATAATAAGAATAATTGAGTATTTTTTTGAAATGAAACATTAATTAGTTGGTTATTAAATTATTCAAAGTCGTTAATGCCCACAGATTAGCGTTTAATTGATTGCATAAACCGAAACGTAGCGATTGTGTCGTTCCAAGAATAATATGTAGTAACTAACTTGATAAAAATAAAAAGTAAATTTTGAAATAAAAAGAAAATGTCACTTTATTAAACTGGATGGTTGCTGAATTTCAAGTACAAATTGCATGAGTCACGTACATACAAAAGTTCAAAAAAAAAAAAAAAATTGACCAATTCCTTTCAAGTCGAAATCTGAGTTTTTTTTTTATGTAAATAGTTTATACAAAAGATAGTTTATATATTATAATGTCACTTTACTTGAATAGATTTAATCTTTTATCTTATAAAATAAAGGTTAACAGTTGTTTAACACAATGTGCACATAATACAGTATTTTGTATTTATAGTAGTATGTATTACATACTATATTTTGCCATCATTGCTTATAGCCACTACTAAAAAGTAAAAGATGACATTAATTGAATGTATAAATTAAGAAAATTATCATACAACGAAATCGTAGTAGGAATTTATCGCAAAACGAAAAATGATTGAGAACCACTGGTAAGAATAATAAGTATAGAAAATCCGTTTGATAACTCAAATTACATTATAATATAATAAGCACATACCATTAGGTACATAAATTCGGCAATAATTTTGTTATTTCTAAAATAATATATAATTTATACCATTTTATTCGGTACCTATTTAATGGTTAAATGTAAAAAGCTAATATAATATATTATTACTGAACAGTGTAATATATGAATATGTATTTTAAACAATTTATTGTCGTATAAAACACTACAGATTCGTCAACACAATTACAAATTTGTCAAAATAACATTAAATACCGTATAAAATCAACAAACCATTTGCGGTTGCGTTTTAACCTTGGAGTTTTTTCTATTTTGTCAACAGACTAATAAATAATTTTAGGTAATGTATGATGACATTTTTTAAAACTAAAACCTGTATTATTCGCTTCAATTTTCATCAATATTTTAACCGAAAAATCCATCTAATAATAATTAATACATTAGACTTGGTAATAATGTTAGTATAGTGTTATCCAATAAATATTATCTGCGTTGAGCTAATAATCGTCATGGTAAATTTAAAATCAATACCATTTTGTTGTTTGGTTAATCGCCATAATATGGATCTATATAATAGTCCATAAATTATGAATTAAGAGTTACCTATTATATTGTTGTAATCCGTGTGTTAGTCATATGGTATTTTGTAACGAATCTAAGTAACTACGTATATTTAAATATTATAACTTCAAAAGCAAAAAATACATTTATAAAATTGTATGCCACCAAAACAAAACAAAAGCTACAGCGATAACAAGTGAACAAAATAAAAGTATTTGCATACTTTATTGTCGAACTGCAACCAGAGAAAATAACATTATGTACCTACCTAGTTATAACGTGGGAATAGTTGTTCAATTATAGAACATTATTTATTTTAATGGAACGTTGATAGAAGATAAAGACCGCTTTTGTGGATTTTAGATTAATAAAATATGCTATAGTTATGCAGTCCACTTTCTTGTTTGCTTAAAACGAATTACATCGACTTTTTTGAGTACTCAAAACAGAATCTTACTACAACAAACAAATAGTGTCCAAAAATAATAAACATATTTCGACGAGGATTAGTAACTGTGTTTTACATCATAAACTATGAGTTTTTATTTTGTAAATATAATATTAACTAACTTCCAGATAAGGTCAAAAGAGCCCAACTAGGTAAACATAAACATATATGGCATAATATGTGAATACGTTATTTTAATTAATCAAACGAACAATATTCAATTGCAATTAAAAGCTTTGAATGTTTAAATGCATCTGTAGGTATTACAATGTTAAAAAATAACAACTGTTGATTAAAAACATTATTTTCATTTGTCTTATTTATTTATAGTTGCCTATCAAGTACTTTGTAGGACTTACGCTATAAAACGCAAATAATTTTGGGGGTACAACATATTTTGTTGAAAAATAACATTGAACTTTTTTTTTAACTAAAAGATTTTTAAAATTACTTTATTTTTGTAATAGAAGAAAAGATATTGAATTAGATCTCGATTGGATCAATGTATAAAATTAATAGTTATAAGTATTCCGAATGTAAAATAATATTATCGTTGCACGTATGTAATAATTCAATAAAATCCGTTTGTTGATTTCAACAATTTGTTGGTTTTATTTTTATCTGTATCAAGTGTCTATAGATAACGTTCTGTTGAGTAAATCGCACTGGTTTGTTTAATAATTGTAAATTTAACGACTAATTGAAATCAAATTAAATTTTATCTTAATATAGCATTTCGAGTTGAACAATATTGCCGGTAGAATGTAACTTATAAATACCATGTATGTGACATTCGCGTTCTAATCAGTTATTTCAATTGTTGTCTTCTTATTAATCAACAGATTTAGATATTGGGTATTATTCAGAAGGTCGTCAGTCCTAAACAGACACTTCATATGACGACAGACTTCAAAAGACGACATACGACATTATTGTACCTACTGTGCTTACTGTAGTTAATAACAAGAAGTATTACGTCAAAACAATTTTATATTAAAATATAGTGGTTTTAATGCAAAAAAACACACGTGTTAGATTAACCGAATAATATGTCTAATGCACTCTCAGAGTTAAGTCTTACGCGATTTCAATCTTATCACATTGGATGACAGTTAAATAATTCAAAGTGTTAATCACAATAATGGGAAAGTGACATCATTTCAGTTGTTGACGGTCAAAACAAATTTGTTTCTTACTAAAAGCTGTACTGGTTACACAAGTCAACCACTAGTTGAGTCCAACTAGTTAATTATGATTGGGTTTTTTACTCTAAAACCAACCAGTAAGCCTTGTTTTTGGAATTAGAAAACTATATTTAGATGAAAAAAATATTTAAAATCAACTAATGTTTAGATATATATACGTCTGTTGAGTAATGCGTTGGTGATTATGTACTAGACTAATATAATATTATAATATGCTAGGAATTACCAGACGGTAATTCCAGTAGGTTCAAGTTACATTTACAAATTTAGCGTCAACAACTTGGAAAATAATTAATAGGTTCATGTTTGTCGCACAAGGCTTTACTTGTACTATACGAAGTTCTGGTTTCAGTGCAACTGTATTGTGTTTCAGGTATTCCATATGCGTTTAATTTGGCCGGTGTAGGACTTGGAGTCATTCTGCTAGTGACTGTAGCCCTTGTCACCGACTATTCGTTGGTGTTAATGTTGAGGAGTGCACACCTGAGCGGTTCCTTTTCTTATCAGTCACTCATGAAATCTGCATTTGGCAAATCCGGATTCGTAGTTCTGTCATTTTTGCAATTCACCTATCCATTTATAGGTAAGTAGTGTACAAATTAAAAAATAATAATAATTGTTTGTGCGAGCAATACTGTATTGATGATGCAAAACATGCATTAAAATTTCAATTTGGACAAAGTTATTTATGTGGCCTACCGATATATCTTGATATATAAATATCACCACTTAGTGGCAAAATTTTACGTACAATCGATTATAACTTAGGTAATTTTTTGCTTAAAATGGCCTGAATGCCATTCTGCCACTTATGGGTATCCTCAACTGTAAAAAAATAATTTTAGAATGTTTATTTAATGATAATTGGAAAGAACATGGAAGATAATGGTTTATACTTTATCGATATGTACACAGTACACTGGACATGCCTTTCCATTAAGTCGATATTTGCCCACAAGCCACATTTACAATAGAATTTCATCGAAATAACAATAACACATAAGGTATTCAGATAAAAAAAGTATTTTGTGATTTTTTTATTCCAGTAAAATAAATAATATAACCTAACCTATACATGCCGGCATATCTTATAATGTATAACTGTATGTCTGTGTAACTGTTTGGATTCTATTTACATCTTAACTTTTGTTTTGTTGGTTTTCACACTGATAAAACATTTTGAATATTTCATTTGTTATTTAAATATTACATTTATCGCTTTCAATATTGCTTTTCTATCTTAAATTTTCAGAATCATTTCGTTAGTGTCGCTCCTTAGATAATTCCCAGGGCCATTGGTATAGTATCTTTTTGTTATGTTTGTTATGTGAAGATTGGGTATCATGACACGAAACACGATACACGTCATACATAATAGCCAGTTACCAGTATGACAAGTCTATTTTTCAACCTAAATTTACTCTGCGGGGAGTTGAGAGCCAAGAGGTTAAAAAAAAAAGTTTCTATTTTACTATATTTGTTTCTACTTAATGAAAAAAGTGATATCTTGTTACTACTGTATTTTGATATTAATTAATACTAAAAATTGATCTCCTGAAAACAAACATACAGCTTTTTTAATCAAGCCTTTGTTTAAAAAAAAAAAAGCTTAAATTTGTCATTTATGTATTTGTACTATAAATTTAATAGTGTTTATTTATATTGTAAAATTGAAATTGTCCTATGTAATTGTTTATTGAGTAGTATGCTGTGTCATTTGGCAGCTCGCTTTGTATTTTAATTTAAAAAAAGTTGTTTCTCTCTTTAGTAGGTACGTCCAATATTTGTGAAATATTTTGTTATCAATATTATCATTAATTATTATTGTGATAAGAAACACGGTTAGGTTACATTACTGGTTGTGGTGTTTGGTTAGGACTGATAACATCATTTTAAAAGCAATATTATACCGAATGCGGTTCAGCGAATGAATAATAAATTCAGGAAATCAACTTCTTCTGGATTTGAATTTAAAATGACTTGAGAATAAAAACGGCCGTAGTGTGCATTTAAACTTTTTTTAACGTGGTATAGTGTAAGTCCACTTCATTGAATTCAATTTATTCTCATAAAGGAGATAGCTCGCTGTCAGTATTAAAATTAATATAATAGCTGTCCCATTTGAATCCTACGACGCTATAAATTTCAATATATAACTTTTCCAGTTGAATGCAATAAAAACGATGCAGAAAAATATCGTATAAACTATTTAATAGATTATAATAATAATAACACATTATAAAATAAGACTTACACATTGGTATTTTATTTCCAATTATTTCTAATACGCTATTTTCATATACTTCTTGCATTATTTTATCAAGACTTAATAATTATTATAATCATTTAATGCGTTAATGTACCTTCGAAAATCGTTCGACGATAACACACTAGATTGTGTAACGTAACACTTCAGTGTCTTATCGAATATTAATATTTATTATGTAATAATAGCTGATTAATTATAACATTGCATTGCCAAGTGTACATAGTTTTGTTAATTTTCTTTCCCATGCATCTATATTGTATCGCCGATTGTAGTTTTTTTTAAATAATAATTTTACCCGTTGAAAACTAGATTTTGACCGTTGGATTTTACATTTTAATTGGTGATCATAATGAGTACACAAGTACACTATGTGTCTTTAGATAATATAGTGAATTTTACTGATAATAAAATATGTAAGAATTCAGTAGATATGATATTAATTGATGTATTTCTTTTAAATGTTACCTTTTAATTGTATCGATGAAAAACGTTTTTAAATTTTAGTTTTTTTTTTGGTTCACAAGTATGGAAAATTGAATTTGTTTAACTATTTTAAAAGTGATTTATTTTGCAAGAAACAAAATTTTTGTGCGTTGACACTGATTTTAGTATATTCAAAAATGAATTAATGTGATATTTCTAATTTTCTTAGCTTGTAAAACTAGGTTGTAAAACAAAAACCACCAAATAAATATTTTATCATATTAAAATTAAATTAAATGTATTACACTAATGTTGTAAAAGTGTAAGTTTACAGTGCAAATTAAAAGTAGGATTGCTTGATCTGAAAAAAAGTGTGACTTTCAAAATACAAACTTGCGAAAAAATACAGATGAAAACATGAACGACCAGGGGAAATCCCCCTCAAAACTTTTTGAGAATAACTAATTTAAAAGTAAAGAACTAACGTGGTAATAATTTTCCTTGAAATTAGACGTTTTTTATTTTCAAAGCAGCAATTTAATATTAAACTTATAATAATATTTTCTACCCCATCCCGACAATACAATGCTGGGAGATGTATAATATTAAATGTGTTCATTAAATTGTTGATTTATAAACAATTGTTGTTTGTTATGTTTATGTAAAAATTTAAATAAATTTCCTCCTTGTAATAGGATAATATAAGATTTATACCATAGACTATGCAATGTGAGATTTGACAAATATGGAAACATTGAATTATTAATACATCATCGATACATTAGTATCGAATTAATGTTAAACTAGATATCAAAAATATCTTCTTTTTTTTTTACTTGCATCAGTGCTTAGAGTATATTAAATAGTTGTTATTGTCGAATCTCCTATGTTGTTGCCCCCCCACGTTTTTGTAACAAAAAAAGCTGTTCAAATATCATATTGTGTTTCAGACGGAATGAAATAATGAAAAAAAAATAGGCACAACTCGTATTTTTTTTTCGCACACACCATTGTTAGTTTAACTGGTTAGATTTTGACAAAACCACGATTTATTTCCACTGTACAAACAAATCTTGGGCTCAGCGAGATAGGTTAGGTTTTTGAATTAACAATAAAATATAATACAACCATATGTTTTCAGTAAAACTACTCGTGCGAACTCCATTTGAATATGGTATGATAATATTATGCGCGCTGTGAGATAATAATTATTACATTGATTACATTTTACTAAACAATCTCGCCTTCTAATGGTCATCTAAAATGTCCAAAAGTTAAAGATAATTTTTCATTATAAATGTAAATAATTGGTCTAGGGTACAATAACCTAACGATAATATATGAAACAGTCCAAAAAAAAAAAATGTCCAAACACGAGTGTTGTTTACATAAATAAATTATCAGGTTGGATGTCTTATATTGACAAATATTAACCATAATAATAATAAAAATTGTCCGGATTGTAATGACGTCATATTCACGTGTGATTATATTTTATCAGAAGGTTCAAGATTAAAACCATTGTATGCAATTCAAACCACATACATGTTCTATTAACACAATTTATTACAAGTGAACTCCAATATAACCGTGTTGGTCAAGGTATTAATAATAAAAACAAAATCCACAAGTGTTTGACCGTGCTTACTACACAGTGCTTACTTTTCGGATTCTCAACTTTGTCAACATGTTTTAAGTAGGTATTTAAAAAATAAAACTTTTAACTGTGGACAAACTTACTAACTTTAGATAACTAAAAATGTAACCACGATGAGTTTAATTGATTGAACTATAAGATATATTTTTTTTTGCTGAATCCAAATCTAGCCTTAGAATTTCTTTAGTACATCTATTTCATTTTTTGAACACTAAAGCTGTAGTAAACGATTTAAAAAACGAAAATCAGTATTTTGTTATTTACAAACATTTTACATTCGGAGACTAGTTTCGAATGTAAATAGAATAGAATACATATAAATGTTTGAAAATCTAGTGTCTTCTTTTGGTTCAAACTTTTTATTTTTTCTTATCGAGGTAAGCCAAAAAACCTAATATCACGATTATAAACAAATTTGTTGCCTATATCGACGCCTCAGTTTAAAACTGCAACAAATCAAACAATTTCTTATACAAGTCATGTATTCCATATTTTTTTAAAGAGACAAATAATGACAATAAGCGATGACGTAGTATACGAGAATGAGTTTTAAGTATTTGTACAAAAGAACGTCGGCTTCGATGAGTATGTGAAACATAGTATTAAATGCGGTCGGATCAAGTGGAAAGAAAGACAGCAGCCAGGAGTTTTATGTGACAAGAGAACTCCAATGAGACTTAAAGGTAAGCTGTTCTACAAGAGTGTAGGGACACCGACTATGTATATGGTCCAGAGTGTAGAATGAATGAAGTAGAGGCAAAAAGTCTTAGGCGGAAGAGCGGAGTGACGAGGTAAGAAAAGGTAAGGAACAAATATTTACCTAAGAAGCAGCATAGGAATGGCTTTGATAGCGGACAAATCACGAAAGAAAATAGACATCTTAGTCTATTGATCTTAGTCAAATTGGCTGATAATGGCTCCTCAAAAGAGATCAGTGACAAAACGGAGGGGAGGATTGGAGATTATAGATAGAGCTAAGCGGAGGAAAACGAACATGAATATGACAAGTACCAGGGCGTGTGATTTATGTGTTAAATTAAAATTTGTTCTTATAGGCACCATATATTAAGACATATTCACGAACCAATGTTTTTCCTTCGAGGCAAAAACTAATTTTGTTATTTTTTTCAGCCATGATAAGTTACAATATCATTGTGGGCGACACCGCCACCAAAGTGCTGATACGGTTGTTCTCCTTGTCACACGATTCGATTTTCGCCCAGCGGTACTTCGTCATAGCCATGGCCACGATATTCATCACCACACCGCTGTGCATGCTGAGAAACGTCGCCAGGTTGGCCAAAGCGTCCATCGTGTCGTTTGTCATGGTGTTGATCATATTCGGCACGATCGTCGCCAGATACGAATCTCTATACGAAGTCATGTAAGCCGCCTCACACACGCTAAAATATACGGTATACACACCGTCGTCGGCATCAGTATAATAACACAATAATAATATTATTATTTTTCGTATTATATCGTCGCCCTAGTGCAGACCAGGTTCGACAAGTTCTATAGTGCTCCGTGCCACGAGAGAACGTACTTGCGCAAAAACCAAAACGCGTTACACCTAGCTGCGCAGGAACCATTAAACATCTATTAGATTATTAAACGTTTAACGAACCACGTTCATGCAACCCGGCATTAGTCTCCCCTATAGAGCGAAATACTCATCAGCATAATATTACAAACTATCATAATTTCAAATCAATTGTACTGCGATAATGCTCGTAAGCATAACTCAGATATTCCTACCTCATTTTTACTGAAGTATATAACTAAATTCTGAAAAAATATAAACTTCCAACTATACGCATACTTATTTAAAACTTAATTTTATATTTAAATCAAATATTAATATGTGGTTTTTAAGGCGTTTTATATAGGCAATATTTAAGAAATTGGCGGCTTTATCCACGCTATTTATTTGTATACGCTTCAAGGTCTTATTTTTAACGTATACAATTTTTTCTATGAATAAAAGCGAATGAATTTGGTGGTAAAAAAATGCTTGCTCTCTGATTGGATGGTCTAATTTTGATTCTATAAAAAGATTTAATAAGAATTGTTTTATAAGAAACAATTTGCTTACATAAAAAAACAAAAAAATCACGAATCTGTTTTCAACACAACCTAGAAAAATAGCCGAAGAAGAACTCGTGTATTATTACAAAATTGAAATAGGACAATTTTAAAAAGTCAACATTGTGTCAGGCTTTTTGGTCAAAAAAAACGACCGCTTTCAATCCCGTTATATAGTTATTTTTATTTTCATTTTAGAAGAAAATGATTAAACTAACGCCCAGGTTTAGAAAAATTATTTTTATGGAGTAAAAAAAAAAATTGCGAAAATCGTTCGAGTTGTCCATAACTGCTGCATTAAACAAATTGTCAATATAAAAATTGGCAAACATAAAGAGACAAAAGGCTATAACCGTTCATCAATATCTTTTATCGATTAGTTCACACTGCTTGGCTGGGTTTTGCACGAAGGTGACGATTTAGGATAATAATTTTACGCCGTGTTTTCAGTTTGCATTTTTTGATATAATTTTCTTTTATCAGATCCAAAACTTCAGAAGTCGGCGACGTCGGTTCCTGGGACTTTGCACGACCTGGGGCCATCCAAGCGATCGGGATCATGTCGTTCGGTAAGGAATGCTGGCCACAATCGATCGAAACTTAAATAATCGTTAGTCATTAAATTATTGTTTTGTTTGTTTTTGTCTCTCGAATTCGACACGTGTCCGATGATAATACGTATCGTTTCGTTAAAAAAAAAAAAGCAATGAATAACTCTCCAATCGTTATTCAAGAGCTTATTCAAATATTTAAAACTTGTTAAACAAAAAAATGTGTCTTTAATAATAGATCCGACGCTACATGATGTATATTATTTAATAAATTAAAATGATAACGACTCGAGTATATTGTGGTCAGATTAGGTTGCAATACGTGCACATATAATATTATAATTGCTTAAACAATATTAGCTTTTGGTAAGGTTGGAACGAAAAGCATAAAAAACAATTGTAAGAAAGACCGTTAAAAGTCTGAATCTGAAATGTTTCCAATTATTGTGTCTTGTGAAAAGCAGATTCAAAATAAACAAATTTATTTAAATAAAAACGCCCCAAAAAAATATCAAATACAATTTTATTTTTATTTAAACAAATATCAAAAAAATTATTTTAAATAAATTGCTATTAAAATTAAAAAATTACTTAACTCAATTTAAAATTTTGACACTAAATATTTTTTCATTAAATTAAAAATGTAAAAAAATATTTGAATATAAGCTAAAATAATAAAATGAAAGAAATACATTTTAAGGGAATTTTTTTAGATAAAACAAATTATTTTTAGACATGTGTATATAATTTTAACAATTCAGGATAAAAAATTATTCCTAAGTTGGCTTATTGTTAAGAGTACTATTATCTTTCTAAGTTTAAATTATCAAAACCGATTATTTTGTTATCAACTGTTTTTTTTTTAATAGCGTAAAAACTAATTAGAAAATGAGTTGTTTGAAATATTTAAAATAACGTGCTAGTTTTTTTATATTTTTATAATAATTTGTATCAACTAATACATTTTTTTCTAAATACAAAACTAACTAGTATTGCTTATTTAATTAAATCATTTAAACATTTGTTTAAATTAATTAAACTTAAAAGAATAAATGTTCAAATAAATGCCAGCTTTGGTAATGACAATTATTTGCTAAATCGTACACCATTTGATGTTTACAATCTTGATTTGGCTCAATTTTTTATCCTTAATCGATCACAAGATTTTGATTTTGGAAAATGTTTAAAAATGAGTTTTTTATAATTTAGTAGACATTGTCTTACAAGAAAGTATAAATTTATAATAATAGAAACGAACGAGGGAACACATACACCAAAGTTTATCTAGTGATTATTCGTTTTATTTAAATTGATTTGACAGATATATTTTTAAAAAAAATTTACTTTTTAATTTATTTCAATATTTAAATCTTGTTTTTTATTTCAAAATTTATCAAAAAAAAAAAATGTATGTTTACTTGAAGTGTTAAAAAGTATCAAACGATTTATAAAAAATTACATTTGATCGATTCGTTAACAAAATTTATATTTGCCTCCACTTGACCCTTAAACGTTTTGTAAAATAAAAAAAACCCACTTTAAAATTAAAAGCAAAAAAATAATGGAAATATTTTTAAATATGCAAGAATTGTAAAGCTTAGTTTAATAATTGGTAGTAAATGTGAGAAAAAAAAATGGCCAAACCAAAAAAAATAATCTAGTCAACTCTGGTAAACAATTTGACGATGAATTTTCTATATATAATATAATAACTGTAATGTACAGTAATTATGTACTGTAATATATATTATATAACCGAATGCCTGTCGAGTTTTTAACGAAAAAAAACTATTGTTAAACCAGCTTTACAATCGATCAAGGCCAAGTAGTTTTAAGATAATATTATTACTAAAGTATCCACGTGATCCAAACAAAACCATGACTTACCTGTATCCAAATACTTGTGTTGGGATTTAAAATTAAAAAAAAAACGATAATATATCCTCTTGTTCATTCAATATAATCTTAAAACTGTCCATTATCAATTGACAAAACTATTGACTTGAAATCCGAAAATTTTTCTTTTAGCATCAATATTATTTTTGTTTTACGACAGTATATTTTCAAAAAAATACTTGTGGTCGCCTTATCACAAAACAATGTTAAAACGCTTTTGCTAAAATCTGATATTAGATTTATGTTTAATGTTGAAAATTAATATTTTCTATTAGTACTAATACATACAAAAAAAAATGTAAATATGTTTTTGAGTTAGGAAAATAACATTTTTTTATAAATATAAAATGTTATTTTTTACAATTAGTAGCGATTTAAGCGTATATAAAAAAAAGAGGGTTAGAACCGAAGGGTTTCGGATTTAACGAAAACCTATTGGATGCATATTAGGTTAGATAGTTAATATAATAGCTAATAGTGGTACTGTAATATTAATGTTTTTTTTTTTTATTAATATTAAAAGCTTCATTAGAAATAATATTACTGTTGTAATATTTATATTATATAATATCTGTAACAACTGTGAATAAGTGTGCAAGTCGAATTTTGGTCAAAATTGACTAAGTACGTGCTATGATGTAGTCCCAGACGTCTAGCACACCTTGAATAAATTTCTAACTCGTTAGACCAACAAAATACCTTGAGAGAGATGTGAGTGATTGGCTAAGTAGGGATTTATGGCAGCTGGTCAAAGTTTAAAATCGCTCCCCTGTAAAATCACCGAAATCCACTTACGCACTTATCCACAGTTGTTACATATTTTATTACACAGCTCTTGGTAATGGTTTTTTTTTTGTCGCTTTCGTAAGTACATAATCGTGTGCTATTTCAGGCTTCATGTGTCACCACAATGTATTCCTATTATACGACTCCATCCAAGGAGCTTCCCAGAACGTTTGGAATTGGGTAACGCACTTCGCCATCACCATTTCGGTGGCGCTGATGATCGCTTTCGGACTCGTCGGATTCGCCACGTTTGGCGATTTAACCCAAGGTATGTGTTATTTTAAAGATTTCCTAACTTAAGGTCATCTAAACTTGGAGGTAAATTCCATTTTTTATGTATATGTGGGTCAAACTGTATATTATATGTTTATATATATTGAATAAAGGCGATTTGTTGGAAAACTACTGTTGGAACGACGACTTGATCAACGTCTCCAGGCTGTTGTTCTCGTTGATCACTCTTTTGACCTTTCCGCTGGAGTGTATGGTCACCAAGGCCGTGGTCGACCAGACCTTGAGGGGAGGCACCGACCCCATGCCCGTGGCCATGTCCAAGAAGAGACACGCCATCATCACTGTATCCATTCTGGTGGTCACTTATCTGGTGTCCATATCGACCACGTGTCTGGGAATAGCGTTGGAACTCAACGTAAGTGTGTATTTTTGGAAAACCCTCCAGTTTTATGTGGTCAAAAATCCCCCCCCCAAAAAAAAAAAAAGTTGTTCTAACCGTATTCATGAAGGACAAGACAAATTTTCTCTAATAGAAAAACTCATCGAACCCCATTAGAACTCATTACAAAACTAATAGAAACCCTGTAGCACTAGTTTAACCCCGAATATTTCTTCAAGCGTTGGTACTTTTTTCAATTATAATTTATAGTCTATTACCGATATAAGGCATTTGTAATACCTATTGTGTAATTTCCATCTCGAGCAACTGTCAAAATAGCTAATTAACACACATTTATGTTGTAACGTATTGTTTGTACAGCGTCGCTTTATCGTCCTGACGTTTGTTTGATATGACATAATATATTTTAATTATAGCTTTTTTTTTTTTAATACACATGTGCAAAAAAACTATATTATATACAATTCAGAAGTCTCGATAAAAGATAACGAGACATAAGCTACACAAATTGTATTATATTTTATATCTAGAACAATTATTCACCGTCAAAGTATTAGTAATACAACGGATGGACAGTGATCTTGACATTGACTTTGCAATATAAAAAAAAACCAAAAGTGTCACGCGATTGAATTAAACTCTGGATGGAGATTTCGATTTAATTTTTAAATATCCATAAATAAAAAAATTATTTTTATTTTTTCATATTTAGGGAGTTATCGCCGCCATCCCTTTGGCGTTCGTTTTGCCGGCGGCCATTTACATCAAATTGTCAGATGAGCCGTGGACGAAAAAAGTAAGTACAACAAATTTCAATTATGTACATCATTTACAGTATTTTTCAGCTTAAAATTACGGCGTGCTATAACTTTAAAAAAAAATTGTCGAATTAGTGCCAAATTTATTTGTATAGAACATTATTTAGACATAGTACAAACCCTTATAAGAGGTGCAAACTTTTTCTTTATTTCGCTTTTTTTGGTGTAAAGTTTTAGGCCATAAGAGATGACGTCCTCTTATGGCCTCCATTTAATAAGGAGTTAGGTATCAGCAATTTTTTTTAAAATCTTAACTGAAAGGTTAAACTGTGATGTGTAATTATTAGTTCAGTAATTAAGATTTTTTTTTTGGTAGTTAATTTATTTTCAGACTATCACAGCATCCTTGATAGTGATTCAAAATAGTTTTCATTTAAACGTAGGTATTCTCTAATAAAGGCTAAATTATAATAGAAGACATTTTTTTTTACACATTTTTAAATAATGATAAGTTTATCTTGGTTCTCTCGTCGGATTTTTTTTATATTATTAACCCAACGTTTGCCGTTTATATTTTAACTCTGACATTATTTTACTTTTTTTAAGTGCTTGTGTTAAAGATACAATGTAAGTTTTCTAAAAGAACCGTCGTGAGGAGAAAACCTAGTAAAAAGGCCTTCTCTTTTTAACGGTATCAGACATTTTTTTTTCATGACTATTTCAAACACGTCTAACTGTTCAAGAGGCAAAATTTCGGTCAATATATTATTTAGAATTTTTTTTTTAATTTTTAACCACAACACACGTTTAACCGTTATAACATTTTGATAAATTATTATTCAATATATCCTGGCACATTCGTTTGTTCGATAACAAATATATTTTACAAACAAATAAAATATGTCACTTAACACCATTATCCATCCACTCAGCCCTTCGATTTCAGGCAGACACATCATGCGTTCTGCGAATAATTATTAGACCCGTGATCTACACACAGCTCTCACTGTACTGGTTTTTTATTTACAATTTTATTTTTTACAGATTCCAGCGTACTGTCTCGCCCTGTTCGGCACCGTGGTGGCAGCTTCCGGTGTTTCGTTGGTCGTTTATGAGATCATATCGACCACAACCAACTCGTGTGATAACACTCACATCATGGAATACTGTACACTCAACGACACGGCTTACCACAAATTCGGTGAAACATTCGAGTTACCATTGAACTGAGATCGGATAATGTAATTAAAAATATAATAACATTATATTATTACTATTATTATTATTATTATTATTATCATCATCATTATCGCCTTATAATAATGATAATAATAATAATAATGATTTATGGTTATTTTTTTTTTTAATTATTTGATTAAGATTTCCTTCTAGTCTCTTAAAAAAAAAAACATATATACAATTATAATTATAACTATTTTTTTTTTCATAATTTTTTTTTATGATCAATATATAATATGCTGTTTTTGATCGAATTCGATTATTATTATAATAATATGTATATTATTATCGTAAGTTGTATAACTATTTTTGAAAATGGAATCTTGTTTTGAACATAATATAGTAATCTAATTAATTATATTATTATAATTATAACAACTGTGACGTGTCCATCTAGTTTGCTCTTTATTCGATAAAAATAAATTATTTGTTTTGTTCCATTTTATCAGTGTTTTGATTTGCGCCCCTAACACCAAACGTTGAATAGTAAACCCGGAAAGTTTTTATTCAAACAATAAAAAATGAGTAATTTTAAATACAATTTTATATAATTTTGTTTCAATTAACTTGCTATTTAACTTTTGAATAAATTATGTTTTAAATTGTATGTAAATCATTTATTTTATTCGATTGTTACATTCATTTTTCATAGAAATAAATAATCTATTTTGCGTTGAAATTAAAAACGTATTTAATACTTTTAAAACAAAATTTACTTTTAATTATCATTTGGATATTTGTTAAAACAAAAACTGATTTTATTTTGTTACTTTAATTCTGTTTTATATTGCCTTATATTGTTTTAGCTTCGAAATATTGAAAAATTTTACTTAACACTTAACAGTAATTTTTTTATAAACTAATTATCATAGTCAAACATCTATAAAGTATCTATATACATCGGTCAATAAAGTATATTTCATGTATGATTTCTGATCTGTAAACATGCCACATGAAGAAATCGGTTCGAAAATATTTCAAATAATGCCCAGGTCTCATCTATAGCTAAACTACGCTCTTTATAGGCTATAGCTATGGTATTTAATATAATCTTGAAATCGAACAACACAAAATTATATTATTTGAAAATGACAAGAAACACGTTAAGTTTAAAAACGGCGTCGAGTGTAGGCAATTTAGCTACATGAAAGAGTAATGTGCTTCGTTAAGGCGTCTGACTACATGATTTCTCTTTTTAATTCTTACATAAGTCATTAAATAATTTTTTCAACTGAGATTTTTTGGCTATATAAAATTTAGTGGAAATCTATTACAATATGTAAAATTGGTTTTATATTTATTTTAACAGACAGATCTTTTTCAGGGACAAAAACTACCGTAGAAACTTGAAAAAAAACAATATGTACAATATTATAAGGACTAGTGGTAGAAAAATAAAATAAATTGTTTTTCGTGAAATATTTTCGAATTTGAAACATTTGTACATATAAGAACATTTACAACGACAACAACAGCAGAAAACACAAAACCAATTTCGTTTTAACGGCAAATGAATAGATTTTCAATTCGAACCTACGCGTCGATAAAATATCTGTTTATACTTCATACTGCAAATTGAGAAAAAAAATACCAGCTAATGTAAATGTCTTATACGAATTATAGCACAATTCCCTTTATTGATAAAAATAAAACACATTGGTAAAAAATTCATTATTAATCTTTGCAACGCGCACGGGATACATTATTACAATTCTGAGGTATGTTCAACAACATCTGTACAATGTGTGTTTTTTTTTTAATAATTTCAGGGTTTAAAAAAATTAAGGGATTATGCTAAAATTTGTATGAGGCATTTATTTTAGAGTATTTTTTTATAGCGGTTCAATTTGATATGAACAATTTTATTTTTATATAATGAAATAGAGGGTTTGAGGGGTGTTCCTGACTTAAACATTTATTTTCTCAAAAACTTGACTTTCTAGGACAATTCTAGAGACATATTTGGATTTCTCGTAAAAATCTATCGGACATTGTTTGGACAAAACCCACTCAAAATGTTGTCGAACCGTGTAACTAATTATTATTTTCAATAAATTGCCAAAAAATAAATAACTATGTTTGCTGTCGCTTATGATGTGGAGCTTTTACGGTATGCCAAAATATGATTTAGTCGAGGCTGATGTGTAGTAATATATATTATTTAATAATTACTATTTCGGCTCAATGGGGCTGATGCGGTGCTTGTAATTATTGTTATAGTTGCTAGAATTCGGAAAATAACATACTATGCAAACACCTTTTTACGTTATTCACATGCATATATCGAGCGTTTTTATACTGAAGACTGCGAAGATTAACAAATGACACTTGTGTAGACTTTGTCAAGAATTGAAAACAAGCCTATACCACTTACAAAGATTTAGTAAATAAAAAGTAAAAAAGTAGAAAAAAAAATGTGCAAGTGCATTGTTAACATTTTTAAAAAATTTATGTGTGTATACTTAACGCAAAAATATTAAGATTACTCGCCTACAAATTTATCGGTCAACTTCTAAATAACAAAGCATTTTTTTCTTAACAATGTACTGAATAAAAAAAAAAACCCTTTTAATTTTAATTCTAGCTACATGGATAGATTAATGATTTTTTTTTTACAATTTTACTTTGTCGTGCGGTATAACATATTGACATTTATTGAGCATAGTAAAAACAAACTTTCAAGGACACTCACCCGAAATTATTGTACTTATTTAATAACTAAAATGTTGGGTACCTATTTGTATATTATCCTGGTATAAATTATAGGTTCAAAGTTAACTGCATTTGAACCCGACGGCTTAATATTATTATAATTAAGGTGACTAGTGTAATTGGTGCTTATTCTACTAAAAGTGGTAGATTTAAACAGACTACCAATAATTGTGTTTAATTTGAATTTCAGACTATCAGCTATTCGCAAAGCTTTTATTTTTAATAACATTTACCTTTGTACCAAATTCAAAAACTTATATTTTCAATACTAATTTTCTTACAAAATTTTACTCGTTGTATTTTAAAGCTATTTGAGTTGTAAACAATTTTTTTTTCTTCTAATTAATCATTATAGTTTATATACTATGAAAATGTATACAATTTTAGTTAGGTATTAATAAAAATCACAATAAAATAGAGACATAAGCTGGTAAAAGGTATGGAGAAGTAGTAAAAGTATTAAATATATAAAATCGGATGTGGTAAAATTTTAAAAAGACTCGGCAGGAATAATTGAAATTTATTATACACATTTAAATTCGGCGTATGGATGAAATTCGTTTGGGGTGAATTGAGATTGGAAAATTCCGAGGGATGGAGGTCTCTTAGTCTAAGTACAATCTAAGTTTTAGTACATAAGAAAAAAAAAATTGTACACCTGTATTGTTTAAATAATGACATGTTTTTATATTAAACTAAAAAAAATACGAAGGTTACCTGAAGGTTATACGTACGAATTTATCGGTTTGAAAAAACAAAAAACAACAGATATTATGTTACTTATACACATTTTATAAAAGCGATACCAAATTCAAAATTATTGTCAGTTTTCGCGTTTCAGTGTACGGTTAAATTTAGAAAAAGTGGTTTCCGTTAGAATATACACAGGTGTACACAGGCCTCTCAATAACGTCAAGGTGGATTTTGTTCGGTTACTTTAAACACGGCCTATGTATTCATTCTGATAGCTTAAGAACTCGAGCTGAATTGTCAATAAACTTTAAAAGTACAAAACAAAAAAAATAAGTACCAACATTCCCTTGAAGAAAACACATTTAAACGTGTGGCCTATCCTTTCCAAAACTTAACTATCAGGAGACGATCGTCCAAATTGTTTGTTTAGTTATTCGTATAGGTTTTTATTTTTCCCCAAAATGTTATCTTTATACGTTATTACAGTAGCCTTTCCGTAGAGATTTTCAATAATAACGAGAAAATAATTTTTAAATTTGATTTAATATTCACAATAACGGTTAATTATTTTTTGTAACAGATGTTGTTAAAACAATTTTTAATAAAAAAACATTGTTTGTAAAAGTGAAATCTGCATAATATGTGTAAACATTGTAATAACTTCAAAAATTATTACTCAAAACTGGGTAGTCGACATTTTCGGAAAATTATTTTTAATTAAAAAAACAAATTAAATACAGATGTTTTCATTTAAGTTTCAAAAGTTACCTCCCCCCTCTCTAAATCTGGCTTTAGACTGAATAAAATACAAAAAATGTAAATTATTATTCGATAACAATTTGAATTATTTTACAATGTTAAATTTTCCAAAATATATATCATCAAAAAATCAGGTGTATCATGAAAAACCCTGAATAATTATGTTTTGACAAATGACCCATTGCAGTAGAGTCCATCTTTAGAACCATATTAACCGGTTCTGCTTTACTGATTCAATACAATTGAAGAGGGAGAAGTGAAATTTTTAAATGTATAGCCCAAAAAGTTACTTTAAAGGTACGATTTCTAGGTATGATCTTTATACAACAAATATATAAATGTTTGAATAAACATTTGAAATAATGTCACAGCTTGATCGATTTTTAGAAACTAAATATAATATATTTATTTAATGTTCTACGTTTTTTTTTTTAAATTCTTTACTTGAAATGGAATGTATATAGTCTAAAAAATATTCACTTTGTCGCTCAGTTGATGTTCAGTTTATAGTAGTTAGATACAATGGCTTTCAATTTTAGTATATTTTTACTATCTTGTATCATTGTTCATAATTCTGTGTCGCAGCCAACTGATTATAAAGTAATTTTTTATATTATGTTTAAGCTATTATTTTTAAACTACAATTTTTTAGCTCAATGTTTTTCAATAAAAATATTTGTTATATCTGTGTATATTACACAAAACAGTCATAACATATCTGCTAATACAAGTTAAACATTTTAATTTAGTTAAAAAAACTGACAAGAATTTTTAGGTTTGATTTTTTAAAAAGTTTGTCTTAAACTTTTTTTTTTAATGTGTCAACCGAATGTCCAGTTTTTTTTTGTTAGTTTTATATTATATTCTAGTTTATGCAAAATTAAACTTTATTATTAGATTTTAAGGAATAAATTTGCAAATTATTATAAAATAAAACAAATGAAATAAACTTTTCAGTTTGTTTCAGGATTTATGAAAACAATTTTTGATTTCGTTATCGACTATTATTCCGATGAATATAATATAAACAAATACATCCGTAAGTCTCAATTTTTAGATTTTGTGGGTAATGATGACCATAATTTACAATGTGTGTACAATTATTGGGCAGCAAATTCAGATTCACCAGAAAAAGAAGGTAACAATTAGACATACTTTATGTACCATTTAAAATTAGTTTTTTAATAAGTATTTATTAAAAAATTACCTGTCGTATAAAAAATACAACTCAAAAGATCTATTCAATATACAGAAACAAAACTTGTTATAAACACCTGGTTTCGTTTGAAATAAGGTATTAGAATATAAATATCAATGTTAAAGTAACAAATGTTTTCTACTTCCTAAAAATGTAAATATAAAATGATTTTTATATAAATAATACATTTTTGTTTGGTTTTTAGATAAGATATATGTAAAGGAATTTACGGAAATAGTGTCTTTGATTTGCGAAAAACTAAAAATTCATAAAATTGACTTCCTTAGAAAAAGAGAAAAAACAGCTAAGGTAATCAACCTGTAGATAAAATATCATATTAGTTTTGTTTAATTTATATTATAATACCAGTAGATTTGTATCTTGATAAGATAATAATATTACTTTTAAATATCTTCAGTTACATGCACAAATATTATATTTGCACATTTATACATTGTATTATTAGGATTGAAATTGTTAGTAAGCCAAAATTACACTATTTATTATACTACCAAACAAGTTGATTAAAATAATTAATTGTATGATAATACATAATATGAAGACATTTTTTTAAATGTTTAAAATAACTGTTTGTTTTATTTTTTGTTAGTAAAATATTGTACTTTAATCTATGAAAATTATAACTTGATAATTCGTTTATATGGAATAAATGTAATAAATATAGAACTAATTATGAAATAAAATTTTCAGGTTATAAAGTATGCTTTTGATTTCGCTTTTGAATATTACAATCACGGTATTGGAAGACTATATCTTCATCATCTCGATTTTTTACTATTTGTGGGCAAATACGACCATTTACAATGTGTACAATCTTATTGGACAGCGAAATCTATTCCATCAGGCCAAAGTAATCATTATATAATATACTTCATACTTGATGTATCTTTAATATTAATACATGTTGAAATTTTAAATAAAAAATACATTTTTTTTTGTTTTTTAGCTGAGTTACATTTGGACGAATTTACAGGCCTTGTAAATTGGATTTCCACAAAAAATAATTATGTTGTAGAAGAATTTCTTGAGAAAAGGATCGCAGTAGCTAAGGTAACCAGCTATAGATAATAATAATATATCATATTTTGTTTTATTTATGTTGTAATATCGGTAGATAAGCCTTTTTTTAAGTAGGCAAATCTTTATAAGATATAAATAATACTTTTAAATATCTCCCATTTTATGCACAAATATTACATTTATATACAGGGTGATCCAGTTACCGTGAACCACTCAATATCCCACTGGGTTTAGTTAATAATTTAATTACATTTTTTTATACAATGTGATCACAATTTCTCACATTTTGTTTTTGGTTTTACCTCCCTCCCAAATTAAATGATAACGCATACATTTCATCAACTTTTTTAATTGAGAATAATGTACTAAAAATGTTGACTGGTTGATACCCAGTTTTAACTAACTATTTTTAAAGTTATAAGAGTTTAAGAGTTAGGATGGGAGGGGAAGTGCAGTTGGAAAAAGGGCAGATAAAAATAACACTACACTCCACCTTTCCTTTTGCCCTGAACTTGAAACTTCATTAACTTCAAAAATTGTTATCCAATACTGGTTATCGGCCAGTCAAAATTTTAAGTACGTTATTCTCAATTTTAAAAGTTTATAAAATGTATGTGTTGTAAATGGTAATTTAAGTTTCAAAAGTTGTTATCAAAAAAAATAATTTGGGAGGGGGTAAAAACAAAAAAAAAAATGGTGAAAAATTGAGATCACGTTGCATAAAACATAATCTAAAGAAAAAAATTAATTTCTCATTAAACCCTATATAAATACTTATATACTATACTTTTTTTATCATCTGTAATAAATAAGGCTAGGATTAGCCGTCATATGACCGAGTTCAAACCGCCTACCCCGTCAAAATATGGGATATAACGATGATTTTAATGTGTAATAAGTAATAACTGATCAATGTTTTTGTTATTTTTCTATTGTATTCTTGCCTATATAAAATTACATTTTATAATTATATTTTAATAGAATACAATTTAATTAGTGGAATAAACTTTTCAGGTTATAAATGATGCTTATAATCTTGCTTATGTCCATTACGGTGTTGTTCAGGAAAAAGGTTTTAGTGAGTTCCAATTTTTAGATTTTGTCGGTAAGGACATAACAAATGAACTACTTGTATATCATTACTGGATAGCGAATCATATTCCACCAAAAAACCGAGGTAACTTTTTGATAACTTTATTAATCATTTAAAATTAATTTCAAAACAAATGTTAAAGTAAAAACAAAAAAAAACCGTCAATGCTAAAGGAGAGCGAAGGTATTATTTCAATTATTGTACCAACTAAAATAATATTGTTGGCAAAAATACTTATTTAAAAAGCCTGTTTTCGTTTGCAATATCTTTAGTAGATTTATACCCTTGTATTTGAATTTTGTACCAAAGGAAAAATACAGTTTTTGATTTGTTTTTTAGGTAATATTTTTTTTAAGGAATTCGCGGACCTAGTAAATTTGATTATCTTTAAAAGATATGATCTAATAAAGTTTATTAACAAGCGAATGGAAAAAATAAGTAGCTAAAAAAACCACGGACTAGCTGTATAAATAATAGAATATTAGTTTTGTTTAACTTATTGTAATATCAGTAAAGAAGTATCTTTATAATATATTGTAAGTACTTTCACATAGATACATGCACAAATATTATATTATTTTATTTGCAAATTATATACAATGTAATATCACACTTATATTAAATAATAATAATTTTAAAAATATTTTATTAAATAAATACATTTTGGTCAAATAATAAAAATAACATATTTGTTTATATACATTTGAGTATATTATTTAAATATACTGATAGTATACTTTTATCAATATTATTTAATTAAAATAAATTCTACACGTGACTCTAAGTTCAATTTTTATATTATTGATTTTATCAGTGACTTAAAAGATGAATGGATTGGCAAAGCTCTCTCTCTCTTAGAGCTGTTATTTCTCAAGCTATTGGTTTTTTTTAGTGCTTTGTAGTATACTCATTTGATTTTAGCAATTCCTTTGAAATTATGGTTTTTGATTTTCTATATTTTTTTGCTTGACAGATATTAAACTCCATAAAAAAGTTATCATCATATAAATATTGACAAATAAAACATTTATCAGGACAAATTATATTTTTTTATAACTATTACTAAACGAGTAATATTAAAACACAGTACAGATAATTTATTCTTTGTTGAAACCATGAAACCGTTGAGTTAGGTTAGGTTAGTAAGACTGGTCAAAACACGTTTTCAGTCTACATTACTTCAATGTTATGATTTAATTTTAAGCTTCGAAGTGGAGCTGAAATACGTTCAATATTGAGAGTAATTTGTATTATTAATTATTATATTATAACACGTGTGGAAAACGTTTTTTTAGAACGAAAAATAAAAACACATTTGCAATTGTTTTCGTTGAATCCGAATCTGGTGAGCAATTTTTACCTACCAGTCAATTTTTTACTTTAAATTTTACTTTTTAAATCCTTCCTAAAATTGTAAACTACTTAAAAGCCAAACAAAATCTAAATTAGTTCTATATTCTTCGAAAAAAGTATAATAATAAACAATTTGAATTACTAAGAAATGTTGTCATCGTGACTATACTTTACCATCTCACATTTGTGACCTAGGTCTGTCTTATACTATCTTCAGTTTTCATAACCCAAACTTTTTAAATATTTTTCCATCTTTCAGCCTCGAGGTTCTATGTTTAACCTCCTTTGCCAGTTTCCTTTTGCTTCATCGATGGCTAGTACACATATGTACAGGACATAAGCAATTCTCACGAACTTCATTATAGTAGTCATAATATTTAATCAATAACTAGTAATTATTTGTTGTAGCAACTATTGTAAAAAACAATTTTCAATCAATAAAACCATTTGTAAAAGTGAAATAGGATCAAATTTTTTTTTAAAAATGGCATATTGCATAACCCCAGGCGAAGCCGGGGCAACGCAGCTGCCAGCTAGTATATACCTATAATGGTGGCAAGTAAAAATGAACAGCAGTTGGTTTCATAGACAATAATTCGATTGATTGATTATTAGTTTGAAAAATTATTACCACATACCTTCATACTGAGCATAATTTATTACATATTAGGTTTGTTTAATTTTATCTATATTTTGTGGCATAAAATAAGTGGAACTAATAACAAAATATTTTGATTTTTGTTAGTGGTCACACTCTCAAATCTGTGCAGCATTCCCAGTAGCTGCTGATAAAAAAAGCGACTGATAAGAGATATTATATTCATAGCGCGTTATACCTAGGTTTTTGAGAAGAATTTTGTGCTTCATCGTGGGCTTATTACAAAATACAAAGTTGAAAGTTACCAAATCGTTTTACCGTCTACGTCCGGTTGTCGAATAACAAAAAAATATTATTTAATATTCTTATAGAAGTTGTGCAATGGTAAGTACATTATCTATACTTTACAGTATAACATAATTAATGTAGCTGTACGTTTGTCGTAGGTCAGCGTTGCCGTGGTCGGACTAGGATTAGCAGTAGTTGGTTTTGCCGGTCGTCAGGTCTTGCGTGCGGCCCCTCATGTCGCCAAAAAAATGAGCGACGTACTCAATACGATGTCATTGGAATCGGTAGCGTAGAGACGAAAGAACAACGTTATTCATATTCAGATGTACATTAATTTTTAGTTTTTTTTTTCTTTCGTTTTTAGTCTCTCAGTAAATACCATAAAGGTGGATTCGAGCCTACAATGTCAAAACGGGAAGCCAGTCTTGTTCTTGACGTGTCGCCTAACGCTCCAAAAAATAAAATAAGGGTATACTTAATTCTTAGCTGCGCTAAGTGTTTTTATAGCTCACGTAAACATAACCCTGAAATAGATAAACTATGTTTTTAGAAACGATGAAATTTAAAACTAATCTTTAATGCGTTAATAATACAATTTTTACTAAAATTACATTTATCACATGTGTGCATTTCCGAATCAATTAATTTGCAGTAGGTATGTGTTAAACAACAGAACACTATTGGTGTTGAGATTATAATTGAATTTTTCAAACCATTTAACTAAAAATGTCTACCAACCAAAAGCATACATTTCATAGTGTTCAACAATTTCTGTCTTAAAAATTGTGATGAAAATGATTTTAAAAAACTATTTTGCTAATAATTTGATAAAAAAAAATCCTAATTAAATCTAAATAAATATTTTCTATCTGTAACGTTTCCTAACAATTATTGTGTTGTGCATTACATAAAATTGTAATTAATTGATGAGATTGTTCTTTGGGTCCAATAAATATATAAATAATTATCAATTATGTTATATTGATGCACGGATGAAAACCAATACATTATATAATCCTTACAAAAAGTAGTAAGTTTTGTATTTTGTCATTAAAAGTAGTATATTTGGTTTGTAATGGAGGAAACTAATAAGTTTCGACTTTTGTCATAAAAAGTATTACTTTTTGACCATTCAAAACATTGTAGAGACAAAAGATGTTGGTTTACACCTCAAAAGTTTAAACATTTAATATCATTGTGGAAATATATATGTGGTAAAAAGTAACATACTTCTTTTCATAAGGCCAATGAAACTTGATATTTTTTGTAACTAGAATGAATACAATAATACATTATATTTTCTTATTACTTATAAATAGAGCCTTGATGAATTTGAATTTTTTTTTGCTTGTTTTTATAATAAATTTAATATTATTCAGGTAACGTAAATTACAAATATACAATTATTATTATTTTTTTTTTTTTAATTAATTCAAGCTATGAATATTTTTATAGGAATTATTTATAATATTCTAGTTTTGTGCCAAACATTATTTTATAAACAAATAAATAGCCAAACATTAAGAAAAAACAATTAAAAAATTATTTAAAATAATACAACACAATATTTATCTAAAACTGTATGTTTGAAATTATTTTTTTGTTAAAATACAAATTTAACTAAATAAAATATATTTTTAATTTGAAGATTCGTGTTATATAACTTTAAATATAATTTGGTTGGAATGAATTTAAATAACACATAAAAAAAGTATTTAAATACATTTTAAATTTTGTGGGTAAATTAAAATGGAAATCATAGTTTATATCATTTAAATAAAAAATAAAATATTCTTTAAAATTTAGAATAATCAATGTTCAGTCGTTCACTCTCAAAAATATGGCAAAATTAAACAATAAATAAAAATGTATTTCAAATAACTGATTATTTTCAGATTAGTGTCTGTTATTTATTATCTAAGAAGAAAAGTGCTCATGTTTGAATTTTGACTCAAATGGTGGTTTTTGTTTGAAAAATAAATAAAGAAAAAAGAAACAATAAAAAAATGTTATAATAAACCTTCTAATAAGTTTATTAATATTTGTTAATAAACTTTTTTCTTTAATTTTCAAATTTTTTTTTGAAAAATTAGGTCACTTAAGTAATTTTTTTTTTATACATGTACATATTTGATATTTGTACATTTGTACATCATACATGTACATATTTTTGGGTAATTTTTTTTTTTTTAATATTTACAATAATTTATGTTATATTTGTCAAACACGCATATTACCTCAGTCCCTTTATTTATTTTTTTACATATTTTATTATGTACAATTGTATTATAATGTTTTGTTTGTTTGTAGGAAGCACACAGACGTATCATGTTGATCAATCATCCGGATAAAGGCGGTTCTCCATACATTGCAACCAAAATCAACGAGGCCAAAGATCTTTTAGATAAAAAATGAATAACAGCCTTTGACACCTTTGGTTAAGTCAACGTCCAACCGACGTAATAGTATAGTGTAAATAATGTTGTACAAATAATAATGGCAAATTCTTCTGTGATGTTATCTAAATTGATTTTTTTTTTTAAAGTATCTTTATATTATAATCTTTAGCTGATATTATTAATATTTTGTTTATACCTAATCCATTGTTAAAACTGTTGAAATAAAAACAAGCACTTTTATTATTAACATTATGTACAAAATGTTCAGGTTTAATTAAGAAATACTAAATAATTTAATAGAACAGTTCATTTTTTGAGGTCTTTTAACAGTTTTTTCCTGAACAAGCCATAATCATGTTGCATCAACTCGTAAGCGGTCTGCCTTAGCTTTTCCACTCTGGCTATTATTTTTTTTGGAGAACTCGATTTTGTTTCTTCCAACCGCCTCAACTGATGTCCGGTCAGTCCTTCGACTTCGTTGGCTTGAGCAACGATTGCGTTGTAATCAGAACTGATCTTGGCCGATTCGCTAGGAGAACAAAAATAATAAATAAACTGGCAACATAATATGTTAAATAAGACCTGGGCAATTTATATTTAATTAACAGATAATTGATAATAATTTGCCAATATTGAATTAATTGAAGTACTGTTTTTATTTAATACATCAAACATTTTTTTTTATTATTAATACATTTGAGTTTTTATTTATTTATAAAATATTATTTTTACTAAAACAATTTTTTAGTTTTAACTATTAGGTATTTTACATTTTACTAAAACTAAAAGTACATTTGAGTAAGAAAGTAAATTGTAAGTACGTTTTTATTAGATTTGTTATTATTTATAAATAATTGTTTTTAATTTTAATTATTGTTTATTGTTTATTATATAAAAAACATTTTATTAAGTGACTGAAAAAATATTTAAATTATGCGTACCATACAATCTACATTTCATTTCTGCGGTATTTGTGTGGAATTTTTTTAATAAAAATTGATTTTAAACATTGCCCGGGTCTGGTCCGGTCGTTAATAGCTTTTTTGTTTTTTATTTACTGGTCTAGTTTTTTTTTATGCGTATGCTGCAAAAGGCAATCGCACATTTTCCACAACTCGAGCATTTCCGCCGAATCCAACTTGCACTGATTCAAGTATGCCTGAAACATACGAATGGCCGTCGGGTTGGCCAAGACATGTTTGAGACTGTTCGTCCATCGGTCCAAATCCGCTTTGGAAACCGAATTACATTCTCCACAAGGCACACAACTCATGTCGAGGGCACGCCTTGCACTGCAATTCCCTGCAAAATAATTCATCAGACGTTAAAACGAATGCGAGCCAGTTAGGACTTGGGTTCTTTACCGACGACTAAAATATAATGTAATGATAAAATGTAAGTAGTCCGATTTTCTAGAGAGCTATATGAGCTAAAATTAACTAGTGGTAAAAATAGTCGGCTATTTGGCGATTCGAGAAATATGACATTATTTAAATAATTACATGGTTACGTTATAGTTATGCGCTGTGGCGTACTTACAGAGACGGATACAAGGGCTACGGGGCTGAAGCCCTCAACTCCTAAACTCCTCTATATTTATTTTTTAAATATAATATACATTTTTGTTTACTATTTAAACTGTAACTATATGAATATTGCTAATATGTATTTGAAGTGAATTTTTTTTTAGCCTCTTCATCTTACTTCATTCCTAGATAAGTGGTATACTACTCCCAGTTTTTTTTTTTTGTACAAACAATTGCATATTATTAATGTAATCGTTTAATATAAATATTTTAATCGTGGCAATATTACTGTTAACGTAGAAGTTTTGGATGAAATATCATTAAACATTTAAAACTGTATTATATAATATTTAATAATTAAATGTAGGGTAATCCATATTTTTTCATCTAACAAACAATCATGGTTTGATAGAAACTAAACTTTTAAAAATGTAATTAAAATGAATTTTGTCTCATTGAAACTTGATAATATATAATTAAACAAACAGTTTCTAACATTGCACAATATAAAGCAAAAATAATCGTACATCCCTTTTTAATTCGACCATAAGGACAAGACTTATACAAGGGAGTCAGGGGGAAGATTTTTTTTTGCACGTCACCAGAAGCAGAAGCAAAATTGTAAATAGGTACGCCGTATTATACTTTTTTGTCTCGAGAGATGCACCCTTCTAACCGTTTTCCCAATAGTTCAGTCAAACTGTTCAGTTTCTAAGAAGAGTGCTTCTTCTAAAACGTGATTTAATAATTTAATACAAAGATTAATGATGATGATGATTATGTATTAAGATATAATATTAAGAGTTTGAAACAAATATTAAATATCATAAAATTGATTTTTCTTTAATAAAGGTAGGTACAGTTTACACACTGTAAAGTAGTAAACCTTCCTAATAAATATGTATTGTGGCGTTCATTCCAAGAGCTTTTTAAAAAAACGTCCGCTCTCTAAAAAATAATTTGAGTAAATTCTCAAATTGAGTGAAACTAAATAACATACATGGATATTGTTCTCAAAATCATAATGAACGTAAATTATAAAACAATTTTAAGTAGTCTTAAAACTGTTAGTTTTTTTAAACAAAATTATATTGTCTTTTGTAAAGAGTATTTTTTTTTATCTAGTAGTAATACTACATAATATATCTATAATATGTTTATACAGCTGCTTTTTTAGTTGATCATAGTTTTGTTTAATAAAGTTAACTATAGGTACTTCAAATCCAAGAGTCGACTAATATGAATACAATTTTCAATGATTTTCTTTAATTTATATGGAGTATTTTTTTTTTAACTCTATTGTTGTCAGTATATTATTACTATTATTATGTTTTGTAAAGCATAACAATTGTTATAAATAATTATTTATTATAACTATAGATTTGCGTGACAAAACACTTCAGGTAGGACAATATATAGGTAGGTAGGTACTCCACAGCTACACGAAAACACGTCCATAGCCAAAGGGTATAACTATGGTAAAAAAAAAAAAAAAGATTACACTTGCAATTAGATATTAATAATTCAGGATATAAAAAACCGTAGCGGAAAACGTACAAAACACGCAAGGCAGTTTGATTAAATCTAAAACATTAAATATCTCTATTTTATTTTTTTTATTTAACTATAAAATTCAACAAAAAATAACCATAATGAGGTATATGTACTCACACAGAGGCACAAGCCAGCTCTTCAGAATTATGAACTCAACCACTAACAAAACGGGTATTAAAAAAAAATCAAACGCTTTACTTACTTAATATATTACAAAATGCTTTTTTTTTATTTAGGCAGTGTCCCATCATAATATTGTATTCAAATCGCTTTGAGAGTATATTACAGTAAAAACTGTGGAATATATAAAATCTATTTTTGGAAATATGTTATCCCTGAGGTAGTAGTTTTTAGGTAAGTAAGTAGAAATAATTGTTCAAACTGAAAACGTTTATTAAATGTTCAACCGACATACTACAATTACCATATTCGTAGGAAAAACTTCATTACTCCAAAATACTCAGGGTGAGCTTTCAAAAGACAACCACACATTTTTTAATAAAATAATGTACCTATTACAATTTTGAAGTAGAATATATATTAAAATATTTATAACGCGATAACAGATTAATTCGCAATCACTCTACCATTTGAGTAAATAGAATAATAGACAAGATTTTTTTTTGGCCTAATATAAAATAATTTGAGAGAATTTACTCATTGAGATAAATATATTTAACACCAGTGACAAACATCGAACAATATGGTGACTAGAAAGCAAAACCTATATTGTAAAAAACCATTGAACTTGTCTAATCCTAACGTATTCGAGTGCACATAGGAAATTCGGCCATTCTGATAATATATTCTTGAGAAGTCAACCAAGACATATTATTATTTTTGTATAGGCGCAGTAACGAGCGCGGAGCAACCGGATAAAACAAAACATAAAAAAACTTATTAGTTTCACGACTAACCGACATACATGATGAGGTTCACGTTTTGAAAACTAAAACATTATGGAAAACGAGAAAGTCAAAACCGACTAGTCATTAGATATAATACAATGACAGTCATGTTATTCTCGACAGTACAAACATCAATGGGGTTCATGTCGAAAATCCCTAATTGCAATTAAAACTTGAAATAATTATAGCTTTGTACAACCTTCATAGGACCTAGTTAGAAGGGGAGTGGACAGAAGACGGACCCCAAGTCTAGGTTCCGTGCATTTACCTGTCCATCAGTCGATAGCTAATTTTTTTTATCCTATTTAAATTTTCAAAAGAAAAATGTAACGGATCTCAAAAACAAAATTTGAATCGCCCATAAAACACAACCATAACACATTTTCTTCTTACTTACACCAACTTAGGATTGACAACTTTTTGAATAATAACTTAAAATTTATTAATATGTATATATTAGTCAATTATATTATGTAGGTATATGAATATTTTACCAAAATTAGACTATTTTTAAGTTTTCATTTGAAATTTGAGAAAAAATTGCTTTTACATGATATTGTTTTTTCACTTGACCGGTTTACTTAATCAGAAAATCTATAGATCACAAATTGGTATGTTATTTAAAAGTAAAAAAGCTCCTCCCAAAAACCCCTTCCTCTGCATTAAGTTTTAAGGCTTAATACTATAACTCGCTTTACTTTGCTGAAAAATATTCGGGTTGATGCAAAATTTGTGGATAGCGAACTTCATCAATATTAGTTATTAGTTATTACTGTGCTTGTTTTACCATTAGACTGTACTCGGTTAAGACAGTACTGGAGTGTTCTGTTTCTTACTGTAAACTTCAATAATTATAATGCAACCGGAAATGTAGGTGCAAACGGTTTTCGAACCACTGCAAGACCGCGATATTGTAATTAGACATTGTTTCACCGATTAAACATCACTCTAGTTTCGGTCGGGCTATGTCTTTTTCGTATAGTCATTCGGTAGTTGTTCAAGTAATTTATTATTCGCTTCATGGTTCAGAGCGCACCGGCCAGTAGACGGAGAAGAACTATTTTATTCTCACACAGGCGGTGGTTGGAAAAAATAATATTATATCATGATCTAGCCAAGCTTGAGAGGTGTATGGTCACGTTTTCTATTCAGGGCCATCGGACATGATCGCATCATGGCGACGACAACGATGACGGGAAATAGCATCACGTCTTTCGTGTGTTCCGAATCATTAAGGTGGGCTACGGTCCTTTTGCCGAAACAATAACTGGGCCAACTGTAATAGCACACAGCACATAGCACAGCCATCGTATATAGGCACCGAAAACGTGAAACTTATATTACTTCTACAGCATATATCATTCCACCGGATAAGCATATGTGAGCACGACGGCCGTTGTCAAAACAATGATATTCTTCTTTTCAAAATGGTTTTGTTTTTATGTCTTATCAAGTTGGTTGCCACCGACTGATTTTCAATGGACATATTCTAGTGTTTTGTGCAAGCGTAACAAACAGTTTTAGATATTAATACAAGCAGTGTTTATGTAGCCGAACTGATTCTAGGTATAAATGTCCGCGGTAAACTTCTTCTTCACCAAAATAATATGTCCATAAGAAAATAATTACCAAGCATCCAAGACTTTTGTCAGCTTAAAATTTGTTTTTTAGATTACTTCATGAATTATAAAGTTTTCTTTTCTATACCCTTTTATAAAATACAAATCACTATAATATTGAATATAATCTTTGACAAGTAAAAAGTGTGACTATAGATTATAAAAAAATGATTTATATTTTGTAAGAATAAACACTAGATCACCATCAGTGTGATTTTCAGAATTCACCAAGTCAAAAAACTACCCATAAAACATTCAAAAACTTTCACACTTTCTACAGGAAAGGTCTGTTACCAAACTGTGTCCTAGTATAAATTAAAAATGTTATACACTATATCTTATTAATTATTACTTTATAATTAAAGCTGTGTAGCATTGACATCATTCTATTAGTAGTTTGAATTGTCAATCATTATTCAATTTATAATCCATTAGCGTGTTTAAATTAGTTTTTGAAAACCATGCAGTCCATTAAAACGTGATGAATATCATTCATAAAATATTCTATATTATTTTGTTCTTTAGTAAATACTATAAAGTATAAAGCAACAAAAATAAAAATACAATTTTACAAAATTTCTTTTTTTAAGAAAAATGAAACGTAATTGATCATACCAAAGACATGGATAAGTTGCTTGATAATTATTTCCAAGATTTAAAGCTATAAAAGTAATACAAATTAAATATTCATCAATATAGCTAATTTTAAAAACAAAAATCTTATAACTTACTAATATAAAATTCGATTTAAAACACAAAGTATTATACTATATTATAAGTTATTTTACTATTTACCATAAACTTTATTGTTGTACGACACCACAACAACCACGGAGCCGCGAGTTTAACAATATTTCATAATAATAAATATATTAAATCATATCATAATCTATTATAAGTCGTCTGTTTAGTAATATTTATTTATTTATAAATTAACTGGGTACAAGAATATTGAGTCGCTCCAGTAAACGCGGGGCATCAATATCACCATTCAATAATTTATGTATAAAATTAATCCCGAATTTCTTGCGTCAAATATAACAGTTCATTTATCTGAAAAATAAGGCCGTACAGAAAAATCAATAACATACTCTTCAAGTCGAAACCAGGTACACCAGTACATACACTAGATCTAACTTCAATTCAAGTTTCAGACCTCAAAGCCAAAAACTCCGTCATAGAAAAATATATAAAGAGATATAAATATATGAGAGAAATGGTTAATGAAATTTAACATTTATCTTTCAAATTCCCAAAATTAAATAACATGTAATTTCGCAATTTTAATTATTTTTTGAAAAATTGTATTTTAAAATTGAAAAATAAGACAATATTGTTTAGTGTGTTTTTCTAGATTTTGAAGAGAAAGGAGTGCACTATTTCAACTTTACCATTATTAAGTACCTTCACTATTTTTGTAAATATTCCATACTTCTCCTTCATTGGAGTTACAATCTATTAAGGCACATTTAAAAAAGGACAACCTAGTGACTATTCACCTTGACCTTTTTATCAACTTATCAGTAGCCGTGTTACTATGCGCATAATGAACGATAACTATATTATGTTGACATGTTAATGAAATTAAAAAAAATTAATGGGACAATAAATATTGATGGATTTAGTACATATAATTCGTCATCTTTTAAACTGAGAAAATCAATTACTTTGCTTTAAGCAAAATATTGAATTCAGGGAAGGAAAAATAGCTAAATATGCATTTTTTCTTAGGATATAGTATTTTTTTTTTGTTATATGAAATTTTAATGATTACATTTTTATTTTTATTGTTTAAAACTATTTTCTGTAAAATGTTTTGTTAATTATTTATGAATAATTTTTTAACAATATGATTATAGTAAAACTAATTTAAAATGTTTGCATTATATACAAATTTATATTTCATTAGTTTTATTAGTCAATATTAGACAATATTTAAATATTTAAATTAAAATCAAAGGTCTAAAGTCTTGTATATTTATATATTAACATAAGCAAAAAAGTAAACATGAAAAGTTTCCAAGTGTCGAAAACACGTTTTTAATACAAAAAAAAAATCAAAAATTATTTACAATTTAAACAACCCCCTACCGATTATAAATATTATATTAGTAATAATATTATTATTATTTAATAAAATAAAAACCTAAGCATACATCAGCATTATACTGTATGTATAGAAAATATAATTTTTACCTGTGTCACATTTTTTACAAATTTCGTAACTAGAATTTATTATCAAAAATTAATTATAAAACGACACAGCTGCCTTCTTTTAAATAAATTATAATACTATTTTTTTAGCACTTTTTTATTTCTCCAAACGACTCTGTCCTTGAGTGCTATCAAAAACCAGATATTATAATTTATACTCTGCACATGTGTAGTCAGGTGTATTAGACAAACGCCTTTTGATGTTACAAAATTAGTAGCGGCCCTTTGTAAAAACAAAAAGGGGAACATTAAAATTGTTTTTTTTAAATTGATTTTATATCAGCCTGGCCGAATATAACCCGTCTTAACTCCTAACCAAAATGTACCCATTGTACTTACCTATGGAAAAATAACACTAATCAATATCTTTACGTTTTGACATTGTATAGTTGTACAGTTTTCATAATATTTACTAAAAAAATATACAAATTTGCATATGTATTATAAAATTCGTCTACCTTGTTTCCAGATAAGTCCACGGGTATTTTTTAAGTAGTTATGGAACATTAATAATACCGTTCAATTTATCGTTTTATTGCTTCAAACATATACGTCTAGATAAATTATGACAAGTTTAAGTATAGATTGCTTACAGAAAAATATAGCGCAAGTATACCTTATGAAATAAGAAAATATTTTATTTTATTTCACTCTATGGCGTAAACTAAACACTTAATACCAGTTACCACTGTGGACTATACTAGAAACACATAATATTGTATCTTTGCAAGTAACCATGTGTAGCCTTTGGAAAATTCAATACTTCTTAACGGGACTTTGTAGATCCACAAAAGTTTGAATGTTATTTTCCTATATAAAATTAACGGTGGATTATTTTCCGCAAGGAAAAGGTAGACTATTCTACATGATTTTTTCTTTCGTTTACCGCAAGGTAATTGTTGAGTATACTATTAACTTTTTATTAGTATTTAGTAATTAATATTTAATAATATTATTAGTAACTATTTTACGGCTTAAACATAACCGTACAAAACGGATTAACACAAACGTCTCAACACCTTCAGCGACTAGGTACGGTTGAATAGATCTACGCGTACTTACCATAACAGCACTGTACCTATGTGTGTATAAGTATTTGTAAGTACTTAATCCAAAAGATACCGACTACCGGCTTAAGTAACGTACCGGGGTGGAACCACGAAAATACTGCTATACCACAAATCTAATAACATAGCGAACGACACAAGATTGCATTAGATGCGCAAACGGCACGAGTACGACACCGAAGCTACGGCGGCGACTAAAATACTGAATGGTAAAACATATAATAATAATCATGACCGAATAACAATAATAATAATAGACGCTCTATGGCTGCACCGCACATGGTCGCTGTGATAGCGGCAGATGGAGGAACAAGCCAAAAAACAACTCACGAGGGAGGGCGAAAACAGCTGTTTGGCCGACAGCGCCTTAAGGCGGTCGATATAACCGCGCCGAAAACAATATTACGTATGTATTTACATTATTATTTCATTTTCTCCTAAGAAGTGGCTGTGATAGCTGGTGTGCATATTATTATTAAAAGTATTCAATTGAAATTGCAAAATTGTGAGTATCAACTAACGGAGAATAGACATTAGTCGTTATTAAGCCGGGGCCGTTACAAGTTACCTAAACAAATAGCAAATATATTCACAATAATAATATTTCAACACCCCCAAAGCTGTAGGACTTGTAGGTCTAGTTGAGCCTACGGGACTAGGGAATTAAATATAAGGTTAACTCGAATGTACATTAAATTATTAAATTCAAACGATATAATGAAAAATAAATTATATTATAGAAATGTATGAATCCGAAATTACCTCACCCATTTTTTTATATTTTCCTTCTTGATACAAATAACATAAATCGCAGTCAATTCTAAAAATAACAACTCGCTTTGCATTGAAGCTAAAATACTCAAGCATGCATACCTAAGAGTTTATTATTCGATTTTTGGATACATTATAATATCGAGCCTAAGTATGGGTATTTTATGTAGATACATTCGGTGCTCGTGTGCCATATTAAGTTTCTTGTTTTTCAACTGTCCAAAACTAGTCTTTAATTTGATATTTATTGATGATTTTTCAAACATTTTACTAACCGGTAACGTATTTAAAATGGAATAAACCGAACGTTATTACCGAAGAAAATCTTAGTAGATTCCTATCTAAAAATTATAGCAGGATTTAACTTTTAACATCAGTTTAATGGGTGTTCAAAATTACAACATGATAAATTACTTACATAAATTATAACACAAAATACAACAATTTCAACATCTTAAGACTTATAGGCGAGTATGTGAACAAATTTCCAACACTTCCCGGTGCATAGTTTACATCTTTAACATTCTTTGTTACTTTATACATTCCTGGTTAATAAAATAAAAAATAACATAACATATTAAGTACGTAGGTAAGTAAATTATTATAATATGATTGATTTTAAGGACTATTCATAATTTGCAATTAAATTAATCAACAAAATGAATGCCTCTAATGGTCGAAAGTTAATTGGTATTTTTAAACGTTTAATATTTGAACTACTAACAGTTTGTTCTGATATATTAAATTATATTTACCTTTTGGAAAAAATCTGTTAATTTTGTTAATTATAATTTAAAAAAAACATAATTTGAAAAAAATGTATTTGAACAATAATGTATAATAAAATAAGTAATCATTTTAGCTTCGATTCAAAAGCTGAGACGTTATGTTTGTAAAGGTTTTAATTGTGATAATTTAATAACCCAACAACTAAAACGGTGAAATTTCTAAATTACTAATACAATTTTTCGAATAAATCACAATTAAGACATACACACACACACACAATTCCGGTTCAAACCGGTTATTGTTTTCAATTTTGAAAAAGCATTATTACTTCGGTCAAAGTTTGATTTTGTAAAAGCTAATACCTACAATACACCGATATAGTTTATTGATGGGCGGATGGTAATTTTATACTAGTTAATTAATAATTAATGATCTAAAGTAATAAGTATTTATAGAATTAATATTGACCGTGGGAATACTACATAAGATCGGTCGCCGGTCTTGTTTATAGCACCGTTTATCTGTATATTTTGAAAATCAATTGTACTATTAAAATTGTACATCAAACCGTTACTCGCGATTATTAGCACCGTTTAAAAATTATACATGATTTTTCGCTTTCTCCATTTGGGACTCGAGGTTTTTATGTTAAGAGTCGTATAGAGATCAAAAGGTCCTTAAGTAACATCCTGACTTCGGGCAGTCCTCCGACCCGTATAGACACTATCAACGGTTGTCTTGACTCGTCGGACCCGCCTCGAGGCGTTATCAAAACCGAAAATATGTGCCTAAAGACGTTTGTGTGTACATATTTTTGTTCAATATAACCGATTGTTTTTTGTTAAAACAGAGGCCCTATCTTAGTGGGGAGCACTGTGTGTTTGCGTTTAACCAAAACAGTTGTACGTATCATCGTCGCTATTCGGTAAGTATTCTTAGACAATCTGACTGCGCTGTATGAAGAAATTCAAAACGCATCAATCACACCGGGATGGATACATATCTATTAAATATACAACCTGGGAATGTAAACACACTCTTGCCTCTTCTTTGGTTAGTCATTACAAACACATCCGTATATGTGCAAAGGTAAATGTCCCCCATTGTGTTTATACACCACTCGGCATAAGCCCTCATCATCTCTCACCATCATCGTTTATGTACTTATTATATAGTACAATATACTTTTATGGATTATTAGAGTTCACAACCGACACCTAAGTCGTAAGCTGTGAATAGGTTAAATCCACCGTGTCTATACAGGTATATCGTGTTACACAGTCACTATAATATAGGTAGGTACAAGATGATGCGCGCAATATATTATATGGGTGGAGTATTCTTCTTTTAATATGTTGTATACAATATTATATTGTAACGTTATAGCGTATTAGATTGGCTATTAGGCCGTTCTCCAAAATAGCCTTCGCCGCCGTTGAAATTCCATGTTTTATTTTTCTGGTTTTTAATCCCACGACCTCTCGCCATGACCCCTGGCCATTCTATATATTATTCGATTTTTGGCAGCCGAAATCCCATAGAGTTTCATTTTTTCCGCATCCGCACGTCCGTAGACATATTCAATACAAACGGCACTCAAGTCGCTTAACATTCATATACAAACATGTTATAAACATGAAACAATATAATATAACAATATAATACATTATGAATTCGACACGCGATGTTCGCGTGTATGCTTTAGAGGTAACCAATATCCACAGACCACATAAACATTTGTATTCCATCATCACTAGTCACATACAGTGTTTTAAAAGAATTTTCGGTTCCAAATGGGAGGTTCTTTGCATCCTTTTAATTCTTTGTTTAAGCGGAAAGTTTTCTCCGGTATATATTTTGTAATGTACTGGCGAGAAGTTTTTGTCTATTTGAAAGTACACTTATTTGTAAGGATTTTTCTCGTGTTGAATCTAAGTATAGATTTAGATTTTACAGAACAAGTCCAATTCTTTTGTTAATTTCAAAGTTTTGAAAAACACTAGTTTTAAATATCTAGGAAACATAGTGCAAAACGTTTGAATACATTATTTATATTTATATTTTATAGCTTTAGACTTTTATTTCATAATACCTATTATATTGTAACACCATTGGGTTTTAAGGGTCCGTTGTGTTGACGGCTAAAAATCACGTTGTATTTATGCTTTAAAAGTTTTAAAGTTAAAAAAATATTGGTTTTACGACTTTTACTAAAAACAAAATTGTTTTGTGGAATCTGAAAAAGGAATTTCTCACCATGTTCCAAAACTTTCGTTATTTGTTGTTTAATTATTAATTTTATTATTTTGCATATTAACCACTGGATAATTAATGAACCATTTTCTTAACGTTGAATATGCCCTACATACAGATATTATGATAATAATATAATACTGATGGTCGTTCTCACCAATTAAGCTAAATAATTAGCCTGAACCTTACATAAATGTTAAACTACAAACTAGTGAGAACGGCCATGAATCCTAAATAAACAATTTAAATAATTAAAAACAGGTAGTAGGTAGGTGTAGGTATATTTAAAATTAAGTTTTATTTTTCAGTAAGTACTATTCAGTCTTGTCTATATATTAAAATGAAGAACAAATCAATTACAATTTTAGGAAACATAATATTATACAGAAAAATAATATAATGCCGATTAAACTTTTTTTATTTTTAATAATTAATATCTACTCATAAAAATTATAAAACCAACTGGTATATTATAATAATGATGATATCCGTTATCACTGTGTTGATACCGCCATTAATATGTTATCAACTGATAAGTCGTCGTTACTTCATGCCTGTTGAATATTGGTCTTGCATAACTTTTCTATAATAATTATATTGTTATTTTACTTGTGTTATTTGAAATTTGTTTTTATTAAATTCATCTCGAAACATGTTGACTGGCGTAAAACATGTTGTATTAGTGATGTCTGGTAAAGGCGGAGTTGGGAAGTCTACCATAAGCACCCAATTAGCCCTAGGATTAGTCGCCAAAGGACTTCGAGTAAGAATAAAAATTCATCAAACGATTTATATTATTTATTATTATAACAATAATTGTTGTATAGGTCGGTATTTTAGACGTAGATTTATGTGGACCTTCAATACCATATTTATTAAAATTAGAAAATCAAGAGGTACATCAATGTGAAGCTGGATGGGTGCCCGTGTATACGGATGATTCTAAAAATTTAGGCGTACTGTCTATTGGATTTCTTACAAAATCCAGAAATGACAGTATCGTTTGGCGAGGACCAAAAAAAACTGGCAAATATCACAATTATTTTGTAATAATTATAATAATTTATATTATCAATAATCAATTTAATTTTTAGCGTTCATAAAACAATTATTATCAGATGTTTTTTGGGAAGACGTCGATTATCTGATTATTGATACGCCACCAGGAACGTCGGACGAACACATCACTGTCATGGAAAATTTGAAGTGATTACTACAGCGTTTATATATTTAATTCTGCTAACAACATATTGTTAAAACTTTATTTGCTAGTGGCTTCTTTTTAATAAAATTTTAGGACAGAAAAGGAAAAGAGTAAAAGTCTCTGCTTTCAGCTAATTGAATAGCTATATTTAATTTAAAAGATGATTTAAATATATTTAGCTTAAATATGTTTTGTCAAAAATCAATAGTGGTAATTATAATTTATTAAAGAAAATTAATAAATAACATAAAAAAAACCATTATTAGTATAGATGTATTATAATTTGTTTCAAACATCAGTTCTTTTTTAACATCCGTTTTCAACAAATCACATTATCTTTCAACTGTTATGTCTCTACATTTATTAATTACCGACTGCATTATTGTAAGCATGAAAGTTCTATTTTGCACCAAAATGGTTTGGTGTGGGTTTACTTAAGATTGCACTTGTTGGCCGTAGACTGTTTCCCGCTTATCAAATGTTACATCTTTAAGTTATACGTTTCATTTACAAACTATTGGCTTTCCGTAAATGTAAAAGTACATTTTTAAATTGTCCCATTTTTTATATTTGTAGGCTTGAAATATAATAGTTTTCATGTTAAAGTACTCTAGAAGTCTTTGCATTAAAGCCTGTATCATTATTAAACATATAGTATTGTTTTAGAGAAGTGCCGTGCGACGGAGCAATCTTAGTAACAACTCCTCAACAAATGTCTTTAAACGATGTCCGGAAAGAATTAACGTTTTGCAAAAAAACCGGCATTCCGATCATTGGAGTGATAGAGAATATGAGTGGTTATGTGTGTCCTAACTGTTCAGTATGTTAAAGATATATTACTTTTCTTATAACTTAATGCATGCTTTTTTTTCTTCAAAAAAAAATCTCGTAGTTAAATTAGTCTCAAGTACATAATTACTATTTTTTTTTAAGATTTGTCCATTTACAAAAAAGATAATCTTTTTTAATTTTTAAATCTACTTAATTTGTTTTGTGTGGTTAAGCTTTATAATTAAAAACTATTATTATTATTATTTTTTATGTTTTATAAGTATAAAGAATATTTTCCAATATTTTTAGGAAATAAATTATATTAGTGAACATAATATAGGTTATATCAATAAAAAATTACATTATAAAAATTGAAAGAACAATAAAATTAAATAACGCTTTAAACACTAATTTTTTACCAAAATTTAAATGTTATTAAATCACTTTCAAGAAAATTACTCTACTGTAAATGTGTTATCAATATTTTAGTACCTAAGAAAATTTTCCATTCTATCTGACCTTTTTTTGATGTATATAAGTTAAAACGATAAAACTAAGTACTACCCAGATAATATAATTTCTTTTTACAAAAAATGAACATAATAGTTAATGTTGCTAATCGACACAAATTGTTAATTGATAACATATTTTTGTCTTCACACCAGTGGTGTAGTCATAGGACGTACCAACCTTACACTTTTTTTTTGTAACAAAACTTTAAAATACTTAAAATTTTTTTATTTTTTATGAGTTTCATTCAGGCTCAGATTTTCTGGTTATTTTTTAAGTTGCCTCCATTGTTGTAAGCAATTTCAAAAACAAAAATAAGAATTCTATCTTTTTTTTTTAGTTATAAAAGAAACTACCACGTTATGTTATTGTTATCATGATGTATTGTTTGTTTGAAAAAACAGAGTAATATACCTAAATTTTATACTTCCCCCTTCCCCAAACTCAGCACTAGTGTTACTTTGTAATATAGTTTTTTTATTAACTTACTTTTAATTACAGTAAATTATTTATAAAAGAATAAATATCCTTTTTAAATCTAAAAGTATACAAATTCTAGGCCTCTTGATAATTTATTTTGTTGAGCTCAGTCTCGAATGGCTCGCCTTGTGCATATTGCACACTCCTTTGCATAATATACCCTTACAACTACACAACTGCTTTACATCAAAGCTTAAAATTTAATATTTTGTTTTGAGTTTTTATCAAATTATCATCAATCTGAATATTTATTTTAACAACACATCATATTGGAAACTTAATGAAATTTTTTTTAATTTTTTTTTTTTTACAGGAGTGTACAAATTTGTTTTCATCAAACGGCGGAAAATCATTGGCCGAATATTATCAAGTGCCATTTTTAGGAACCGTGCCGATAGATCCTAGAGTGTCTGCAGAAACATCAAAATATGTTGGCTCGATATATCCAGAATCACCGGTGTCAATATCGTTCGATTCAATTGTTAGCCGTGTAATGAATCCTAATTGATCGACCTAAAAACATTTACTCACATAATATTATATTGTTATCGTTTTATTATTATTATTTAATTTAACTTTTTAATAATACAACTATTTACATAAGGTATTGTTTTTTGTTACTCTTCTAAAGACTTCTTTTTCTCCGACTCTTTTTGATATTCTCTCGAATCTTCAATTAGTTCGGTCAACGGTTCTACGTTTCCTAGGGGTGACTTGCTCATAAACAATATTGGAAGTTTGGCAAGTTTTGGATTACCATCCTTTTCCAAGAACCGTATCTGTTAAAGACGAGGGATTATTATTTTTCCTAATTAATTTTTTTTTGTCTATTTAGAAATTACATACCCAAGACAACAGTGAATTTTTACTAGAAGTGCCAGATGCACATACGGCTAATATTGTACCGTCCTCTTGTTCGTGGACTGTATGTTTTAGCTTTATTTTATTAGATGTTTCTTTTTTTTTGTCAAAAAAAGGCACTTTAAAACTACTTATATCTGAAACGATAAGTCAATACGTTTAGGTTTTTTTATAGTACTTTACATATTGTTATTATAAATACTAATAAATAATAGCTAACTAACCATCTTCATCAAAATTGTCTTCAACTATTGCCTCAGGAGGTTCGGTCCTTAGAATAAAATATACTATACTTTGTTTTCGTAACCATAACCTAAAACCTCCTTCTATGTATACAGGTATGTTTTCTTGTTGCTTTTCGATTAGCTTTTTTTGATCGGGGCTTTGCCCGCTTACGATCCACGTATCGTCTACGCTTTCAGGTAAATGTTTGGTGTGATACACTTTAACTTCAGATTCTACGTCTACACTGCAAATCCTTTTCACAGCCAACAACGCTAATTCATAAGGATCGTTTGGCGCCGGTTTGGGTATTGGCCAAGGCGAAAGGTTGTTGAACTTGGGCATCCAATACATCATACGCCAATAACGCCTTACTGGGTAACCACGAGTGCCGAACCGTTTGACAAGCATGTCTTCCATTTCCCAGTCGGGAATCACACCTGGAAGTATAATATTATAAAGTTTGTTCTAGGTATTATTATTATTTTGTTTTATCCTAAGACATTACCGTTGTCTTCCATTTTCTGTAATAAATCGATGATGCACTGTTGATGTTTAGGATAATGCATGTATTCCGATTGTAAATAATTCTGAGGTACAAATTTACCGGCAGGCAACACTTGAATTAGATTTTTGTATGTTTCGATATCTTCGGAAACGCCAAATTCGTCCATGTGTTTGATCGCCGTGTTGATGAACTCGACGTGTCCCGACCGATATTTCTGCATGCGATACATTCTCAACATGTCCAAGTAAGTGTTTTTTGTTTTCTCTTGAACATTATTAAAATTGTCGGCGCTTACGACTTGGGTTTTCGGCGTTTTATCGAAACATTGTGTTGTAGTTTGAAATTTTCTCTTCATCGGTCTCGCGGTAGTACCCATCAGTCTTTGAATAAAGCCAAGTTCATAACAAGTCCTCAACACATTACACATTATTTTAAGTTGAAATTTACTACTACAACATATTTTTTAAAAAACACATTATGATTCCAAAAATTATTGAAATTGTAACATTTTCTTATTGTTATCAAAATGTAGAATTTTCATATTGCCGGTTATCGTTTTGCATGTTATCAAATAGATAACGGACAGGTGCGGCAACATGGAAATATTTATCTTACATTTTAACATTGATTAAATACAATTGTAATTTGTATTTAATCAATTTTTTAAGAATAAATTATTATAACTTTCCTATTTTTTAATTTAAAAAAAAAAATTATTATCCTTATATTAAAAAAAATACTGACAAATATAATCATAAACCAAAGCCAATTACACCTAAACTGTCATCGGTAAAAACGATAATAGTTTTTCAGCTTTTTAAATTCACTGAACTGAATATTCAATTCTCTGTTAAAATTATTAACTATAAGTTTTATTTGTACAACACAATTTAGCCTCGTAATAAACCATATAGGTACATACCAAAAAATCAGAATTTCTTAAAATAGTTTTGCTTAATAAAAATCTACATAGTATTTTATTGATTCTGAGACCAGATACCTTCTGACCAATTCAGTTAAAATACTAAATAAAATAAAACACTCTATTCATCAAAATTAAAACTTGTAAATATCAGCGCTGAAACGAGGAGGCTTTATTGTAACTAATTTCTGAATTACACACCACCATAGCGTTCAATTGAAACAATTTTTTTTTACTAATTCTAACCTGAAAATATCAAGAAAAAAACATAGAACTGTAATAAACATAAAAACGCATATTCTGTTTTGCTCAAGTTATGTAAATAAGATCCACTTTCTGGTTAATTTAATAATTTCGGTCCTTTTTAAGTTTTGGCAATTGTACTTGCCTATTTTAACTAATGTAGGATCGACCAATCAGCGAGTCTGATGTAGGCCATTAGTTTCACGTCCATGGTGTAGGTATAGTGTACACATAATATTATTTTGATTTTTTTTCTAAGGTACTGTGAGAGGCTGGCGGCATACATGTACATAGTCTTTTGCAGAACATTGTGAGTTAATTATTTGGTAGTAACGTGGGTTGAAAATATCACCTATATATTTACCGATTTTATACCAAGTCGAGAACTGATGGACTTGAAGAAAAACCACCAAATAAATAGAGCACTTTCGTTTTTTGATTTGACATTGTAGTACCGGCCTTAATTGTGGTGTGCCTATCGATTTAAAAAATTGGCATTGTGGTTTTAGTTTATAGGTTGAAACTCTTAAGACATCTGCGTTTAAAATTATTATTACCACAAGATGTCAATGTCCGGCCTCAAGTAATAGACAAGTAATTTTGTGTTCGATCTAAACCGTTGGCCAATGTGATCAGTACCGATAAATGGGAAAAATATGTTAATAGTTTATTGGAATTTTTTTTTTAGTTTTAGCGTGAAGCTAATACATAATATATTTTGTTAATGGATTTACATTAGGCGTTGTTACTATTGAAATACCTAAAGTGATTTTTTGCTTTCTTCCCGCCATAAGGCTCGTGTAACTGTTTTTCATAAAATTAATCACAACACATTTTTGCACATCTAGTTACATAATATTATGTTGAGTAAAACACCGAAGCTATTGGATATTATTCATTTTCATTTTTCAAAAATTCCGGGTTCGGGTCCAAGGGGTTTCAACGCAAATTAATAATCCATTTTAAAAAACCATTATAATTGATGTTAACTATTTATTTTACCGCTGTCCGGTTTTTGTTCATTAATACAACATTTAGTACCAGTCAATATGGTACATTTACAGTTATACGATTACTTGGTTTTATAATAAAACGTTTGATGGAAGAAACCTATATTTTAAATAATAAATTATATTTTAAAAATTGACTTGTGGTGATAATAATAATCAAAAATTCTCAATAACTTAAGCTGAGCAGCCTAAGATGATCCCATAGGCAATTATGACATTAGTTCATATCGAGTACTCATGTAATATAAATGTATTAGTTTTTGCAATAAAAAAAATGTGAACTAAATTAAATTATATATATATATATATATACATATATATATATATATAAATTAACCAATTAACAAAAGGTCTTGTGTAATGTGTCTTGTACATATGTAAATAATAATAGGTTAATTTGTATAGTAACCATTGAACTATTATGTTAACTGATAATTTTCTTTTAGTTTACCGAATAGACTAATTACGGTTTATTGAATGCACTCGTTTTCAATTTGTTAATTAGCGTTTTGATTTTTTTGTACAACTATTTGATTAAACAAATTGATTCCAATTAAATCGTGAAATCGTTTCAAGGCCGTTTTTAATTACCTACCATTAGTAGACGTTTGATCCAGTTGTAAATTGATTACTATATATATATATATTTCAAATATCATAAACTGATGTATTGGGTAGAAAGCTGTTTAAGATGATTTAATCTAAATAATATTGTTTTAAGGGGTTAGCCGATTGCATGTATGTAGGTAGCTTTACTTAGGTATCAATAATTAATAAATTATACATTATTATTTTATTTAATATATATATATATATATATATATATATTAAATAAAATTCCTTACATTTGAATTTCATTAAATTTGTAAATATTTTATAAAAAAGGATAGTCAGTAGTCACAACGTATCTAGCATGACATTGTACGTATAACTGATAGGATAATTATTCATTACTATAACATGGTTTTATTTGTAGAGAATGTAAATCACTTTTATGGTATTTGATAATTAAATGTTAAGTAAATCATGCGAGTCTGAAAATAATTTATCTAAAATTTAAAAACCGATAGCTCTCGAATGGTTTGACAAACATTTTGCACAAATCATATTTTTTACTTCTAACTGTGTTACAAACACAGTTACTGTTACTTAATTTATCAAATATTTATAATGTTTTAGTTTATTTATACATTTATTTTATACGTCAAATACATTCTAAAAATACTTAAAATAGGTACTCCTGAAATCGTATTAAGTACATAAAATAAACAATTATTTAAGTACTTTTTCAAGTACTTGAAAGTGCGAAAATTTATATTCACATACATATTTTAAAAAGTATTTTTACTTATGCTGATTTATACATGGTAATTTAATTTCTATAGGTAGTGAATACTATTGCTTATAACTGTCGTCTGTCCATTAAACCCAAGGCTAAACATGTTAACACGTTGATGAGTTTTATTGATTCGACTTTTTAACTAAATTGCTTATTTTTTTAGTTAAAAATAACTCTAAGATAAACATAACTATTTATGTTGTATTTTGACTTAACGATAGGTATCTAAATTATTATCCCATTAAAAAAATATATTCTAAAGTAAACCATAAATTATTGAAGGTATGAACGATGGCATAAAACTGATTTTTACTATAAACGAACTTGGTTGAGTATTAATATTATTTTTTAACCTTATTTAATTTAATTAATTAATTACTTTATGTCCCTTCAATTTCCTACATTTTCTAAATATTTCCTTTCAATTAATGTCCTCTTCTAAAACATTCCAAGTAATATTAATTATAATTTTATTCTGTCTTCAGTCAGAGTTTGTAATTCAATAATATGTTCTTAATTGTCGAAACTAATTGTAACATTGCAAAGGTCTATGTATAACAAATTATCTTCTAACTATCCCTTCAATAGGTACTACAGGTGGTGATCAGAGAGAACGGTTGAACTTATTTCAATTAATTAAAAAAAAAATTAATTAATAATAATATAATCGCTTAGGTTAAACTGCAATCATTCCAATTTTCAACCATTTTTTGGGTATATTATGAATAACGCCCTCTCTTCATTGATCTTAGGTGCAGAAAACAGAAATAAGAGAGTATGTGTGCATGTGATTTTTATTGTAATGACATGAGTGTGTCTGCGGGTCTTTTTCCACAGAACACAACAATAATTAATTTCACTCGGGATCGAACTAGATAGGAGATACTAAGAAAATGGTAAGGTTTTGTGTTGTGGCTGATAACTACAACGGAATGAACTCTAGAATTTTAAAATTACTCGGAAGATTTGTATGGTTTTTAAATAATTAAATGGAAACACATAATAAAATGCTGTAACAATTTGTCTACGTAGTGAGTAATACATATTATTGATTTGTATAAACATACAGAATGATTCATTAAGGATAACACACTGATTTTTTCTTAAAATCACTGAAATTATGTAGTTTTTTTGTTGAACAAATTTTGGCTCATGTATTTTACAATACTATAAAATTACTAAATATTTATCTTTTTTAATATTTTCCACAGCTTTATCGGCTATTGAAATTAAATGGTTACGTATTTATTTAATTAACTTTTTTAATTAAAAATAATCTGCTGAATTGGAGTGGGTGGCGGTTGTCCGAGGATTAAGGGGATTGCTTGCGGTCTGTTTTCTTGACGTTTTAGATAAAAAATCCAGACAAAATGCCGACTACTTAAGATGGTTCGACTTCAATTCTGTAAAGATATAAGAGTTCTTTGACAACTTTACTAGATTATGTAGGAAACAGATTTTTTGCTATTTTTATGTAAAAAAATTGGGTTTTAATAATGAAAAAATTGCAAAATTTGTTTTTTTCTTCCTCCTCCTATTATTCCTTATAGATATAGGGTAGGCCAGCCAAACTCCCTTCATCTACTTTCTCTATAATTTTTTTATCTTTACCACACACCATCTTGTTTTTATTACACTCTTAAATCTATCACTAAATTCCTCTACACTAATATATTATGTGAGACGGTAAGGGAAAAGGAACCTCTTGTCACGAGAATATAAATTGCGGAAGAAGCCAAAACAACGATAAGGGTTGGAAACATATTGAAGAAAAAAAAATGTTATCTGCTTAAGGGCAGACATAAGGTCCCTTTTCTCTTTTCGCCTCACATATTTTAAATGTTACCCACACCATCTCAACCTGTTCAGAACTTATCCTCTCTATATTGTCGTCTGTGTGCCTGTTATTTGCGCAACTTGTAATTATTTCCGATAAATATCGTATTTAGAATAACGATATACGTGATAGTTCTCAGCGATTGCATTTTCAGTTTATAAGATTTGATTCGATTACAAAGTTCCTTCCAGGAGCTATCTAAAACTGATTGTGCGTCAATGCTATGCCGGTGTTCTTGATAAATCGAACTTTGTGTAACACATTAATTCCCCAACCACCGTTTACTTGTGTTTAGTTGTTTTCTATTTTTAACTTGTAAAAAATACGCAAAAAAAAGAAATCGCCATCTCGGCATTGTGTTGTTTTTTTTACTTCTTTTTCGGTTTCGGTTTTTTGTTTTTTAACCCAATGGCGTTGTTCGAATTCCGGGGCCGAATACCGCGGAGTGGGCACAATAATTGGACGCGCGGCTGCGAAGTCTGCACGGGCCACCACCGGACGGCGGCAGCACAGGCACGGCCAACGCCGGCGGCACACACCACAATGCACAATAATAATGTGTACATCGCGTTATGCACAGGCGTTGCGCAGTAGACACTATAGACACCCGCTGGTAAAATCACACACACACACACACAAACGAAGGGTACGAGTCGACTATAACCGCCGTTTGTGTGTGTGTGTTTGTGTATACTCGGATAGCGGTCGTTGGTGTACAGCCGCCGCCGCCGCCACCACAGCATGGGCTTAGCCACCGGATCAGTAGTCTGACGATCGCACGCCCGTCCGGTATGTGTCCACCAATTTCGTCTCGATAGCGTTGGAATTTCGCGGTATCTGCGCATTATACGAGTAAAATTATTAGTTAATCATTTATCTATGATAATATTATTATTGTGTATCGTCAATTAACGCCGAAGAGAAATAATCTGTTTTGTACCCCCACAACCAACGCGACAAGCCGATCATGCCGGCACGCCGCCGCTTTTGAGTTTTTGCGCATGACCACACGTCGCCACTGTTCGCCGTCGCAACCACCTCAACACAGACGCGGACGTCCAGTACTACGAGCGCCATGCTTTTGTAAAGCTCCTGCACTGGCGCTCGCTTGAAGCAGTTTGGCCGTTGGCTTTTGTTTTTTTGTTTTCGTTACGAGGTACGCATAAAAAAACAATTTTTTTTTCTACAGGAATGATGTTCGTTCCTCTGGCTTTAGATCAGACCATCAAACTACACTTGCCTTTAAAACCAAGCCCTTAGTGTTTTTTTTATCAAAATTTTGTAGGTCTATTAAACGTCGTTTCTTAATGGTATTTTTACTAACTATTTTTACTTTGTACCCTATTAATATATTTATTAAGTCAATAATTATTTTAACTCACATTTTTTTTTTACAAATAATTTAAATCTTAATGATCCTCTCTTGGAAGCAAGCTTGTTTTGGGGGCTAGAGAGAGTTCGGCGCTTAACTTTTAATATTTACAATCTAAATAAATAATTAATTAAATTAATTAACATGAGCCAAGTTTAGTCTTAAATCAAGAATGTTTTCGTGTTTATATTTATATTGCATATTATTTTAAAGCATTTTTTAATATTCAACAAAAAGTCGATAGGAATTATTCATTATTTTCGATACTCTAAATTTATGTCAACAAATGTTTTTGATTTTAAAACAAATTTTTTTGATTTTTGTTTTAATACAACTTTATATATTTAAAAACCATTTCCGTAGGTACTTAGGTTAAATTATTATGAGGTCTAGGATGATACCGCAAATTGTGCTAATATATTTGAACATGGAAATGTTCACTTCGTATCATTTTGTTACCGATAAATTCTTATGAAGAATAGCACATTGGAGGTTTTTTTTTTAATTTAAAATAATTGTCTATTTTTCTCATAGATAGAAAGTACCTCATGCGTGACGGTGTAGAACCAGTTAATTTTCTTTATAAGCCATTGCCATTTTTTTTAATCCTCCCGTCGAAGGCCGAAAACATTTTTTGCTGTGCACATGTTTTTGTTAATATTATAATTTTTTAATTCAGTTTGTTTTCAATTAGTTTTATTTATATAGATCTCTTATAGCTTAGACTGTGTTCCGAATCGTGTACGTCGGATAGGTCTGGCATGTTTAAATTTGAATGTCTGGTTATTTTTATAGATGTGCATTTGTAGTACTACAGATAGTAAGTAGCCTCCATGTGCGCAGATAGTAATTTACCTTCCATTAACCGAAACGTGTTGGAACCACAGTTTAATATTTTATGAAGGTACAAAAATTCAATAGCGCGTAAAGATAAATGGGTGACCGGTTTTTTGTGCCCGTTTGCCGTTTGAGTTCGGCTCAGTCTTACTACCTTGTTAAGTCCTAACACAATTATTATTATCTTAAGTTATTATTTACTGTAAAATTGAATAGATAATTTTTCGAACATGTACTTAGGCTAATTAATCAAATCCACAAACTCGTTTGATAATGTTTAACTACAATATTCGACGCAAGTTTTATAAGAGAGCATATTGGTAATATTGGCTGTTAAAAATTACTATTGAAATATTATAGACAATGAAAAATGCATCTTCTGAGACATGTTTATGTATGAAAATAGATAATAAATTAAGTTTAAAGAGTTACATGTAAATATTAAATACCACTAAGGATTAATCTTCGCTGTGTTTATATAACGGTTTTTTTTTTGTTGAAAATTGTTTGCAAATAATTTTTTAATAAATGGTGGTGAGCGTCTTCTAAAAATCATTAATTAAATGCTTGTATCATCAATGGTAGTATATCTATGATAGGTTGTGGTTAATGCTTGCCTCGTTTCTGACTTATGACCGTAATAACACTATAAATCATCTTTATCATTTTTATTAACATCCACCGTAACTATTTGCAATATTTCACATAGAAAGCAAGGTTTATCTAAATTTTCCTTCTGTAAACAAATAAATGTGTTTTTTTTAAACGCTATTTACCACAACTGCAAAAAAAAAATAATACTAAATTAATTATTAATTATACGATTGTAAGCGTAAATCGTAAATGGAAATATAGAATACTTTTATAGCAAAAACAACTTTTTAGCTTATTTAAAAATGTTCAAACTATTAAATTTATAAACTTCATGGTACAATGAAAGTTTCTTAATGAAAATGAAAGTTTTTAATAAAATATAATTTATGACAAAAATTGCGTATATTTTATATCTGACGAATTATTTATAGTTACTTAATTTGTCTATAAAATAGTAAAATTTGTAAATTTTTACAAACTGATCCTTTTTTGGTATGACTGTTCAATATAAATTTTACATTAACGTCTTATAGAATATTTTGAAATTAGGCTTAACACTAAATAGTTGGACGGTGATACCTACTGTTTGGATTAACTGTTGGATAGACAATGTCAATCTTTAGTCAGTTTTATCATGATATCGAGTAGGTTTTATTTGCAATTTTCATTAATGGAAAGGCTAAGTGTTCAAACATCGTTTTGACCAAACTTCATTTTTCACGAAATTTAGTTATCTAGATTTTGGTTTAATAAACCGAAAAATTATATTATGTTTGATAAGGATTTCTTGCAACAAATCTCATAGCAGTAGATAGAATAAAAAAAGTACCTAACACAGTACGTGTACTTCTACTTTATTTTTTTAATTACTAAACAATAAACGGAGACGGAATTAATTCATTAAGTCAAAAATAAAAATAAATGTTTCAACTTGTATGAGAAAACGTATGCAATTATTTTGTCTCGTTTTACTTCGTTAAATAGTTTGTGGTAATAAAGTTGTATAAATAGCAGTTGCCTGCCTAATCATCAAATTTAACTGTTTTCGCGGTCATTAAATTACATGTAGTTTTCTGTACATTTTTTTATAGTAAACAATATGGATTTTAGCTGCTATTTGCGTCGCATATATAAGAAGGCGCTTAATATTAGTCTTATGCGATTATTTATTTTTTAATTTTATCAAAACGCATTATGATATTTTTAACCGTTGGTCTAATCATTAAAAATTACAAAGTAATCGTTATTGGGTTGATTCTGAGAACTGCTATGCATTCAGTAAAAAAGGGATATAAAATCGCACCGTTTTTAACTTATAAAACAATTTTAAAAATCCTTATTGAGTCAATTTATTTTGGTTTTTGTATGCAAAATAAAAAATACACTTAAGGTTTTGTCCTGTAGTATAATAAAAACAATTTTAACAATATAAAAGTTCATAGGGTTATTGTAGAATTAATGGGATTACATCAATCAATTTATAGTTGTGAGAAGTAATAAGAAAATTACATATTAAAGCTGTTAAAAGTATAGATATCAAAATTCCAGATAGACCACTTTTTCCTTGGAGGTTCGAAAAATTTGACAATTTATAAAAACATTTCTGAAAAAAATGATTGGCCATTTAAAATATTTTGTTGTTTTCTAAAAGTAATTTGAACATCATTGAACTAGATACATATTTGGTGGTTTGATGTGTTCTGACTTATAATAATTTAGAGGTTATTTAGGAAGTACAATTTCGAATTTATTTCATTAAAATATAATAAAAATAAAAATTATATACAATTTAAAATCCTTTAAATAAAACTCTTTCCGTGTATGATTTTTATAAAATTAGTCTTAGCGTTTTCGTGATGTTTTTTTTAACCAAAAACGTTCGAATTTCGTTGGCCTCTTAAGTAAGTTTTGTTTGTAACCAATTTTCAATTATAAAAATAAATGTAATATTCTCACTCTGATAAAATCATCTATTTTTACAGTACTGAAATAGAATCACCTTAAGTAGTCGACATTTTGAAAAGTATTTCACACAAATAGGAATTTTCTAACAAGATCAAACAAGAATCTAACAAGATTACCGTACTTTAATGAAATAATTAATAGCACATTTTTTTTTTATTGAAGTAAAGCTATTTTTACTTTTAACGCCGGTGCTTAAGCATTACTCAATCAGACCTCTTATTTTTGATTTCGTTGTTATGGATGCATTTCATTTTAAAATTTAAGTTATGACTAATAACTGTCATTCGACTGGAAGTTGAATTGTATTTTATACATCTGTTTATTCACTTCTTAATCTCTTTGACAGCCCGGGTCGTCGTCTTGCGTTTTACTTTCCAAATTTAAATATAAGGGTCTGGTTTTTGGTACACTTCACGATTTCTAACACAAATAATCCAAGTTTATTAGTAGCGTGATGAAATTTAATCGTTAAATTATGTAGTCTTTATTTATTATTTTCATAATAAACGGCATTGTTTGTCGCAATAGTATCCTCGTCGATTTATTATGTAAAATCAATGATTTCGTTTGGATCACTTTTCTGCGGGAACAAGTTTGTTAAGTCTTATATGTACACGAGCTTTCTCCTATGTGAACGTCAAGAAAGCTTTCACGCATTAATTTTAGTATGCACTATAAATGTATAACTGTTGTCGCGGAACAAACAATGGCGATATCCTAAGACCTAAATTTAATTTGTAATATTTTTAATTTAACCAAAATATATTAAAATACCAAAATACTTAGTTATCGCTATTTGTTCCGTAAAATATATGTGTATTGTACTTAAACAAGTTAGGTATTTTATGACTCGTAAACGTAAACTCGTACTACACACTTAAAAAAAAACGTCTGGTCTCAACTTACTTATTATTGCCAATGCTAATGTGCCTAAAACTGCTAGTTAAAAAGCCCGAAGCATTTTATCGTCGTTCTAGCGCCATTGTTGTCATTAGACAAAAGATTGACGTTGTAATAAAAATTTCATTTGTATAAATCTGGAAATGACATCCCTGCAAATTTGTTTCAGTTTTTATAACACTTTTTTAATTTGGCAACGCAAGCAATACAGATGGTATGATATGAGTTGAAGTTTTCTAAAAAGTAATTTTTTATAGGCTGTATGGTAGGCAAATATGTGTTTTAAAACATTTTTAATCAATCGCTAACTAAAAGACAGGGTTTAATTTGATCAAGCAAAATGCACTTAGTGGGTAAGTTCGCCTGTTTTGCTTGTTATACAATATTAAAATTATTTTTAATGTAAAACAAAACAATATTTGCTTCGCCTCTGTAAAGGTTATACAATTTCCAATAAGAATTTAATTGTTTGTCTTTTTTACAATAAG